AAACTATATACTAGTAGAATATCCTAGTTCTAGCTACCTATAAGGAAGTAGTAGGAGATAAAGAATAGGGAGCAATATAGATAGAAGCAATCTAGAAGGAACTAGATTTACTTATAAGTAACTAGACCTAGGAACTAACTATTACTCTAAAAGGATTAAACCTTATAACCTTAAAATAGGTCTTTGCTATAAAAAGATTAGCAAGTAGTGCCCTTAATAAGTTAAAAGTAAGACTTATAGTAAGGGTTTTTTTATAGAAATATAGGATTAACTTTAAGGAGACTTTTACACTAACTATTAGATATAAAACCTTAAGAACATTTATAGCTATAGTCTATAAGGAAGACTAGGAACTCTATCTTATAGATGTTAATAGTGCTTTTATAAATAGTTACCTCTAAAAAGACATTTTTATAGCCCTACCTAAAGGAGTAGATCTTCCCCCTAGCTAAGTCCTAAAAATCCTAAGAAGCCTATATAAATTAAAGCAAGCTGCTAGAGACTAGAATTAGCTTTATGTTTTAAAGCTTAAAGATTTAGGATTTGTTTAGTTAGAGGTTAACCTATATCTAATATTCCATTATAGAAAGAATCTTATAGTTATAATATATATTAATAATATTCTAATTGCTGCCCTATTAATAAACTCTATAAACTAGTTTAAGAAGGAATTTAGAAAGATCTTTAAGATTAAGGATCTTAGAGAACTATCTAGAATCCTAGGAATAAACATTATAAGAAATAGGAAGCTTAGAACCCTAAAACTAGATTAAAGCTATTATATTTAGGAAAGTCTTTAGAAACTAGGCATTAAGTTAAAATCCTTAAAGCTAACTCTCTTACTAATAGACAATTATAAGGGACTTATTAAATTAGACCTAAATAATAAGAGATGTAGTAAGGAGGAATACTAGATAATAATTAGAATATAGATGTAGCTAATAATTATAATAAGACTAGATATTGCCTTTATAATTAGAAAGCTAAGTGCATTTTTAAGTAATCTATCTAAAGCCTACCTAAAAGCTTTAAAGAAAGTCTTAAGGTACCTAAGATTATTTCCTAACCTTAGATTAACCTTTATAAGWTCTAGATCTAGATACTTAATTAGGTACTTAGACTTAGACTTTATAATAGACAAGTTAGATAGGATCTCTATTCTAGGAAATATGTTTAAGTTATATAATACCCTAATTTTATAGATAAGTAAGAAGCAGAAATCTATAGCAACTTTTATAATAGAAGCTAAGTTTATAGCAATAAATGCATATGTAAAATAATTATAGTTCCTTTTAGCATTACTTAGAGAAATAGGTTAAACTAAGCTTATTAGATTATCTGCTTTTTAACTAATAATTAAAGTAGGAAAGGATATAGCTAAATAGCTTARGCTAGTTTAACTCTTTAGGGATAACTAAGCCTRCCTTACCCTTATAAAGGATRYATATATTTATAAAAGGTTAAAGYACATTAATATTGCATATAACTTTATAAGAAGAYTTTAGTAGYAAAAGAAGATCTATATARAATACCTTCTAATAAAAGAAATAGTTATAGATAGCCTAACTAAACCTCTTACTAGTCTAAACTTCTAGATATATATAAATTATCTTAGCATATAATAAGCATTCCAAAATTTAGCAAAAGCATATAATTAAGGATGTCCGAACAGATATACTCGATTATATAATACTAAGTTAAGGAATTGCACTAAGATAGTAGCTAAGATAGAATTATACTACTAGGCTATAGAACTACCTTTCTACACTTAATAGAATCTTAAAAGATCTAGGGAAATGTATATAGTCTATTCTATCCTAAGTAGGAGTATTAGAAAGTGCAGTTATAGAATAGCTATATATCTAACATAATAGAGAGCTAAGTAGCTATAAGGTTACRTAACTCTATATAGGGTAAAATCTCTTCTTAGGAGATAGAGACATATCTCTAGATAATAAACAAAAATTAATACATTAGTTCCTACTTTTAAGTACTGCCTATCGGAGATAGTAAGCTAGTTAAAGATTAAGATACTCTTATACTCCACCCCTAAAATTCTGCGAACCTCCGACTAATATTTAACATAAACCGCGCTAAAAAGAACTCTAAGCGATAGAAGAAAGAGGATACTAATACGGCTAGTTTAGCTAGTTTAATTAGTATTCTACGAGAGCTACTATTTATTAAGATTTAAGAGACTCTACTTACTATTTTAATACGGTTAGTATTCGCTATAGAGAGCACTAAATCGCTTGGCCTAGAGGAAAAGAAGCGAGTTATCTAGCGGATAAGAGATAAGGAAGGGCTACTTAGTATCTTCGTTAGTATTAAAAGTAAGTAGTAAGAAGCAATAATAGAGAGCGAAGTATAGAAGCTTAATATTTAGAGGCAATTATTACTTAACTAGATAGATACGGATACTACTAGTAATAACGGATTAGAGTAAAGGGTTATATTAAGAATCTTTTTAGAATAATATATATACTAAAATTAGTAGCGAATAATATACTTAGTAAGACTTTATAGATAATAAATCCTCCTTATAACTAGTAGATAGTTAAAATTAATATCGTCTTATCCTCCGTCTAWATCTACTACTTTATCTAAGTACGCTTAATAGGCCTACTATATATCCTTCGCTAGCCTATTACGCCGTACTACTATCGAATTCTTCGGCCCTATATTCTCTACTATCTATATAGCCGTATTATTCCTAGGGATATTATTAGTATAGTTAGGTACGAGTTCTACCTACTCGGAGGGCTTACTATATATATTAATTAATATATTATATAGGACTACGTACGCGTATACGATATCTACCTATATATATATCTTATTAAACTACGAAGCCTTCTTAAGAGTATAGAACCGCTACTTTATTATACCGAACGTCCGCTTAATAACGTTCCGTATAGAGGAGTAGCGTAAGTTAAAGAGCTCCTTAGGGTTCTATAGCTTTAGATTAGTAATACGTTATTCCCTTAGATAGTAGCGTACGCTACGATAAGGAACTATAGTAATCTCGTTATTCGAGTAGCTAGTATTACTAAGATAGTAATAACCTTCTAGAGTAGCGAAGCCGTATTACGCGCGTACGTTAGTAAGTATACGGCCTATTACGGAATAGCCTACCTCCGTACTTCCCCGTACGGCTACCCTATATAAGTTACCCTATAACGCTAAGTTAGTATAACTTATACTTAGTCGTCTCGCTTCTTAAGACTTCTTACCTCCTTAGTTTAGGTACTCGTTTTAGTTCTAACTACTTACGAACGTCTCTTTAGTCGCCCGTATTACGGCCGTCGTACGTAGATCCTTCCTAACCGGCTAGTACGTACGTAAAGCGTATACTATAATCTACTACTACTAATACGTTCTAAGTAAGGGCGCCCTTACGGTTCTAATACGCCGCTTATTCGCTAATAATATACGTATTAATATAAGAGCTATCGAGTACGCTAACGTAGTAATTAAACTATAGCTAGAAACGCCCTCTTTTAAGCGACCGAACGTATAATCTATCGTCCTCTTTTACCGGCTTTATAACCTCCGAACATATATATACTATAGCGTTTAATACTATACGAAACGCCTATCTAATTATCTCCGGAGAATAGCCGAAGTCCTCTATAAGGTCGCGGTAGTAAGAGTTATAAGTAACGGCCTTTAGAAAGATTAATACCTTCTATTTACGGCTYATTACGGAACGGTATATTCGAACCGGTAAGTAAGGCTTAATTAACTCGAATAACTACTCGAATATAGTAAGCCGGAAGCGAGTTAATCGATATAGCCTTATATTACTTAATAGTAAGCTCTACGTAAAGGCCTCGCCTTTACTAGTAGCATCCGCGTAGATAGTACGAATGCCTACCGGCGAGKCTTATTATTACTATTCTAGTAAGGCTATAATATACGTAATAATAACGGTAAGGCGGCGGTAGTAGTATATAGCGGCTACTTTAAGTAGCTTCGGCTCTAGTAGCTCTATAGTAATAGCGAAGTAAGGTTAATAATAGCCTTCGGTAGMGCTTAATTACCGTTTTAATACTACTCTAGAGTAGTATTAAGATAAGAATTAAAACTAATACGTATTAAGCGATAACCGAGCCTCCGTAGCGCTATATTACCTCGCTAACTATCTAGTTTATTCTAGCGTAATTAATATCTTAATTATTAATTACAATAGTAGATACGAGCCTTAATTAAAGCGATAACTCAATTAATATCCGTGCGTCAAGTTAATTAAAGCGAATACTAGACGAGCTCTTATTTAAGTAGTATATACTCTATAAAGATCTTCGTAGCACTTTTGTCTGGCAACAGAATCTTCGGTGAAGGAAGTTGAGCTTCAAAGCCCCGCTCCACTATGGTGATCGCCATGGGTTCTACTGCTACGTCAGAGAGGTTGAAGAAGCTCCACTACGACACATGTACTGTATCCCAACCTCTCACCTTGCAAAATAAACACATTTCCATGGTCCACTTCTGCATCGCCCTGCCTCGACCCAACAATTGGTGCACGCATTCAATCTTCCGCTGAACATCACCTCAATCTCAACATGGCCGCCCTTTTGAGCTACATCGACTTCTCACAGCCGAGCTTCTGGAGTATAAAAAAGCCTCATCTCTCTTTCAATCGCTTGCTGACTCTTCCTCTGCAGTCGCTGCCGGCAGCATCGTCTTTAACCCGACATTTTGGAACATCACCGCTCGTAACGAATATCGCAACAAGACCCTCACGAAGCTTGCCGGCGGCAGTCCTTACTATGGCTGCTACATCTTGGCAGTGACCATCTTCTCGATCGGAATCATCCGAGACGCCCTCTACGAACGTGCCCTTCGCGACCAACCCACCCACCCCAGCCTTCTCGGATTCTATCCAAAGGGACTGGCCGTCGGCCTCGTCGCCAGCGGCAATGTTCTCGTCCTCAGCAGCATGTGGGCGCTCGGCGTCACGGGCACCTATCTCGGCGATTACTTTGGCATCTTGATGGACGAGATGGTCACAGGCTTCCCATTCGATGTCACAGGCTCGCCAATGTACTACGGAAGTGCGGCTAGCTTCTTGGGCACTGCACTCTGGTTTGGAAAGCCAGCTGGCCTTGTGCTCACCGGACTTGTACTGGTGGTYTACCAGATAGCCCTGAGCTTCGAGGATCCATTCACCGCGGAGATTTACGCAAAGAGAGAGCGCGAACGGAAGAAGGCGGGCAAGAAGTCTACTTGAAGGGGATAGTAATGTTTAAAAGAATGATGAAGCAATGCCCAGCTATTTCAACAAATGCGTGACATACCAAAAAGGAGATGTCGGTCACCACTTCGTTGACGGATATATGTATGGGTTGTACAGGACGCAGAACCTCAACGGTTGCATGCCGATCTAGAGATAAATACAGAATGATACCAATGAGCTCACCACAGATCCAATCCAACAATGAGCCATTAGCTGAGTATCGCCCGGTGCGCGATCCGTAGTTCGACTCAGTTGCAAGTTGAAGCCGAGTGTGCCCATTGATAGCAAGCTGGGGAGTACTTCATCGAATGCACAAACCCATAGTTTCATTTAACCTCTCTATCGTCCGGTCGAAATGTACATGAGCATTCTGTCGAAAGGCCAGATCTTCGCCACGTCTGTACAGCAATAGTCAGAACGAAGATTCGCATTCGGATTCTAGCGACTTACACAGAAAGAGTACCCAATCYCTGACGTTCCCACCAGACATGCATCAAATTCTTCAGGATCTTGTGCTCCAATCCTTTCGTTTTAGCAGCACCTTCCAAGAACTCCAATGTTCTTGATATCCTCGTCGGATCGTAGGATTCAGGTGATGAGTCCCTGAAAGCGGCACGAATGCGGTCTCGAGCTACATATCGAGCGGGTTTGGAATACTGTACTGCTCGGAGAAGGTGTTGATACAAATGGCGGTAGGCGAGAACAATCTCCCGGTTGGTGGACGTCATTCTTGAATATGCATTGCGAAGTTGTGGGGGACAGTGTAGCTGGTGTTCGATGATCACACTGAATGTTGATGTGATGGGAGTCGTCTTCGTGAGAAGTTGAACCATCTTCCGAGTCCAGAGATGCCAACCTCCGTCTTCGAACTTCATTACTTTCACTTCACCATCGACATTTCTGATGTTGCGCCACGTGGTAAATAACGCACTCAAACCACAACGCAGACAGTTCAATGCTACAGGATATCAATTGCAGTCAATACCCACTCTCAGCGACGCCACTTTGAAGAGCTTTCGAGCCAAAGCCTTCAACCCAGCACTTCCAGTCCTTCTCCCCGGTCAATTCACCCAAATTCCAGCAATAAAGACCTGGTTTACGACCGAGCCCGACTCATGTTTCACATCGATCAATCGCTTGCATCTCGACCGATTCGCATCTACTATTGTCCCGCTGGAAATCACTCGTAAAGGCCAGTTCGCACGAGTAGATCAACCACTGAGCTTCTTTCTAGAGTAAGAAAGAGACAATTACGCAGATTACTTTGCTTTCGGCTAAAAAGTGCTCCAGTGCCACCGCCTCAAATGACCCGGACACGCAGGTCTATCTTGCACAAGCTGAACTTGCCGACTTACCCCAAGAACTGCTGCAAGATCTTCCAGTGCCTGAATTTGTCATGAGAGCTGGCAAAGGGGATGTCTACAGCTCCTCCATATGGCTAGGAAGAGCTCCAACATACACGCCTTTACACAGGGACCCGAATCCCAATTTGTTTGTGCAATTGAAAGGACGTAAGGTTGTCCGACTGTACAAACCACACGTTGGGCTATCCATCTTTGATGCTGTACAGGAGAGAATTGGTGGGGTGGGGAAAGCAACTATGAGGGGGGAGGAAATGATGGCAGGGGCGGAGAGGGAGGCATTGGAGGAGGAAGTCTGGAATCGTGATGGTACCCATGTTGGCGAGTGTTGGGAAGCTGATTTGGGAAGTGGGGACGGCTTGTTCATCCCCAAAGGCTGGTGGCATAGCATAAAGAGTCTTGGTGACGAGGGGGTGATAGCATCAGTGAACTGGTGGTTTAGGTGAGCAAGCATTTTTAGCAAGGCTACCTATACTTTTTCCGCGCCGTCGTGAATGGAGTGGAAGAAACTGCCGTGCCCTTCATGTGTTGTGTGTGCTTTTTGTATGCATGCATTCGTGCGTCGTCCTTCATCTGTCATTCTTCTTTTCGTCGTGATCTCGTTAATTCCTGCTCCTCGTCGACATCACATKCTCACTTATTGTTCCTGTCAACGAGGGTTGAGGACCAGAGTCCCTGCGTGTTTCGTCCTGTACATCACGTCGGGGTTGATCCTCCAAATCGTCGAGAAACGGGCTGTATGGTGCAGCGACCGYGTATTCTCGACCCTTGCTGTGGGTGAAGTTTGTGCTGCCTGGCCATCGCTGTTGCTGTGCGTGCATGCTATCCAGCGGTGCACCCACGACACCATACTTTTCCCAGTTGATGTATGGCGTGCGTATCACTTCCTGTGCGCCTGGGATCTTGGGGAACTTGGTGGGTTGCTTGACATCCCCAGATGCTGCTTGAGAGGGCTGAGAATCTGGAATTTCTGTCCGTAGCATCGGTGACTGCGATCTTCCCTCCCTCGACAGCCCCTCTTCATCCTCCCGTTCTGCGCCCAGTACCGCCGGTTTCTCGTGTTCGTCGTCATCCTCGTCACTATCCTCACTATCCTCCTCCCCCTCCACAAACGGCCGCATGCTGCTCATCATCGTGGGTCGGACTTCATGCAGCCTCCCCGCCTTCAACTCGGCAGTGAAGAGCTCTGGATCATCCAAAGCGAGCTTCTTCATGCTCTCCAATGTCTTGAGGTCGCCTTGTGCCTTCTGCTTTTGGTATTGCAGCGTCGATATGGCAGCCCGCAATGCGATGGCGTCGCTGGAGTCGTGGGCGGAAAAGGGCAGATTCGGCGGCTGGGGGATGTAGTGGGCAGAGGAAGCATTCATCTTGGGCTCCAGCTCGTCCGGGGCCGGGGCGTGGCCGGGCATTGTGTGTGAGAACGAGAAGTCATTGTCGGGTGGACGGACAAACGCCGAGTGTGAAGCAACGGGAAAGACGATTTCAGCCTTGGGGGTAATGGGAGAATACGATGGCGCAACGGGCGACTTGGGCGGCGAGTGCGACTGGTATTGCGTGTCAAAAGGCCTATGCAGACTCGAGTTGGAGTGAAATATGTCAACCGCACTCATTTCCAGCAGATCGTTGGCTCTAGTCCAGTCCGTGCACCGAAAGCGGAGGGATGAGCGTGAACGAGCGGCGTGGAAGGTGAGAATTGGGCAAGTTTGATTACGACCTCCCCAATCGGTGGTTGCGAAGCGTAGGTAAGGGAGTTTTAAGTGCGCGGTCCTGGAATTCCTTTCGAAGCCTTTGGGTGAGGAAGAGCGAAACAAGGACCTTTGGACTGGAAAGTGTGGGACTTGGGACTTGGGAGTCAGATTCCATGGTCGCCCCGCCACCTTGGATTATTCTACTGTAAGGTAGTACACCTTGCATTACCTTATTACCATGCTCTGTCAGCACGACCTGGCAGTATCGTCGAGTCAACAGCAGCATAGGCCAACTCTGTCGTGTAAAGAGACAGTTGCGTCGAAGAGGACATTCTGCCGTCCATGTCTTCCACATCATGCAGTCAACCGCACGCGACAATCTTTCACGTCGCCCAGCTGAGACCCCACCACGTCAACAAGAGATAGGCACACAACTGGCCGCTTGTACAGACACGACTGTCATGTCTACGGTCTTTGCCCCATGAAACCCTCGGACTCGCAGTATCGCGCCCCGCCGTCGCCGTCGGCCACCTCGCCGATAAGCTCCATCGTAAAGGTGACCGTCTCACCCTCACAAACGAGCCATCTCTTTCCATTTCTCTTGAATAGATCTCGCACAGCCTTGTCATACAACCACCAATATGCCCGCTTCAACAATAGCAGACCTTCGCACGGCCAAAAAGATCGGATTCATCGTTCCATCATCGAATGTCGCTGTTGAAGCCCTCACCATCTCCATACTCCACTCTCTCAACGCCAATATAATCCCCATAGTTCGTAGCACTCTGCCAAAGCGACACCAGAGCATCCCACTCACCCAAGCAAAAGTTCACTCGCATTCGCGTCCTCACTCTAGGAACAGACCCTACCTCAATCTCCCAATTCTCACACTCAGCCTTCGTCACAGCAGCGCAACTCCTCGCCGACGCAGCCTGTGATGCAATTCTCTGGAACGGCACATCAGGAATGTTCGTCGGAGGGACCACAGCCGACGACCGTGCTCTAGCAGAAGCCATGTCCGCTGCAGCTGGAGGAATTCCCTGTAGTACCACCACTCTCGCTACAATCGCAGCTTTAGACCACCTCGCAATTCGAGACGTCAGCATCGCGGTCCCTTATACTCCCGAACTGACCGCCAAAGTTGAGGAGTTCTTCTCAAAGGAAGGATATGTGGTGCATGAGGCCATGTGTATGGAGCGCACGCCTGAGAGTAACATTCAGATTGCGAAATGTTCAGACGATGATATCCGGGATGTTATCAAGAAATCAGCAACATCGGGGACGAAAGCTGTGCTGGTTACCTGTACGAATTGGCCTGCCACGGCGTTGGTCGGAGAATTGGAAAGGGAGCTGGGGATTCCCATCATTGATAGCATCGCGGTCACACTGTGGCAGGGACTACAAATGATTTCTTACCAATCCGGGGAAGCCGACTCGAGCCAGTGGGGAAGACTTCTCTCATCGATGTAGAGACGAGAGTTCATCATAGACAATGCTCTTCTGAGATAGTTTTATATTTCAGCATAAAGGCTTTTCTCTCCCTTTTCCCGCACTGCGCCAAAAACGCCGGCGGAAATCTCCCTCCTCTCCAAACCTGCCCGCTCCATCGTACAGGGACCGAAGAAACGACAATTAATAACACGCCCCTCCAGTGCTTTCCATTCCACGACTTCTACTTGGCAAAATGGAAGTCGTAATTGAGCCACTTCCTCGCCAGAACCTGATCGACCTCCAAACCAGGACTGCCGTACGTCAATGGACTGAAGAACCAGAAACTCCAAACAAGCGCTGCAACAATGACGCCACTCGCAGCCCATGTAGCCATGAGACTTTGGCCTGCGATTCTCTCCCGAATGGGTCTGCTACGCTGTACGGCTTGAGCGGCGCTGCCCTTCTTGCCATCCACAATAGGGTTCGTGGCGGAGACATTCGCGATCTCGTTGGGCTCAATGTTAAAGACGAACTCGACGATCGCGCCAGCCACGAGGCATGATGCAAGGTGTGCGGGGAGGTAATGATGGAGGAAGAGCTGGCGACCCATGATGAAAAAGGGAAGGTAGTGAGCACCCCACACGAGAAAGAAGAAGCCAGTGCTGTTATAGAGGCGACCGCGCGTGCCTGCAGTATCATGTTAGCGATCATCGAATGGATGGGGCAGGCTTTGCTCACGTCTATCGAGCGCATCGACACCTCTGCGAACGGACATCTGATCGGCGAAGAGAATGCCAGCGAACACTGCCAGAACCGCAGAAGCGAACCACCATCCGAGCGGGTTGCCCATGAAGTAGATCTGGCTTTTAGTGGTGTTTTCCGTCCAGAAACTGACTCCGCGAAGCAGGAACGGCCACTGGATCGGCTGTGATGCGTACGGATGAGAAGACGTCAAGGCGTTGTTGTGGTGGAACATTGCGCGCTGAAGCTCAATGTACTTCTTCATAAAAGGCATGCTCTTTGGCTGGCGAACCTCCTTGATCAAGCGTGGAGAGTCTTCGGGGATGCCTTGGATGTCCTCGACGAACCACGAGTTGGAAGTTTGCTGAGAGTTCTTGTTTCCGTTGATCTCGGCCTGCTTGTAGCCCCACTCTGGGAGAGGGGTGTTGTGAGTCCACATGGCAACCTTGGTAGGCACGTGTACAAGCTTGAAGTGTGATGAGAGTGTCTTGAACTCCTGGCCATCCTTGCCGTTGTCAATCTTGATCTCGAAAAGAGTCTCGTTATACCGAGGACCGTTTGCATCCTCGACCGGTACCGCTGTGAACTCCTGGTTGGTTGGAAAGAAGGGCGAGGCAACATCGTGTGTGAGCAAAAAGGCATCAGTCACCAAGTGACGAAGACGAACGTGGTCACCATTCTTGACGTGGTGGCCCAGCCCTTCAATCGGCGTGGCTGGAAGAATTTGCCAGAGGTTGTTGGTGTCGTTGTGAGGGTATCCAGTGACCTGCTGTCCCTGAGACGAGATGCGTCCATCGTCGTAACGAAGAGGGTACTTGTCTACGTGCGAGTGTAGGTAGACCTTGGTCTCCTTGTGCCGCAACGAAATGTTGTCAAAGTAATCGATTCCCACCGCGTTCTGCGCCATGATGTTGTCCGAGAGAGTCTCTTGGAAAGCTGGGGTCATGAAGTCATCACCTGGTCCTGAGCGGGAGAGAATGGCAAAGTGGACCTGGAACCAGAAAAGGTACATCAAGAAGGGTACCACAATCAAGCCTCCCACACGTGCGGCGAAGTGGTTGAAGAATTGCTGCAAGCTCAACGCACCGCCCTTTCGGTTGATGTCCATCAAGTCCCAAAGATCGATCAAAACTGGCACACCCACGGAGAAGAAGGTGAAAGCTCCCACGTATTTCGTGCTAATGACGCAGCTCATGCAGATGCCCGTCAGGAGCAGCCACTTCCACCACTTTCTCCCGAACGCCGCATGGCGGAGTTTGTAAAATCGAATGTAGCAGAGGATACTCAGTGCCATGAATAGCACGAGGGTCGCGTCGAGGAGAATCAGACGCGTCTGTCCAACGTGGGCGTTGTCGAAAAGGACCAGCGAAGCGGCAATCAGAGTCGCGGGCAGACTGTAACCCGATTCCCACATGATCAGATAGACCACGGATACAGTAAGAGCGCCCATCAGGGCAGGCATGGATCGGTAGGCGACGTAGGGGACATGGTTGTCAATGTACGAATCGCCAATGTTCTCGAAAAGAAAGCTGCCGTCGTAGCCCACGAGCCAGCCGGCAAAGGCAAACAACAGCTTGCCGAAAGGTGGGTGCACGTCGAAGAAGTAGGTCCGTTGAAGATAGTACGAGGCGAATTTGCCAAAGTGTACCTCGTCGAAAACGACCTGGTTTGGATGGCTGATTCCCCAGAAGCGGGTCAAGAATGCTAGCACAGTGATGACAGTGAGGCCAATCTTGTAGTCCCAGTCTCCACCTGTATTTTCCTTGACGAAGCCCATCGTTTCTTCAATCTTGTCACTGGCCAGTGCTGCTGCAGTTGGTGTTACAGGCCGCTTCTCTTTCGTTCCGCCGCGTTGGCGGACGCCCTGAGGCGAGGACATTTCGTTGGATTGTGGACACCAGTGGAGAAGTCGCCGATTTGGAAATTAAAGGAACGTCGATAAAAAGAGAAAGGTCGGAAGGCGAAGAGAGCGTGGATGTAGTGGTGGTGGACGGAGAGGGAGGGATTGCGGACAAGAGGTATAACATTTCGGAGCTAGATGCCACCTACCTCTTTTACAGGGTTCAACCCCTTACGGAATACGCGACATTCACGTGTCAATGGAAACTCACAAAATGTGCTAACTCTTGGTTCCAATTCGCCATCGCTAAAATATAGAAGTGAACATGAGTGGGTATCTGAAGCTTGCCTGACAATGCATATGCTATCCCGCCCGCTCCGCGCTCACTGTGATCGTATGCACATTGGGAGTCGATCAGATTCAACAACCACCAAACGCGTGACGCGAAGCTCGTTTCGTATATCAGATCGTTCATTCATTGTCCCATCCCCAACACTAACGGAGTAGGGGTAGGAACCCGCCGTCCTGTGGCCGAAACGACGTGTTGGGATACGTTTCTGGCACATTCCTCTTGGTACCATCTCCACTGAGAGGCTGACGATGCAACTGGCTCGTGTCAAATGCTTGCAGCGGTGCTGAGACTACGTCCGGCAGACCAGCAAGCGCCTCTCTTCTTGCCGCTGCGTCCACATCCTTCTCTGCCGAATCTGGAGCGAGAGATATTGTGCTTGCTCCAGATATGTTGGAGATGTTTCGGAAGCCTGTAAGTTCCCGCTCTGCACCGTTCTGTCTGGGCTTGGGAACGGCCAGGGGAGATCCCATGGTTCCGTCTCGAACTGGAAAGTAGTGTGTTGCTGCTCTCTCCGACGGCGGTCCTATGCTCGACGRTGGCGCCTCTACTGGATCACTATTCGCAGGTACAGTACCCGCACTGGAATGCTCCGCGGGAGCGCGTCGCTGTGGATTCGGGGTCACATATGGGCTTCCGTTGTGCGATCCCATGTTGCGAATGATGTTTCTAGCACTGTGCGCGGCGCCTTCCCGCTCTCCGCCATTCTGCCAGTCAGGGGTGTGTGTGAGGTTGGGAGTTCCGTGAAGTCCATGGTTCAATATTGGGCCTTGCGGTCTCGCCCATGGGGTCTGTTCGATGAACTGCTCGTGGGCTAGGCGATCATGCGGTGCCTGCATGTATCCTGATCGATTGGGGAAGTAGACAGGCTGTGCTGCCGGCACCGTAGCACGCTTGGTGATCTGCTTTCCCGTCAGCCAGATTGCCTTTGCTTGTGCTAAGCCACTTGCATAAATTGAAAGCATACCTTCATAGCTCTCAAGTCGTCGTCCATCGCGTCGCCCTCGGCGCCTGTGATGTCCGGTGCAGCAGGGAAGCCGACGTATTTCGCAACTCCACTCAGTACTGACACCTCTTGGTTGTATTTCGCCTGGTGCCGTATTTGCACACCCTTCTTAGACTGGAACTTGCGCATGTACAACTCGTCGTTGCTCTGGTTGGCCAATCGCCGCTCTTTTTGTWTGCCATACCAGTCCTCGCCCAATTCAACCATGACGTTCTCGCGTAGCTCACGCGTGTGCTGATAGTACTGACTGTGCAGTTGACTGCGTTCGCCGAGGGCCGTTCGCCGAATGCTTTCCGTCTTGAACCTGCGATAGGCGCGCGTTTCGTCCACTTGCTTCGCGTATCGCGCGTCTACACACGCGACTTGACGCAGGTATTCGGGATGCTTGCATTCGCCTTTTGTCGCGAGCATTGCAATTTCGGCATCTAGTTCTGCGAGTCGATCGTTTTGTGCTTTCTGGCKGTATAAAGCAAATTGTTTTGCAATGTCGTCGAATGCGGTGGACGCAGGTTGTTTGCGGAGCAACTCATCCTTCGACTTCGCGCCTCCTTCTTCACTTTGCTCGTCGTCTGGATGTGCGTCATCTATTGCTTCACGCTCAGGCTCTTTCAATACCTCCTTCTTGCCCTTTCCTTTAGGTCTCCCACCCTTTTTCTTGCCTGGCTTCGGGGGATCGGCCGCGATGGTCACGTCAAGATCTTCTGCGGTGGGCATAATTTCTTCGATTGTGTCTTCAATAGTTGCAATAGCTGCGGGCTCGTTCTCTGTCGCAATCTCGTGTTCAACAGAGCTGTTGCTCCTCTTACGCGGAGATTCACCGTCTTCGGACTGTGGGCTGCTCAATGAGCTTCCTGCCGAATTTGTCYGCTTGCGCTTCTTGCCTGTGTCGAGTCGATCAGCCCGTTGCAATATCGTGCAGCTGCTCCATGACGCACCAGCGTTGTCAGTGGTGCTCGTGCTCGAAGCACCTCCCGGCACGGTTGGAATTGGTGACGGAGGCTCCGACAGGTCATCCAAAGCATCTTCGTCGTCCACTGCGGATGTATGCACCAGTTTCGACGGCGTTTTGCCATGCTGTTGTCCTTGTTGGCGAGATTTCTGGGGCGTCTGGTCCAACCGCTCAGTCTCGGCCTCGGAGTCTACGTCAAGAGACGCATGCGCCGCAAGTCCTGTGTGTGCGATGGCGTCGGTATGAAAGTCATCTTCCTCGTCATCAGGCTCGCTGAGGCTGCTGCTGCCATCGTCGCCAATGTCTGCATCCTCGTCCTCGAGCTGCGCGGCCGGGTCGCTGGCGGTGTCGAGCATGCTACCGCGGTGATCAGACAGAGGCGATACGCTCGGCCGATTTGGCGGAGAGGAAGCCATGGCACAGGCTGAAGCAAGGTCACAGACCTGCGATCATGGGCGAAAATTGGCGAGGTTGTGAGTAGTTGGAGAGTGCAAATGAGAGCTGGAGGGGTGGATGCGCAGAGACCGAGCTCGGAAGAATGATGACAAGGGTTCGCGAAGTCTAATTGGTATTTTTTTAATTCGACAATCTTCTCTCCAACCTCAACATTGAACACAACGAAATCAAAATGGCCGAGGACAAGAAACACAGCAAGGCCGACAAGGCGGAGAGAAAGTCAAAAAAGAGCGCGACCGATGGTGATGTGAAAAAGGCGAAGAAGGAGAAAGGCAAGGATAAGGCGAAAGTGAAGGACAAGAGCGCAAAGACTGCGAAGAATGCGTTGCTCGCAGACTCGAAGATCGTTGATCAAAGTCTGGCATCCTTGTTCGCTGTGAAGCAGCCACCGGTGAAAGCCCCACTACCTCAAGCCAACGCAATTGAAGAGGACCACGAGGAAGTAGACGACGATGCGGAACTGAGCAGCATTGACGGCGGCGTCGAGCTGGACAAGGATGAAGAGGATGAGAAGGGAGACTTCGCAGCAGAAACTACACCTGCGGAAGCTTTGGCGGGCGATGCGACGGATGGAGCACCCAAGCGGAAGCGCAAGAGGAACGACGGCGACGAGCTGGAGGACGCTTATATGCGCAAACTTACGCGAGAGGAGGACAAAGATGCCGCGAGAGCAGCCGCTGAACGTGCAGCCAAGAGGCAGCGTGCCAATGTGAATGATGTACAGGAAGCGGGTGCCGAGGAGGACGAGAAAGCAGATTCCGACGCTGAGATGGAGGATGTCACGGAAGACGATGAGGACGCCATGTCTCCTCCACCAAAGCACGAGACACAGACTGGTGCAACTCCTGACGACGAGCTTCTCAAGGCCAACCGTACGGTCTTCTTAGCCAATGTCTCCACGGAAGCCATCACGTCCAAGTCATCCCGCAAAGCCCTCCTCACCCATCTGGCCTCGTTCTTCCCGGAGCTCCCGAAACCCAAGGTCGACGCCCCGAAACCCAAAGTCGAGTCTCTACGCTTCCGCTCCACCCCCTACGCTGCTGCTATCCCGAAAAAGGCCGCCTACGCGAAGAAGGAGCTGATGGATGCTACCACCAAGTCCACAAACGCCTATGCGGTCTACTCTACGCCTGCTCTCGCACGAGAAGCTTGTTCGCGCCTGAACGGTACAGTGGTGCTCTCTCGCCATCTCCGTGTGGACTCCGTTGCACACCCCGCCAAAATCGACAACCACCGCTGTATCTTCGTCGGCAACCTTGGCTTTGTCGATGATGAGACCAACATTCAAGATGCCAATGAGGAGGAAGGCCGCGAAGTGCGCAAGCGTGGTAAAGAGCCCGCCGATATTGAAGAAGGACTCTGGAGGACCTTTGCCAAGTGTGGAAATGTCGAGAGTGTACGAGTCATTCGCGACAGTACGACCCGCGTGGGTAAAGGAATCGCATATGTTCAATTCGAGGACGAAAACGCCGTCGAAGCGGCTCTCCAATACAACGAGAAAAAATTCCCGCCGATGCTACCGCGGAAGCTGCGCGTTTCGCGTGCAAAGGCCGTGAAGCGGAATGCTAAACCAGGAAGCGGGRGACCTACGACGAACAAGTCGAGGCCGACCGGATATCAGAGAAAATTCACGGCAGAGGAGCAATCAAGTATGGGGCGAACGAGCAAGCTGTTCGGCAGAGCTGCGGCTGCGAAGCAGGCGAAGGAACCCAAGGCGAGAGGAACGGCGGCGAATACGACTCCGTTGGGTGAGGCTGGTGCTAGTAAGGGGAAAAGTGCGCTTGGGGAGGGCATTAGGAAACCCGAATCGTTCATCTTCGAGGGTCACAGAGCGAGATCCACGGGCGGCAAGGCTGGTTTGAAGTTGGGTGGAAAGAAGAAGGGCACAAAAGTCACCGGTCGGAGCAAAGCGTTCAAAACGAAAGCCAAGGCAAAGGCCGGCAAATAGGGGCCTATTGGAATCGCATGACGTTGAACATCACCTTTGATGAATGAGCGTTCACAAATGGACGTTACTGCTTTTCGCGTGCCTGCCTACTATGTATAATACTCCATTCATTACCAGGTCGACAGAAATCATGCCTCTTCCAATGCACGCCTCGCAATACCAATCATCACCAAAGGTAGAAAATGCTCACAATCTCACGCGTGCCTGCTTCATCCAATAAACCGGTAGTTGATCCATACCCATTTCTCCAAGACTCCAACCCCTTCTCCAGAAACACATCATCTCCTTTCCCGAAAAAGCCCAATCGTTCATGACCCAAAAACGCCCCCAACTCCACGCCATGTTCCCAGTATGCATCAAGAACTCCTCCATCGCGAGACGCCAATATGAGTCTCCAGCCTACCAAGCCCAAGACCCTCGCCTGGCTGTGGCACCCCAGTTGCCTCCCKGGGCATCGGCATAGCCCTTCTTCTCCTGTCTGGCCCACTCTCTTACATAAAGCTTTAATGCCCTCCATCTGACACATCCGTCGCCTTGAAGTCCATCGCCGCCCGCGCCCTCATAAGCCGGATCGAGTCGGATGTAACCCTTGGGCATCGCCTTCGCCTTGGCATCATCCTCCCTCAGCTCACTGACCGGTATCCCGCTAATCTTGCTGAGCTCCTCGTCGAATGGGCGGGCTAGTGTAGGATAGCCCAAGGAGAGGTAGTTGTAGACTTGCGTCACGAACGAGTCTGGGTATTCCCTCGCCATCATTTCTTCGAAATCCCGGTCTGACACCAGCACAGCGTCGAGGTTGGCGAGGTCTGTGCCGGTCAGGCCTTCTGGAGGGGGCGTCGGTGGCGTCTTCTTGAAGGCCGAGGGTCCACCATTGCGCGCGGCAAAAGATTGCTCAAATGGGTTGGAGCTGTCCGAGCGCGGAGCGGGTGTCATTAATCCCGTTGGAATTCCGTTCGGTGCGACTCCCGGCGTAAGAGATGCTGCGGCCTCCGTTGGCAAGCCCACACAGAAGCCTCCCCATAGACCCCCTCCCTTGGTCGAGCTCTTAGCTTTCGAAGCAGCAGAGGATGTGCTATCATGTGCTGTCGTGGGCTTCTTGGACGTCCCATTCCATAACCCGCCCTTTTCTTCTTGTTTAGCCACAGGATTGTTACTTTCTGCCAACATTTGCTGGCGGAGTTTGGCAGAGCCTTGCGTGACGTCAAAACGTGCAGGCTCAGGTGATGGGCATCGTGGGAATTTAAGGTCATTGCCTAGCATGGGTGGGCGTGCGCGGTCACGCATGGACTGCATGTCGGGATCTTGTTGTTCGGTTGCCAGCCCGGCTGCTGGGTTCCACCATGGAGAGTGTTCCGGAGTCCGCGCGGCAGTGGTCTTGTTCGCATTGCGTTCTTGCTCCAGCTGCTCGGCGTGACGCTGCATCTCCAACTGCTCCCAGGATACCTTGGAAGTGCTTTCGCGTCGTGCACGGTTGAAGAAGATCTCCTCGTCAAAGCCCTCCCACGTGCTCGGTCGCTCATCAATCTCCATGTCGTCACTTTCGTTATCGTCGTTAACGAAATGCTGAATTGGCTCGTGGAAGTCTGAGTTGGGAAAGGCAGCGAGTGCCTGTTCTTGCAGCCGAGCATGTGCCTTTTTCGCCTCGAGTTGAAGCAGGTAGTGACTGAAGTTCTCGTCCACGCTCTCTCGTTCACGCGTGGCATGCTTGTAGGTAAATTCATGGTACGACGAGTCCGAGGCAGTGATCGGCGAGCCTCGCCCCGGGCTGCAGGAGATGGAAGATGGGCCAGACTCACGCTCACTCTCCGAGCTTTCGATTGTGTCCAGGTCCGGACAGCGGAACGAGTGGCTTCTTTCTACAGGTCGAGATTTGGGGCTTGCACTGCCATCAAGGGGTGCGATATGTCTCCTTAGCTCGGAAGAGAAATCGAGATCTGCGCCGCTCTTCTGTCCCGCCGGCGGGAGATGTGTCTCTGCGGGCGTCTTCCAGCCTGTGTGTTTGCGGTGCTCATGGGCGTGCACCTGGAAGCCTTCCTCGGTCTTGTACTCGCGGGCATTGAGCTTCTTGTGCTCGCCAGCACGACGCGATCGTGTGGCCGTCGACAATATCTCCGGCTTGAATCTTCTCGGCGTGGTGTCGTCGCCACCTCCAACGGTGGAGACGTCATCTTGAGTGGGCCTACGGCTGCTGGACGCGGAACTTCTACTGCCACCGTAGCTCGTTTCCACCAGCTGTGGCTTGAAACGCACGCGGGCTGAGCTATTCGAACCTTCCCGCTCCGCCTCTTTGCCCTTATTCCGCTCCTTGCTGCTAGTATGTGAAGTTTCCACCGGCTGTGGTGCAAATCGTCGAGGTGCGGACGGCGCCTCCTTCTCCTCTCTCTCCTTCTTCGAAGACCTCGTACTCGTCTCAATTGCTTCTGGCGCAAATCGTCGCGCACTCTTTGACGATTTGGAGGTCGTCTCGATGGGCTCTGGTGCAAAGCGTCTTACACTCTTCGACGACTTGGAGCTCGTTTCAATTGGTTCGGGAGTGAACCTTCGCGGCTGCTTGGTCGCGTCCTGCTCAGACATGGTGACAATTCTGGCGGTGGCGGAGGGCCCACACGCTGTTCAAGCAGCTCTTCTCATTCATGAATGGATCCTTGATATGGCGCTCGGAAGTGCGAGTGGGTGGGGGTTCAGGGTGGGGATCGGTCGATGTCGGTGGACGGGGAAGTACGCCGGTCACACAAGATAAAGGAGGTTACGCTGCGGGAGTGACTGACCAGCTACTGGGGATGAGGAGGGAAGGTAAGTCGGGAAATGGTGTGAGAAGGCTTGGGGTCCGTGGGGATAGGCACTCGTAGGGTGCAAGAGATCTGGGGAGAAGTGGAACTACTGTAACCAGGAAGGGGAGCGGTGAGTGACGATCCCACCAGACGATTGATGTCAACGCGGTCTGCGGGCAATAAACGCACATCCAAGATGGAGGCTGCTGATCTGGCCTACGATGACCAGTCCCACCGTGGGGTGATTAATATTGAGAGATTGAAACGACAACAGCTGACGGCATGCTCAATGATTCCCGTTCCGTTTGAGGATACCCTGTCCCTGTCCCTGTAGCTCTAGTTCAGACTTCTGCCAGAGCGCCTCGTGGCTGTTGGCGTGATCGTGATCGTTGAGAACTCGAGAAAATTATCTGAAATGTACTGTAGAGCATGCAAGGTGGGCCACACTGCGATCCTCTCTAGGTAGGATTGCTGCGAACACCCAAACTGGAGTTGTCACTTTCGACAAGTTGTTCGCGTTTGCTCTGTGTGATTAAAGTTCCCTGGCCGCGAATCTTGCCTGGCGCTCAAGATTGCAGGCAGTCAATCCGATTTCACCCGATTCGGATGATCTGTATGTCCCATGCCAGGTGTATATACGTCTCGCTCTCGTTAGCAACTCTTGCGCATGCAGGTCCGCATCTACCTCGGCGTTGAAGCCATCCTCACACGACACATGATTGATCTTGCTGGGCTCAACCCAAATACCCCAGTACAGCGCGGTAGTTGAGGCATGGAGTGGGAAACGTTCACAAGGGTTAGACATGTCGTTCCCTGGCTACATGAAACCTGTCTCAATTATAATGGTAGCATCAAAGAATCGTTTCGTGGAGTTCATCCCCGATTACAAAGTAGCGACATCGTCTCTAGAAGACAAGTCCAATGATCGAGCCGCTGGTGCTCCAATCCGACCTCCGACAATGAAAAGCCTGGCGTCGAGAACAGCCTGCTCCGACTGCACCTCGCAGCTACACGGTTGAAGACCATCTCTGACACAAAGGAAATCTCAGTTACTCCGCGTATCTACATGCTTCTGCTCTTCACTTCCCTCCTCTAGGCAGAATTTCAAAGGGTCGTCTGTCTTCATGCAGAACTCGAGTTTCGCCTTTTGTAATATACACGTTCTCTCCAACTCAGAGCATCTATGAGAAGGTCTTGATGAAGCTAACGACAACATCCTTCAACTTGGCCTCGGTATCCTTGCTGAGCGCACCCTCCTTGTCAATGGTGGCCAAAAGGTCAGACTCGTTGCTGCGGAGGTGGTTGAGGAAGTCAGACTCCCACTGGAGAACCTTGGCGACTGGCACGCTGTCAAGGTGACCGTTGACACCGGCGTAGATGAGGGGCACCATCTCGTTGACAGCCATGGGGCTGTACTGCTTCTGCTTGAGCAGCTCAGTGAGACGCTCACCACGGCTGAGTGTCTGCTTGGTGGCGGCATCGAGATCGGAACCGAACTGGGCGAAAGCGGCAACCTCACGGTACTGGGCCAAGAAGAGCTTGAGCGAACCGGCGACTTGCTTCATGGCCTTGAGCTGGGCGGCGGAACCGACTCGGGACACGGAGAGACCGACGTTGATGGCAGGGCGGATACCCTTGTAGAAAAGCTCGGACTCCAAGAAGATCTGGCCGTCGGTGATGGAAATGACGTTGGTTGGAATGTAGGCAGACACATCACCACCTGAAATTTGTTAGCGTATGGAAGGGGCAGTGAGGGAGGGAAAGCTGACCCTGAGTTTCAATGATGGGAAGCGCGGTGAGAGAGCCACCACCGAACTTGTCGTTCATCTTGGCGGCACGCTCCAGGAGACGAGAGTGGAGGTAGAAAACGTCACTGTGATTCTGTTAGCTTTTGGAATGTGAGACGAATGGAAATACTTGCCCTGGGTAGGCCTCACGCCCTGGWGGACGACGGAGGAGCAGAGACATTTGACGGTAAGCCACAGCCTGTTTCGAAAGATCGTCGAATACGATGACAGCGTGCTTGCCATTGTCCGTGAGATAGTTAGTAAATGTAAACAAATTGTAGATGAAGTCGAAGTGATGCGAGATGATAAGATGAGTGAGATGGGAAGAGGTGCGACGAAAGTTGCAGCAAGGTGAGATGTCCGAGGAGATCTCCAGAATGGCAAGCAATGTGATGCGTCCGGGAGGGCCGTGGTAGCGATGGATAGTGTCCAGAAAGAGGGAGCGTGATGAGAAAGTGCCAGGCTGGAGGGCCTCTTTGATCCTGGGACAAAGCGGCGGCGGCCTCGACACGCGCGACGTTCTTCTTGTGCTTGACTGTTGTCCAGAGTTACTAGCGCGGCAGGGCTATCATATCGGCGGTCACAGACTGTGCAATTGAAGTTCTTTGCCGATGCGATCGCACCAGCCGACTTGGTGACAATCGCTCCTGCGTTGATTTCGAGTTGAGTGGCCTGAATATCGTTCTGGGTGTCTTGCGAGGCCATTGACATCGGAGAGCGCAGCTGGCAGGGAACGCAGTAGAACCTCCAAGAGGCCTTTTGGTTCCTGTTGTAGTACCCCATGTACATGGAAGCTTTGGTGTCCTTTCATGTCGCCTCAACGGGAGTTGAAGGTTGTAAAGTTGAAATTCCGAAAGGTGGGTCCATGGTCCAGGCAGCCATCCTGGTTTGGGGGGAGGGGGAGGATAGTGTGGGGATTGTTTTGTGAGGAAAGTGCATGTGTACTTGAACCTCTCCCACGGCTTGAATATTCAAGACCGCCAGGATCGGCTTCACACTGCTACTGATGCTGTGCTAGAGATGAGGGATACATACCACGGAAGTACTCGCCCATGGAGCAACCAGTGAAGGGAGCCTGTGAAAGTTTTAATCAGCAAAGTGTATCGCATCTCAACCATAGGTATACTCACAATGTATTGGAGGGGAGCGGCCTCGGAAGCGGTGGCAGCCACAATAATCGAATACTTCATGGCGTCATTCTCCTCCAGAGTCTTGACAAGCTGGGCAACGGTGGATCGCTTCTGTCCGACGGCGACGTAGATGCAGTAAAGCTTCTTGGTCTCGTCGTTACCAACGTTCCAACGCTTCTGGTTAAGCATGGTGTCAAGGGCGACGGCAGTCTTTCCAGTCTGACGATCACCGATGATCAACTCACGCTGTCCACGACCGATAGGAACCATGGCATCGACGGACTTGAGACCAGTCTGCACGGGCTGGTTGACAGACTTGCGGGGAAGAATGCCGGGAGCCTTCATCTGAGCACGGCGGCGCTCCTTGGTCTTGATTRGGCCCTTGCCATCAATGGGGTTACCGAGAGCGTCGACGACACGGCCGAGGAGCTCCATGCCAACTGGTACATCGACCTAGGTAGCTGTTAAAGGCTGGCTCTCTTCTTTTTTGATCAATGTAGACTCACAATCTCTCCGGTACGCTTGACGGTCTCGCCCTCCTTGACCAATCTGTCGGAACCGAAAAGCACGACACCGACCTGGCCAGCCTCGAGGTTCATGCACATGCCCWTGACACCGGAAGCGAACCTTGGTGAAAGTTAGCCATTGCCTGCGGTTGGGATGCAGATCTTGAAAAGACGTACTCAACCAGCTCCTCTGCCTGGACATTCCTCATGCCGTAGACGCGTGCAATACCGTCACTTTATAGCGCGTTAGTGGTGTTGTTCTGACACGCATCCTCCCTGTCCTTGTCCATCCTTACCCGACTGTGAGCACTCGGCCGGTCTCGGCAAGACCGGTATCTTCCTGCACGCCACGAATCTTCTGCTCGAGGATGGAGGAGACCTCAGTGGGCTGCGCCTTGGTCTCGGAGGCATATCCGCGAGCGATGGTGGTGGCAATGGCGGGTGTGCGCTGTGAGAGGAGATGTGTTAGCGCCGAGGCCGAGGGAGTCGTACAGCGCGAAGGAAGCTCCAATATCACTTCTAGATGCCTGCCAGAGCCTGCTTGCGTCGCATTGGATGGCTTGCTGGCAGCAGCGGATGCCATTGGAGCTCCGTCGCTGGCGCCGTCGCGATACTCACGGGGATGGTGCGAGCGACTGACGCCGCAGCCGTCGCCCTGGCGGTGCTTCTCAGAGCTGTGCGAAACATCGTGATGGAGAGATCGAAACTTGATGCCCTCCCGGCGATATGTGGGATGGTATGAAGTGGAGAGGGTTGGGTAGTGGTGGTGGTGCTGAAGCGGAGAGGAGGTCACGAAAAGCCTCTCGTCAAGTTGGTCCATGCGCTCGTTGGAAGTGCCGGTAACATCCGACGTCCGTCTTCATCACCGCAACTCTTGATGTCCTTTTCCTGACTACTTTGACTCTTGTATCTCACTCGTCACCGTCAATCTTGCGCACATGTGTCACTGAGCCTCACTCATCCACGGCTTTGGATCGAAAGGACACTCCCACTTTGCGTCCGCCATGGCGTTGAATCTTGAGAAGCAACTGCTCTTCGTAAGCCAAACCGTACTGCRTGAACATTATCGAGAGGCTGACGTGACACACAGTATGGCTCCTACCACCATGACCCAGTAGGCGCGATTCTATCTTCACATCTGCGACCTCGCTGACGACCCATAGATCAACATTGCGATTCACATAACCTGTGTCCCGCTACTGCTGCTGACGGGCTTCCTCTTCGTACGTTGAGCACGGCCATGTCTACATTCCACGCTAACAGTCACCTCAAGGGCACAAACAGCCCATCGCTACCTATGCCAGAGTGGCTTCCGAATCCCTACCTGCCACTTAATCTTGGCACCCTGGCTTGTGTCCTCTATTCATCACTTTACATCCTGATGGAGCCGGTCGCCGGAGGAATGCTAGCACCGTTGCTCCTCGGCGCCACTGCCTACGCCAACCACTTGAATTCAGAGTACGGCATGAAAGCCAACTACATCGCGATCGGCGTGCACGTCTTCTCATGGCTGACTCAGTTCGTTGGACATGGTGTCTTTGAAGGACGGGCTCCAGCATTACTAGACAACCTTGTCCAGGCTATCTTTCTGGCTCCATTCTTCGTCTGGCTGGAGATCCTCTTCGCGTTCGGCTACAGACCGGAGCTCAAGTCTCGTTTGGACTCTGCGGTGCAGAAAGAAGTCGCAAAGTTCAAGGCTGAGAAGGAGTCAAAACGAGCAAATGGCCACTCCAAGGCGAATGGAGTGCCGAATGGAAAGGCGAACTGACTGAGTACATGACCTGTGTATGTAGGTTGCCTAGGATTGACTTAAGACGACGCTTACGACAACACTTTTCGAGCAAGCGCTATTCTTGTGGCAATTTTGCGATGAGATATCCTGAGGTATCTCGCGTCTCAAAGAACCTTGAAATGAGGCTGAATGGCCTCACAGTCAAGCCTGCCATGACTCGTGGACTACCGAAAGCCGGGTCGTGTGAAGCAATGTGGATGGCTCTCATTGTTTGAGCTCCCTTCATCTAGGACGAGCTGAAGTGGCAACGGCAATCGTACTCTCAACCTGACCCGCAAAGAAGACTGACTCATCGAACTCGATACCTGACCAAGCTGTGTTTTGGAAGTTCGTGAAACAATGGTATTTCGAAGGCCCTGTCGCCCAAACGCCATGCTAAATTCAAACTCACGGCTTTGAGATCAGCTTACTGGGTCAGCCGCCTGCAATCCATCCCCATCTGCATTGATGTCTGTCATCTCGGCCTCCGCTGTCTCTCCCGGAGTACTCAGACTTGAATCAGAGTTGTTCACGAGAGAAGCCGGATTGGTAATTCGATCCTCGGACTTCGGTCTCCAGTCTTTGAGATGTTGCACCGGGCCTCCCTCGATAACAACCTCTCTGCCATCCGCAGGCCGACCCAATACAGTTCCTTGTAATCTCGCATCGTCCGCCGCCTTGCTGAGCTTCTTTTTCAATGAAGTAAAGAAGTCATCGCCCTGCATCATCTGACCACCCACTCCCATGCGCGCAATGCCCTCGTCGGGGATTATTCCCGCCACCCTTTTGATCTCCCGATATTGAGATGAATTGTACCAGTTGGTGAATTGTCGAACATCCTTGGTATCCTCCTCATCCCGCTTACGCTTCTCTGCTGCAAGTCGACCTTTGCCGCCCTGTGGCACATCGGCAACTTCTTTCAATGGTTTGCGCATCCGTTCCTTCCACGATTCCTCCGATGCATCGATGTATGRGATGAGTACACCGCAGTCTGACAGGGCCATTCGCACATCTGTAATGGTCGGCACCGGATCATTGTGCGATGACCACGCGTGTTGTGCGGCAGTGGAGGCGAGCAGAATGAAATGGCGCTCGGTGATGTCGACCAAGGTATCCAGAACGGAGGGTTTTGTGCTGTGAAATCCGGCAGCGCGAAGCGTATGAATGATCGCGGGCCGCAGGAGTGACCGCTGAATATCGTTTGCCTGGGACATGGTCGTTGTCGATGATTTACCGCAGTATCATGTTGCTTGAGACTCTGATGTAGTGGAGGACGTTGAAGCAAGCGCGCGCGCGAAAGTATGAAGGCCTGAGCCCGCATGTGAAGCTGTAAAGTTTAATCTCATCTCAGCTTCCTGTCATCGACGAACCACGATTGATGCCGGCTGTTGATTTTGTTCAACATGACCGAATCACACGTGTCCCGGAAGGTGACGCAAGTCGGTATCCCCATCTGCGGGAATGCTGGTTATTCCTTAGTCAACGTATTCATTTGAAGTCAAGAGCTACCTGACCGACCTCTCTACCAACTCCGTAGAGTCCAGCTAGCCGCAGATTCGTCCCCCTGAAACAACACAGACCTCAACATCGACGAACAACCCAACCTTTCAGCGAGTAACACGAGTCCCACTATGGCGGCACCCTCGCAATCGCGCCTGCCTGGCCGTCAAGGGTTGCGATCTCGTCCGACATCGATGTTCGAGGTGCCCTCGGAGCACATGAAAAGACTACAACAGATTGGCGATGGCAACGCAGACATGAACACTACATCACCCTCGGAAACCGGCACCACCTCCAAGATTTCGAAGCGACGCAGTCTGCTACCGCATTTCTCGCGCAAGTCTTCGCAAGACGACAGAGTCGCGCCAGCTTCCATTCCAGAGGATGCCGCGCCGTCTGCAGGTGGCAGCGATGATCGCAAGGCTATGCTGCCGCCTCCCAGACCTAGTCGCCTGAGCTCGTTGCGTGCGCCAGGCCGAGCTGCCGCCACGCACTCTCGCACTGCCTCGAAAGATAAAATTGGGGCTCCGGGCTCTGCACCAGCGCCTGCCCAGAAAGCCAGCAGCATTGCGGATCAATTCACATCGCGCGTGGAATCTGGGCTGAAACGCACGACATCTACGCGTCTACCGCAAACGCCAAATCTACGTGGCCCTACTCCCCCTATTGCTGCAGCATCAACGAGTACTCAACGGGAACGGGCTATCAGCAATGTCAGTACCGCGTCTACTAAATCCCACAAGCGCGGGTCTGCGAGTATCTCGAGGACGGCAGCTCCAGGCTCTACAAAACCACCGCAATCGTCGGGGACTTCGCCTAATTCATCCAAGTCACCACCTTCATCTTCGTTAGCCAGGCCACGAAGTTCCAGGACTCAGATGCCACCCCCGTCTCGACCTACTTTCTCTACATATCAGCAACATTACAGCCCTGCCAAGACAGCACTTCCAAAACCTCCCATCCCAGCCGTAAAGGCTACGAAGCCTGCTGCACCGAGTGTGGAAGATGAGATACCTATCACTTTCGACATCGCACTCGAGCAGATTGAGCTCCTACAGCTCTCCCTCTTACATGAATCCTCCGCCAAAGCTCTCATAGAATTTGAGGCAAGTGCCAAAAAGCAGCTCAGTGCTCGGCACACCAAGCTTTCAAGAGAGTAYGATGGTATTCGTGCGCACGAGCAACGTCGTAGACGATTTGTGAATCTCACGACGCTCGAATCGTGGGGTGCCGATCCCGCGCTTCTTGCAGAGCATCTTCAAACGGTTGTCCGGGTGGTATCGGACCTGCGTGGACACACCGAGGCTGGAAGCAGATACTCAGAGATGACCGGAACCTTTGAGAAGTGGGCCACTGATGCCGAGTCGTTCCTGATGGACGAGAAAAGTCCTGCGAACGCTACAGAGGCTCTGCCCGATTCCTGGCGGGCGACCCATACCGCACTTTCGTTGAAACTTCGTGCTATTCAACGTGATCTCAGCACATTGCCGCCCCTCCCACCCAATGAAGAACCAGACATAGTCCCAAGTATACAGGTGTTGATGCAGAGCTGTTCGTCCTTGGTTGATGGTATTCTGAAAGAGTTGGAACTCATGACTAAAATACAGAAAGAAGTCCTGCAGCGCGGCAAAGAGCGCATTGATGAGCAGATTAGTGCTCTTGTCAGCAGTACAGATGTCACGGGTGAGAAGGAGAATTGGATACCAACGCCCGCGTGGCAGAGCGTTCCGTAACTTGCTATGAAAGCGATGTAACCATTTCATTGGTTTGTTGAATTTTCTGTTCAAATACAGTGTGACGCTACCCAAGGCTAATAAGGTTCCACGACGTAATTTGCTGCTTCACGCGCATACATAAGCCGCTCCGCTTCGATGGCTTGCGGCATCCACGCTTTGTAGTCCAAGCTTCATGGTGTTAAGGAGGTCCAGACTGGCTCGCATTTTCCTTTTTCGCACTTGAGACTTTCGACATTCTCTTTTGCAGCATGTGATTCCGACTCTGGCATGTCAGATTCACCGCCACCCACCACCATGCCGAATGCTTATTGACATGGTGTCAATGGGAAGCACCTACAACACATGTCGGAGCCTATGAGCAAGGTTAGCGCCGGTCCACATTCGCATCATTTCCGACACATATCACCTACGTTGTCCTCGGGTGCTGGCAGGTGAAGTTGTGCGCCCACGACGGGCACCAAGTCATGACTTGTAGCGTGGACATAGTGTTTCAGAGATGGGAATTCGCCAAGCATGGCCCTGGTTCTCGTGGTGTCGTCAAATTAGGATTCGCTTTGTGAGTTGTGCGTTGGCGACTCTCAATCCTCAAGTTGGGGCGTCCCTAGACATAGCGGAAGATTGAGGTTGGGCGTACGGTGGTGAGTGCGCTGCTCCCGTATCTAGCATCTGTAGCTGTGGATCGAGTTGGTGCTCCGTGCGGGTCGTCCTCGATCCGGGATTTAAGACGTACTCCAAAGGCTGATTTGCTGGAGTTTGCTGCGTCGGTTGCATCGATTCCTGCTGCATGGCGGCCTGAGCTTGAGCGAAATGGTCCTGACTGGCAACTGCACTCAAGGCAGCGAGACCTTCCGTAARGGCTGAATAATCAGCAGGGGACATATCAGATGGCTCTCGCGGTGGATAGCTCAGAACTGGTTCACTGCTACGCTGCTGCTCGGGTTCATCATCCTCGTTGTCGTCGTAAGGGTTGGAAGTATGGATCCAAGTGAGCTCCTTGGACACGGGCACCCACTGCGCCGCCTTTGCAAAGGTCTCCTTGTACCCGTAGAATCGTTTGAGGCTCTCTTGATTCTTATTCATGGATGGATTTTGTTGGTGACGAAATGTGATTCCAGATGCTGGGATGCAGGTTCGACTGGCTTTGGAACACTGAGCGCATGTCGGCTTCTCCTCGCTGCATTTGAGCTTCCGTTGACGGCATGTCATGCATCCTGTCCGTGTGCGCATTTTCAACCAATATCACTGTGAAAGGTTGAACTTCATTCCCAAGAAATCAGAAAGTTGTTGGGCAAATAGATTCGGTCAGAGGGCAATGTTGTAACTGCGTAGAAAGTTAAGCGCGACGGGAACTAGCGGGTAAGCTAGAACTAGTCCGTTGCAAGGTTTAGTATACTATTACAGTAGGCAGTAACACCATATTTAGAGCGAATATAGTATAATTGATAACCTCGTAGATAAGTATGGCAGTAGAAACGCTAGTAGGAATATAGACAATCTTCAACACTCGCCTCTATGTTTATCACTACTCTATCCGCTCGCCATACCGACCATCTCCTCAAACATCGATTTGATCACCATGGAATTATGCCACCAAATCGGTCATAGAACATGCCACTGTTCTGAGGTCCCCATGCTGCAATCAGCGGAGAGATTGWCGCAACGCTCTCGTCTGGTGATATTGCCCCCTCCTCCTTGCATTTGACCAATTTGGTTTCGACGCGCCCGGGATGGCACAACACAAAGTTCACGTCGTGAACATCTGCGGCAAAGGATCTTATAATCGTGTTTAGAGCCGCTTTGGATGCTCGATAGGCATAGGCACTCCCTGCATCCTTGTTTGGATGCTGATTGTTTCCAACAGAACCCATGCGAGAAGACATGACAATCACCTTCCCATGGTTCACCCGTAGATTTGGTACCAACGCGCGGACGAGCATGAACGTCCCTATGGTATTGATCTCAAATTTCTGTGCCATCGTATCGTCGTTCATCACGGACAGAGTCTCGCAGGCCGCAACATCGTCTGGTTTAGACTGCTCCATCTGAGGTACCAGACCTCTCACTCCAGCACAGTGGATGAAGAGATCGATAGGCCGCCCCGCAATGACGCTGGCGAACATGTTGACTGAGTCCTGAGAACTCACGTCCACCTGGTGACAATGTACGTTGGCTAGAGGCACATCGAAAGTGATCTGGTCGATTGCAAAGATTTCTGCTTCGGGCTGGTCTTGATACGCTCTGACGAATGCTGCTCCAAGACCATTTGCCGCTCCTGAGATGACGATGACGGCCATACGCGACGTTTCAAGAAACTGTTTTGGGCAATATAGAAAGATGAGATATCTTTGCAGCTCCTCAAGTGATATGCAGCACCGTGGTGATGTTGGGACATGTATGACGCGTAGTCGTTCAGGGGATACTTTTCTTGACTATGTCAGTCTTCGGGTTGTTCTCGCAGCTTCGTGTTGGTCAGAGTGTCTAGAAGTGAGGTGAGTCGGCGAGAGTCGAGTCGATGGTGTACATTGTACCAAAGTAGGAGGTCCACGGGTACTTTAGGTTTCAAGCCAAGCAATCGCTTCGCCCCGCCATTTCCGGTCGGGTCTAAGTAGCAATCTGCTTCCTGTCACTCGCGACGCTCACACCTCGATAATTCCACTCAGAAGGAGCTTGCGCGCCGCTTCTTCAATATGATTGCTGCGCATCGCGTGACGTCGACCGAGACAAGCTAACTACAATGAAGTGAACCTCAAATTCACTTGAACTCGGAACACGAACTGAACATGGTGCGACATATCTTACCTTGATCTTTCACTCAAACCGCCGGCGCTCGCCAACCATTCTCTCATGCACACCTAGAACATGCCACCCACACCACTCCCCGCCGCCGCCGCCGTCGGCTCCGCGCCTGCGCCCGCGCGGAAGATATTCAACTGCATCGTCGATGACACGGCACTGGTAGCAGGCGTCAAGAGAAGCACGCGGAACGGCATCCGGCAGTGGGTCAAGAATGGGCAGATTCGCCTTTTCGTGCCCCTACATGGTATGTGCCTGGACGCCGAGGGCGGGGCGGGATTGTGCTGACAGGAAACAAAGCACTGGAGGAGTTGAGCCGTCAGAAGGGCGCCAAGAACAGACATGCCGATGACGTGCGCGAGACGCTGCAGTGGCTCGACGAGGCCACCAGCAAGCACCCGGACGTTGTGACGCTGCAGGGTGCCGACGAGACGTACGAACGATGGGCCGAGGTCGAGCGCTTTGCCGTTCCGCGCACCATGTTCTCTGAGCAAGACTACGAGCCGGAGCATGATGAGGAAGCAGATGAGCTGGCCGAAGTGACCGCCAGTAAGCTGCGCCTATCTGCGCAGAATCTTGACGCCTCGCTCAGCTCCGCCGCCTCCGATCTTTCCCGCTCGATGTCGCCATCGTCTTCCAGGAGCGTCCGTTCCAGCGCAAGCCCCGTCTCGCCACCCACGAGCCCCTCCAAGGCCGCGATCTCGCCTATGCAGAACCTGTCCAACCTGGTTGGAGTGAGCTCGCGTCCGCAGTCTTCTAGCGACTCGGTCCCACAGCCGCTGCAGCCGCTATTCAACTACATTTTGTGGCGCGTTCATCAGGAAATGGACCCTGTTGCCGCGCTTGAGTCCTTTATCTTCCTGTGCAACGACCCCAGGAAAGTCAACTTCGCCAAGGGGTTCGACATCAAGGTTAAGCGTCTGGAGCAGCTGCGTGAGGCTGTTGGAAGAGAGGACAGGGACCACAAGAACCGTCAGAACCTCCTGATTCGAGAGACTCAAAATCTTGCACCCAAGACCGGTGAGCTGGCACATGATCAAAGCCAGGACGAAGAGGTCGTTTTCAAACCTGCTGTTCCCAGAGCACCTGCCGCCATGCTTCAGAAGCATTCTAATCTCATCGACCCAAACACTTTCGGGCGTGGTCCCCAGCCAAAGGCAAGTGTTCCCATCAAGGATCTACCGAACGGCGCTCCAAAATCGCCCCGCGCGGCCCACGCTGCACCTCAGCGTGGTTCTCCACGCGGTGTACATGCCTTGCCATTTGCTCCTCGTGCAAACATGCGCGGAGGACCTCGCGGTAACTTTCGCGGTAGTGTGCGTGGACGAGGAAACTTCGGCTCTACGCACACAAGCACCTTTGTCACAGAAAACGTCACTCCTGATGGGCAGATCGACCCGGATAGCTTTTCCAGGCCCGATCCGCGCTCTAGCATTGGTGGCAGTCGTGGGGGCAGGAAACTCTGGGTTCCGACGTGATTGGATGACTGTGCCCATGCGGCTGTCGAAACGCAACCAACTGAGGTATAGAGAAATCATGCCATAGCACCACACTGGCAGATGCATGCGATTGTCTCGTGCCAACCTAATCCTCATTATGTCAGAGGCGCGCAGCGCCAGGCCATTTTGGCATCTGAGGAACACTCTAGTGCGGATGAAAGCGCATCAACGGAGCTGTGGCAAAGCCGACTCAAGGACAAATTGTCTCGAGAGCTTTAAGGAGTGATGGCAATGAAACGAAGCGGGAGAAATTGCGGAAGGAGAGGATGAAGGAAGGTTGAGAATGCGAGCTGTCGGAGTGGAGATTTCCGGACTGTCACTGTGTTTTGCTTTGCATTTATCTTTGCTTGCGGAACATTACTTGTTCCTGTCCAGTGTGCGAGGCCACGCGAGACCTGCGAAGAGTTTCGATGATAGCTGAGTAGTCACGAGAATGGACGATGAACTGCGTTGGAAATGCGGCCCCCTGAGCTACCTTACACTTTGACAATCATGGAATCCTAGGTCTTTTGTCCTAGCAGCCCACGTTGCTGGGTCAGAGAACCTGCCGGCCAAGGCATTTCGTCCATCTTGAGAGTACAAGCGCACACGTTACAAAGTGGTCGCAGCTTGCAGCGAATCTATTTCTCTGTTCTATCTTGACACTCTACATGCTTGAAAGACGTCGCTTTCAAGCCGCCTTCTTCTCCTTCATTTTGCGCTGCTTCTCCATCTTGCTCAGCTGCGCTTCGATTCCAATGCCTCCAAAGACGAGACCAACACCGAGCCACTGCACCATTCCCAGAGCATGCCCAAACCATACAACCGATAGGATCATGGTCAGCATCTTGCGCGTGACAGTGACGGTTACGAGTAGCAGACTTCCAAAGGTTGAGAGTGTCATGACTGTGACATGATTAGCACAAGCAACGGTATTCACGTAGGGTGAGACGAACAAATAAAGACTTGACCCAATGCACCACATGCAGCGAATCCCAGAATGTCCCAACCGACCGCTGGATGGCGTTGAATAAAATCCAATGCATCTTGCAGCTCGCCTGAGCCTTTGATGAGGTCGAAGCCGGCCACGGCGCCGATTCCAGTGTGTGCTAGATATGGCGACAGTAGAAGGTACGCGCTGGTCAGAAATGTAGAGATTATGTTCAGAGCGCACATCATCTGCTGTCCAGTATATGGTCTAAATTTCGCATAAATGTCGTCTTGGGTCGAGTTCGTGAGCCCATCGAATAACAAGTTGATGCCGAGTAAAGTTAGACCGTAGAGACTGTTCCCGCTCGCACTCTTCTTCTTTGAACCACCAGATTGGAGGGTGAAGATTGCCACCCCAGTTGTCACGAGCGCGACGACTGCATATTTGTAGAATGGATACCGCTTTCCGTATAAAGTGACGTGCAGGAACATGACGGGTAGCAGTTTGCATGACTTTGCCAGGATGAAAGTGATGTAGTCCACATGCGCAAGACTGGCGTATCCGAACGGCGAGGCGAGAGAGGAGGTGATGGCCACAAGACTGAGAGGCCATAGTATCTTCTTTGACGGGAATACCGGAAGATCAGAAGACGATTTCCGAGTTGTCAGGACGTAGATGTAGCCCAACAGAGCTGCAAAGACGGATTGGACAGTATTGATCAGGACCGGATACTTGAAGACCTCTCTTTCCGTCTCCGTTCCGTARTTTGTGGTTGTGATTCGTTCTTGCAGGAATCCCCATGTTAGACTGAGGTGAGAGTTAGCTTCTGAACGCTCGTGTGATTTGGCATGTAACATACAAAGAGGCATAGATGCCTCCGACACAGATGAGGAGCTTCATGGTGTTGGCAGATGCCGATACTTCTTCGCTGCTCTCATGCGCGACATCATTTTTGCCGGCTACGGTGGCATCATCGTTGGCAACATGTGAGAGCTTGCCATTGGCCTGTCGATGGTGAACTGCCATTTTGTGGCCACGTGGAAGTGATTGTTCCACTTGCTGGCGATGGGTTGGATAGCCTCGGAAGAAAGTATCCTCTGCTCGCTCCGAGTGCCGCTTCAAGGGGTGGCTATGATCGAAAAGATGTCAAGAATGCAGAAGTGAACTTTTATTCATTCATTTGGACAGTTGTAACTTGTTGGACCGGGGGGATGATTTGCCAACCCAAAAGTGGTTAGACTACGAATGGCAAGTGTCGCGCAGTGGAATTGAAATTGAAGGTTGCCGCAGCAAGAGAGCCTGTTCGGTCCTCGGCAACTCTACGGCAGTCTAGATCACCGTTGAGTGAACGGATGAACGCAACTTCATCCCAAGCCTCGTGGGCATTCGATCCAGCAACATCTCATAATGAGCTGGCAAAATGACAGTGAGACTCCAGGGAAGCTATGGGGGCCTCAGCACCCCGGCGAAACTTCCATGGACAAGTATCGAATCCACGTCAATCAGACGTATGGTCTAGACCTGCAGACGAGCAGCGACCTTCATCGTTGGAGTGTGCAGAGTCCTCATCAATTCTGGTTGGACCTATACTCGTGGCTCGGTTTGACTCCATCCCTGCCTCCAGGTATGCGGGAAGCATATGATCCCAACGCTCCCATGAGCTCAAACCCACCATTTTTTGCCGGTCTGCATGGCTTCAATTACGCGGAGAATGCAATGTTCGCCAATCCTGATCCAAATGCAATTGCATTGATAGGCGTCCGGGAAGACACCGATCTCGATGAGGGGAACGAGGAATTGCTCTCGTGGTCTCAATTTCGTGACAAGGTTCGCTTAACGGCGAGTGCTTTACGCAGATGCGGTATGAAGCTTTGAGGTTGCCGGAGAAGGCTCCATACTGAACAGCCTTAGGAATCAAGAAAGGCGACAGGGTTGCGGCTTTGGTCGCAACATCCGTGTGCGCTATGGTCCTTTTCCATGCAGGTAATTAAACGAACCAGGACAGAAAGGCGCTCGCCAACGCCATTGTATGTTTCGATGGAATGCAGTATGTTTGCTGACTATCGTTGCAGCGGCAAGTATTGGGGCGGTTTTCACTTGTATCAATCCGGACTTGGGACTCGAAGGCTGTGTTTCGAGGCTGCAACAGGTCACTCCCAGCATTCTCTTCGCGGACTCGCATACACTCTACAAGGGAAAGGCGGTGTCGACACTCTCCAAGGTCGGCAGCATTATGAAGCAACTCAAACCGCAACCGCATCTATATATCGTGCCTATCACATCGGAAAGTATTGACCTGCCTCTTATTGATGCATTTCTAGCCCGAGCGGATGCCTCCGACAAGCTGACATTCTGCCCCATGTCATTCAATGATCCACTCATCATTGTGTATTCAAGCGGGACTACTGGTGCCCCGAAGTGTATCGTAAGCTTCGGTCCGCTACATATATCGCCCTTTCGTCACTGATCATCCTGCCCTCGCGTCCTAGGTCCATCGGCATGGGATGATGATTCAGCTGAAGAAGATAGCAAAAGTACACAACGGAACCACACTGTCGGACGTCATTTTGCAGTATTCCAGCACGTCTTGGGTGGTCTTCTACATCATGTGTGGGTATTTTGCCTGCGGCGCGTACGACTACCCCTGACATATAGTGTCTCTTTGCATCGGAGATTATTCAGATCCACAGGGTACTCTCGAGCATCCCGGCGTTTGTGCGTTAGTAACGAATGGATTACTCGCAAAACTACAGCGAAAGCGGTCCACTGGTCGTCGAGAATAACCTCCGGTGTAAAGAGAGGTTGTAGCACACAACACATAACGCTGACTTCCTACAGCACAACCGTCGTCTACAATGGCAGTCCCATGTTCCCAGATACAACTCAAATGCTGCGAATGATCGAAAAGTACAGAGTTACGTATTTTGGAAGCTCTCCCCGATACCTCCTTGAGATCGAGATGGCCAAAATCGTCCCAAAAGAGCGCTTCGATCTCTCCTCTCTCAGGATTGTGTACACCACTGGTGCGACACTCTCACATGCCCAGTACCAATTCTTCTACCGGGCTTTTCCGTCTCATGTTCACCTCGCGAACACCGCCGGTGGCACTGATACGGCAACATCGCTTATTGCGGCAGACCCAGCCGGAGATCTGCATGCCGGAGAAATGTAATCGTCGCTCTTCTTCCATTGTGAGAGCATGTCTGACCTATCAACAGGCAAATGTTTGCGCTGGGTATGGACGTGGATATAGCTGATCCAGCATCTGGAGAGTCAATCATCGAGTCTGGTGAGGCGGGCGAGATGATCGTTCGCTCACCATTCCCGAGTATGCCGTGCTTCTTCTGGGGCGATCACGATGGCTCCAAGTACCAATCGAGCTACTTTGAGCGCTTTGACAATATMGACGTGTGGGCTCAGCACGATTGGTTGCAGAAAATGCCAGCAACGGGTGGGCTGATCATGCAKGGTAGGAGCGACGGCGTTTTGAGTAGGTCGCCGTGGTCGCAACATTCTGTCAACGCAATGCTGACAACCTCCAAAACCCTTCAGGCATTCGATTTGGTTCGGGAGAGATCTATGCCATCGTGGAGGCTGCGCCGTTCAATGTTCACATCTCGAACAGCCTGTGCGTCGGTCGACGAAGGCCTCACGATCAAGATGAGGACGTCTTCCTGTTTATCGTAATGAATTCAAATGAGCAATTCACCCCTGAGCTTTCAGCAGCTCTTCGACAGGCTATCAAGACAGGTCTCTCTTCGAGGTAAGCGGGGATGGAAATACTGTCGTCTGAATTGAGGCCGCCTTACTGACGACTGGTGATATCCCCCCAGACACGTTCCTCGCTTCATTGTGCAGGTACCAGAGATACCAACCACTATCAATGGGAAGAAAGTCGAGGCCGCCGTGAAACAGACCCTCAGTGGGAAAGACGTGATTCCTTCCAACACGATAGTAAACCCTGCTTCGATTTCGTATTTTAGACGATTCCGGGAACTGGAACGAGAACCCAGGCCCGCTAGATTGTAGAGGCTTGAGATGGTCTAGACTTACTACCCGGGATTTGTGCTATACCTCGRCGACCAAAGTAGAGATTTTCTGACTCAAACTTGGACACCTCATACCAGGCCCTTGGGATAGGCTACACAGCAAGTAGAAGTAGTGCCCCGTGCAACACTGTACATAKCTATGCATACTAGATATACCTTGTCGTAGCGGCCACGGTTTACACGATTGCTTCTTTTCGAGCGTGTTGGCTGGTATAGGACTTTTACTACCTCTCGACTTCGTGGGTGCGTGTTGTTCGGTCCATGCTACCCCAACCCTAACCCTGCTCGCACCCATCAGCCTGATATTCAACCTTTTACCAGCGATCCACTAGCTGTTGACCGGGTTTAGCCGGCTCGCCTTCACTACTTCGTAAGGCACTCGGGTCTCGCCGTTCATAGCCCTAGAGTGATGTAATCGAAGGATGTATGCCGACAATGGACGTCTATTCTTAGATTCCAACAAGCAACATGCAGGGTCTCGACGCGGGCCTCGAGCATGCAGAATTCATCCACCAACATCACACTTGCATGAGTCGAAAACCTACGAGCAGCCGCGGTTGGGACGCCGTACTCCAGCCCAGCAATGTCGGTCGGACTATAGCTGCAGCAATCCGGACGATGCCATCATGGCGTGACCATCTCCAAGTAATGTCCAATCGGAAACCGCAGCGGGAATTCTGAAAGGCTGCCCGTTTCGGTGCTCATCTCAGCAAATACGAGCTCCCGCTTCTATTTTCCGTCGCCCACCAAGATTTTTAATGACTGCTGGCGTGCGCCTTGGCACGTGCCTGTTACGGTCTGCCATCGCCATGTGGTAACGCGTCGGCACCAGTGACTGCTTTTATCGCCTAGCAGGGACCGGCAGGCTCTTTTGGCTTGCCCGCAATGCCATTTTGGTAGAGAACAAGGGTTTCCAGCATTCGGCCGGATCGACAGTGGACACAGCTCGCCGGCTCGTCATGGCATGTCCAACGCGCCGCGACACAAGACTGGAAGAGTTGCTTCCTTCCTGAATCCTGACCGCTTGCACCGCCCTGTGAGAGGCCCTAACAAATCAGAAGCCATGGATGGTCTTCAATAACCGACGATTGAGGTGACAGACCACAGCATGTTCATTGATCTTGCTTGCTCCTTGGGACCAGGCATCACAGGAAGACTGGCCATGCAGCAGAACCCACCACCGTTTAAGAGATTCGCCCGAGAGCGCTTTGATGGCGCCTCCCTTCAGAATGAGCGTCCGGCCTCTGTCACCAACAACACTCACGGAGGCCCTTCCCGGATATCTCTAGATGAACCTCAACATAGCCGACAACAAACCGGTCCGCCGAGCACGCTGCAAGTAGACCAGTACCACACCGAACACTATTGGGCACCATCGCCTCTTACCGGTATCTGGCCTCAACATACCCCTCTTCAAGACTCGAGACCCAATGAACCACTGCGGGATTCATATATCGTCAGCCCTCTTGGACCCGACGTTCCATATCCGTGGCGGCTTCGAGCACCTCCGGTAGAGAGAACATTATCAACACCCACAGTGAGCCAGCGTCGGCAGCATGGAGCTTATCGTAGTGGAAATGATCCGCGATCTTCAGAAGCAAGCGCATCTCCCATGCAACTCCCACCCCAGCCGCAGCTACGCCCATACAGCATTGCGAATGATCTAGTTCCGCACTCAGTAAGCCAGCCTAACACGCCGAGCTGCTATCCATATACACAACAGCAGGATCTTGATGAGCCGCCCCCCTCAATCACGACCGGAGAATCGTCAACTCAATTGGGATCCGGGAGACGGAGGCCCCGAAGTGCTACAGGCATGGGTGATGCGAATTTCACAAACGACGAGTTCCACCTTTTCGTTCAAGCCACTGCGGGTTTAGGACCGGACTTGGGAACGGAACAGTCGTTCAGGACACCTAACCTACCGTACAATATGCCAGACCGCGAGGAATCTTACCATGGAGCTGGATATACGCCACGGAATGACTTGAGCATGATGATCTTGGAACCCGATACTGTGACGGCCACGCGAGCATACCAGGCGGCAACCACACCCCACGGAAGAACAACGGAACAGCAAGAGTTCGCACCAAGCCGCCCTCCAATGCAGAGGCTGGAGACGTCCTCCTCCGCTTTAGACCTGTGGCTACAACCACCAAGTGCTGCTCCGTTAGATGATGATTATACTGTCAGTCCGATAGAAGATGAACTTCCTGATTATGCAACCAGTCAAGCACAGGCGCAAGCTGAACAAAGAATTGAAGCTGCGAGAAGAGCGAAGGAACTAAGACGAAGGTGGGAGGAGAGTCGTCATTGAAGGTATTGAGCATATCGCCATAACATGTGAGGGATGCAAAATGGCCATGGAAGCAACGCGACTGAAGAGACGAGAAGTCGAAGTGAAAGCAGGAAAAGCGAATTACTTGGCTGGTTGGAGTACCCGAYAGGCACACTCTCGGGAAACATTGCACTACCGCAACGCGCCCTGGATTTGGACTCCTCGAGAAACCTAGCCTTTCGCTATGGTTCGCATGCCGCACCCGAGGGACCGTCACTAGGGAATTGTCCATTCTGACCAACCGACCACCGGACACTGCCATTACATCATCATTCTTGTGAAGCCAATGCCTGAACCTCAATTTCGACGGGGATCATTCCATTGCGGCTTTCATTAACTTACTACCTCCCTTAGCATTGGACAGATCATTCTGATCATCATGCCTCCCAGAGTAATTTATTGGTTTAGGACGGACCTTCGATTGCACGATTCGCCAGCACTGCAGGCAGCACTGTCCCTCAAACCAGCAGCTCTGTTCCCGATATGGTGCTGGGACAGTCACTACGTTTTCAATGCCCGGGTTGGAGTTAATCGATGGCAATTTCTCTTGGATTGCATGGATGACGTGTCTCGCAATATTGCTGCATTGAACGACAAACAGAAGCTTTTCGTCTTGCGTGAGCCGGCTGTCACTCTTCTTCCAAAACTGTTCAAGGCTTGGAAAGTTACTCATCTTTGTTTCGAAGCCGATACCGACGCGTACGGGAAACAACGTGACAGCAAAGTTCTCGAGTTGGCCAAGGCAGCAGGAGTGGAAGTCATTAGCGTGTCAGGTCGGACGTTGTACGACAGTGATGAGATCGTGAAAGCGAATGGCAACAAGCCGACCATGACAATCAAAGCACTCGAAGCAGCTGGCGATAAACTGGGAAAGGTCGCGTCTCCTGTGGATGCGCCGACTTCGCTCCCTGACCCGGGAGATATGAACCTGGAATTCGAGCAAGACAAGCCGGAAACAAAGCCCGATTTCAACGCGAAACATCGTGATGAGAATGACAAGACATACATGTCAGGAATTGCTGGTCCTTCAGGAGATTTCGCAGTGCCAACACTGGAGGAGCTGGGGATGAAAGCTGCCACCACTCCGCATAAAGGTGGCGAAAGCATAGCCTTGAAAATGCTCGACGAGCTGTTAGCCAAGGACGACTATCTTGCAACTTTCGAGAAGCCCAAAACCAGTCCAGCAGCTTTCGAGCCACAATCTACATGTCTCACGTCCCCATACCTCCACTTCGGAGCGCTGAGCTGCCGGCTCTTCTATCACAAAGTTCAGGACCTCATCGCTAAGCGGGAAAAGGAGAAGAAGCATTGTTCAAAGCCACCCGAGRGTTTGATTGGCCAGCTGCTCTTCCGTGATATGTACTTTGCTGCTCAAGCCGCCCTCGGCTACTCATTTGGTCAGACCTATAACAACGATCACTGCCGCTTCATACCTTGGCATTTGCCCAGCAAGGTGGATGTGAAAACGAAGATGATTACCGGCGGATACGAAATTGATGATCCCGAGAAGGAGGAGTGGTTCCAAAGATGGACGCACGGCACAACTGGCTTTCCATGGATTGATGCTATCATGTAAGGTTGCGTCTGCCGGGCAAAGGGACGGTGGTGTAGCCCAAAAATGTCTTTCGAGCTACGCCACGCCTTGGTCCATGTCGACTTTGTTCAAGCTAACTCGGCATTCAATTCTAGGCGACAACTCAGGGAAGAAGGGTGGATCCATCATCTTGCTCGGCATAGTGTCGCGTGTTTCCTGACCCGCGGAGGCTGTTACATCAGCTGGGAGCGCGGCGCAGAGGTCTTCGAAGAGCTCCTTATCGACCATGAAGCCGCATGCAATACCGGAAACTGGCAATGGCTGAGCTGTACTGCTTTTTTCTCGCAGTTCTATCGCTGCTATTCTCCCGTGGCATTTGGCAAGAAGTGGGACAAGGATGGAGACTACATCAGGAAGTACGTCCCCGAACTGAAGGACTTTCCCGCCAAGTTCATATACGAACCTCATAAGGCTCCAATTGCGGATCAGAAGAAAGCAGGCGTCTTGATCAAAGGTGATGGAAGCGAGACTGAGCGCGACGGTCTCAAGGTCTATCCAAAGCCCATGTTCGACTTTGCTGAACGCCGTGACATTTGTCTCGAAGGGATGAAAACGGCCTATGGTCTCAAACTCTATGGAAATAATCCAAAGGTCATGGACGGGACATGGAAGGCGCTTTTCGATGATTCTGCAGAGGGACCTACTAAAGGAGAAAGGGGAGGACCAGGTGGGCTGGACTTGGCAGAAGATGCCGAAGGAAACGAGGAGATGGATAGCGATGCTTCCACGAAGAAGTCCTCCGCGAGCCCGAAGAAAGCGCGACAGGGTCACAAGCGGGAGGCCAGCCAGTCCAAGATCGATTTCACCAAGAAGAGAGCGAAGTGAGGGGCAACACAGTACCTTTTTATGACCGGCGGACATGGCGAAATCAGTACACTTGATCCGCATAGAACAAGCCTCAACCTGCGTCGGCTGTTGTTTCCAGGTGAAAGGCAGCGTATCATCGGATGGGCGGGGTCAGGGAATCACATCGAGCAAGTGGTAAGAAGCTCCATTCTTCGAACTTCCTCTATATATTATCTAAACAGCGACGGCTCCAAGACATATGCAGATCAAACCACGCGCATGAACGTTCAAATCCTCCCCAAAGCTTCTGTTTTCTCGATCCGCTCTGCAATAATGTCGTGGAATTGTTTCCGCATCTCCATGGGGCCGATGTGTCCTAGTCCTTCGTGGAATGACTTCGTCACGCCGGATTCCTCTCCTCCCAACTCTTCTAGTAACATTTTCCCGTGAACAAAGTTGACCACTAGAAACGAACGAGTCAGTATGAATCATCGGACATTGAACGTGCTAGCAAAGCAGCAGCAGCAGCAGTTGTCTTTGAAGATAACAACGACAACCTATAACAAGGAATACATCAAAGCTCACTTACTGTTATCACCGGTACCATGGAATACGAGGATACGATTCCTGCCCACTTTGTCTCCGATCTGCTTTAGCTGTTTGGCTGATTTGTGATGGAAGCCGGCGGCATATAGCTGGCAGATGAAACCCGTTGTGGTAAAGAGACCAGGTGTAGTACGTTTCCTGAGCTCCTGTGCGGCGAATCGATCGCCGTTAGTTGGAAATGGTTCCACAACATACTCCACTTCGTCTGGTTGGGCGAGCCATTCTGCGGAGTAACAATCTGCTTTGACTTTGGCGATCTGGTTGTCAGGTGTCTTTGGCATTAAGAGCTGGGCTCGATTCTTCAGGTTCTCGAAGAAGGGGAGTGTGCGAACGATTCGCGGTGCTGTGGATATCAGATTCAGACTGCAGATTCTCTCGGGTATCAATAGAGCCTTCCAGAGATGTCAGTTGGAGATCGGAGTAGTTGATCGAGGTCATCTCACGAGTTCCTGTGCAATCATGCCACCCATGCTGATTCCAACGATATGCAGATCTCTCTTCTCTTTCCAGTCCAAATGATCCAAGAGCTCGATGATATCCTTAGCCATCTCTGACGTGGTGTATCGTAAGAGAGGTTTGTCACTTTGGCCCATGCCCCTGTTGTCGCAGAAAAGACATGTATACTTATCTGCCTCAACGTGCCCAAAATCTTTGATCTGCCTTTGCCATGTACGGCTGTAACCACCTAGACCCATGATCCACTGTGCTGTCGATCAGATTTTGGATCAGAAGTTGTGGCGATGCGTAGTACATACCAGTATCTTACTTGGTCCATGGCCATGAACTTCGTAAGCAAACTTGAGAGGACCACCTCGACCAGCCGCCACATCAAGCTTTCCCTCCTTGTTCGCCGGGAGATTCCATACAACGTGAGGATATTCCGGATGTGCGATGACTTCTTCAACGGTGAGTGGCTGACCACCTTGCGCTTTGATGTGGGGTGAGCGAGGGTCTTCTTGCCTGTCCTTGGGTAGGCTGGTCTCGATTGTTTCCCTCAACTCATCTGTACGTCCCGGTGGCTTGGTAGTAGACGTCATATTGATAGTAGCAGTGGATCTGTGTGAGCTGTTGTTTGAGAAAGATTGCAAGAGATCATCCTCGGTCATGGCCGGGGCTAGTGCRCTCGTGCGCGGCACATGCATCTGCTTAGGAAGAACACATTCCTGTGATGAAACGAAAATCGGCATCATCTCGTCACTCGATTAAGGTACATCACTATGCGAATCAAGAGATGCTTCTTCAGAAGTTTTCTAAGCTTCGGTAGGTAGCACAGGTTCAGGTGTTGTCACTTTGATTCTACATTCAAATTACGAACGTCTGTACGTATTATGTATACAAGAAGGCGAAGGCGAGTTCGACAAATTGAGCGAAATGCTGTATTGTCAGGCATTACTGTTGAATCATCGGATCATGGTCTCTGCACTTCCAACTGGGCRACCTGCAAACGCCACACTACCATCCGCGATGCTTTTTCTAGCTGGCTCTGAGCTGACCTTGTCACCAGCCAGATAAGTGAGCCAAATCAATTTGCTGATCCTCTCGTCCTTTACGGAGCCCAGCTTTTCCATGGCTTTCTCATTACCACTGGCTTCGGGTTTTTCCTGGAAGAAAACGTCCAGCGTTCCATCCTGGTCTCTGGCTAGGATCATGACCGATCCCTTGGGTGCTTTCCCTCCTTGGAATATGGCCTTGAACTCACCAATTGACTTGCCAAACTCCTCCGCCTCGTACTCAGTCTCGGCCCCTTGAGCAACCTGTTTGAACTCTCGTGTACGATTGGTAATCCCAGTAATCCACCCGTCGCGAAGGTGGCCATAATCTGTGTTCCTGGTTGGGGAAATACGCCAGGCGGTCTTGAGTCCGGGCACCTTTAACAGCTCCGTCCAAATTTCTCGACTGGAGACAGGATCGAGCAGTCGCTTCTTGAGCTCCTCCTTCTCGGAAGGAATTAGTGTTGACGCCGACTCATTGATATTATGGATGAGCTTCTCCTGCAGGGCACTCAGATCAGTAGTGCGGATATACATTCCCACCACGTAGACCTGAATACTGAGGAATGACACCGTTCGGATTCCGAGACCGAGAAGTGTATACTGCTCCTCCTTTTCCTCGGATCCGGGAACGGATGGAGCAGAAGTGGGCAAATTTATCGTTCGCGGGAAATGAGGCACACTCGATGTGCCCGTCTCCACCAACTCAATCTCCTCACCATGACCTTGCGCAACTATACGCTTGCCATCACCAGCGCCAATGACGTGGACTTCCTTGCCTTGAAAGCTGGCAGTCGCTTCACTACTGGCATCCAGCTGCTGCTTGCCCTGCTTTCGCTTGGCCTCGGCCTGCTCAAGGTCGTCCAAATCGAGATTGTAGATCAGAGCAGCCATGCCAAATATGCTTAAGAGAAGACCCATCCCCGCGAACCGCATGCGGCGGAGGTGGAACTGCTGCTTTTCCTCATGTGCGATCTGGGCCGCGCGAGCATCGAGTGGATTCCGTGCGGCATCCTGCTGTATTTGAGCGGCAACATTGTCGCTATTGACTGTAGCATCCACGAATGATGGCGATTGGGCCGAGACTGCGGTGAAGGCCCGTTTGGAGGGACTGCTATAGCGGGATGATGCCAGTCGTACCGAGGTCTTCGCAGGTTGGTATTGGTGAGCACGCTGCAGGTGGTGGAGACGTGGGGACAATAGTCGCATGGCGGTGCGCTGCATTGGTGGCGGTGGCATGGTGAGCGTTTTCAATAATGTTGTCAATGATTTCAGTGTTGAACCGAAGTCCAGAAGGTGAACTTGAAAGTGAGTGACGATGTGAGGATGGGCTCGCGACCCACAAGCTTAATGCGGGCTAGTGGAAAGAAAGCCGCACTGTCAAATCCAATCACACAAATTCGCACTCCAACCGAAACTACCACCTACAAAATCACCAATCTTCGAGGATATCCACAATGGTGAGTCCCCCGACCCTTCCAATGGCTCCCGTGAAAACCATGGCGTGTTTTGTGGCCACACACTGACATTCCCTACGCAGTCGGACGGAGAAGAGCCACAGCAGGAGGTCGTCGCGGCCGATGAGGTCGAGGTGGCCGCAGATGCCAACAACGGAAGCATGAGCGTGCTCGATGCTCTCAAGGGAGTCCTCAAGATCTCTCTGATCCACGATGGACTCGCTCGTGGTCTGCGTGAGGCCAGCAAGGCCCTCGACCGTCGCCAGGCCCACATGTGCGTGCTCAACGAGGCATGCGAGGAGGAGGCATACAAGAAGCTGGTCGTCGCTCTCTGCGGCGAGCACAAGATCCCTCTCATCAAGGTTCCTGATGGCAAGCAGCTCGGCGAATGGGCCGGTCTCTGTACGTCTGCACTGATTTTCTCCAATCGTACTCGGCGGCCTGCTAATAATTCGTGAACCTGTAGGCCAAATCGACCGTGAGGGCAATGCGCGCAAGGTCGTCAACTGCTCGTGCGTCGTCGTCAAGGACTGGGGTGAGGAGTCACAGGAGCGCTCCATTCTCCTCAACTACTTCGAGACCGAGCAGTAGAGTAATCTTTTCTAAAGAACTCTACTAGGGACCCACAACAATGCCCGACGAACGGCAGGCACGGATGCGAGCAGTGGCATCGCCATTCTTCACAGTAGACCGCCATGGCGAAAATATTGGTCACAGTGGACGGAAAGGATAGAATCTAGACCCCTCGTGAACAGCATCGTCAAACTTGCTGTTCCGGTCTGTCGGAAAATGAAAAGCACGGTTTCACCACATCTTTTGTGCTCAGCATGTGTTCGTACAGTAATTGTGGCTACGCTTCTCGAGATGAATACATGCACATGTGTTTGTTCCCCATCAATCGTCAAAGTCATGAGTCTCCATCCTTCTATACACTGCACCGTGCCATAATCAAGCAGAGCCAGCTTATCCCAATCAAACCAGAGCCGTCCAAGAGGCCGTCACCGTAGTTCACAACTGCCCCATCCTCGTCGTCCGCTGATACCCTCCAGCCGCAGGCACTGATAAGGTGTGCTGCTAGGATCAAAATATAATCCTTCAATCTCTCCATCGCTTCTCCTCAGACTGACATAGTAGAACCCCGAGATCGTCAACCCGTGCCCACAACATCGGTCTCCTGCCCGATCCTCTACCGAGCACTTGTCGTCCTTGCCATGCACGAAACACTTCTCTTTTAGCCGCATGAAAATGTAAGACTGGTTCACTTCATTCATGCGATCTTTGCTCAACATTAATCTCGCGGCTTCCGAGTCGGAAGGTAGTGTGTTAAAGGGCGGCAGTTTCCTCCAATTGGCAGCGTCAGTCCCCGGCGTAGCAGCTGGGAAGATGATCGATCCACTCAGAGTTGTGTATGGCGTAGCATTTTCAGCGGTGGTGGGGTGAGGTCCATGCTGATTTGTTTCGGCCGCCGAGGGCGTTAGGAAGGAGTGTGTTGTGAGATCGATTATATGGCCTTCGAGATAGGTGGTGATGGGTGCGTGCTTCTTGCCGGCTTTGGGACGTTCAGCCGAATTCAATATTGATACAGAAGCAGGATGCTGCGGAACGTCGTAGGCTTCCATGCTGCCTTGGACTGTCATCTTCTCCCAGTCGAAATTGTGTATCACCACTCGCACAGGCCAATGGTCGTGGGATGTGTTTGCGGTCTTTGATGCCCGCGATGCATAAGTTCTGCTGGGATCAAAAGGTACCACTCTGGTAGAGCCGGGAGGATGGTCAAACGTTGTTCCTGTCGCGGACACGCTTTGATTACGATAGTTCGGGTTGATCTGCTCCACTGAACGAGAGCTCGCGCTAGATCTTGAGTGCAACAGTGCGGCAGCATTACTGGTCGCATGCTGCTCGCCCTCAAACGACGTGCCTCGCTGTAGCCATGACGATCCAGCAAGTGGACTGACCTCTGCGAGATCCATGATGAAATCATCGTGTTTATCGGCGAAGAACTCCTTGGTGGCCAGCCCGTATTCAATGGCAGCCGAAAGGGCGTCCTCGTATCGATTGCATGATCGGAGCTGATTCAGATACTTCAGTGCGCTCTCCAGTAGCTGTGAGGATCCCGATTGTGATGCAGGAGGAGGCGATATACGTGGTAATCGAGGAGGGGCATTCTCAAGATAGCGTCGGGCCCTCGCATCGTTCCTCTCCAGGATTGTGCGAGACCGCAGCTCAGTGGCACTGAGCGGCGCCGTGTTGTTGTTGCTACTACTATCGTGTTCAGCACCACCGACGGGATTGTACCACCCCAGTCTCCGTGCTCGCTCCTCCTCTTCGCTCATAGAGTTGCGCTGACCACGGTCCATGACGTATCTCAGCATGCGCTCCGTCGCCGATGGTGATGCCGCCTCCGCTCTTCCCTCCCGCGCTCTCACCCAGTCTGTCTCCCGCCGTCTTCGCTCGCGCAAACGGTCTCTCCTCGCCCCATCCGTCTCTTCCGAGGCGAGCGGGGCATGCCGTTGTCGCGAAGAATCCAGCTGGCTCTGGCCCAAGACGTGAAGAACGTCCGGATGAGTGTTTGGCGGCGTCTGGCGAAGCTCTGCCAGAATTGGATCTAATTCGCTCTGGTGGGGAGCAGCAGTAATGGTGCCGCTGGTCTCGTTCGACGGCGGAGCCCAGTCGTAGAGCGTCGRGGCGCGGGGACTCCGGTTACTATACGCTGACGGATCGTGAAGTCGATTGAGACGGGCGAGTATCTGCTGCAGTCTAATTCGTCTCGCCTCTGCAGTCTCCGGCAGCGTCTGTTCCTCTGAGGGGACGTTGTGAGGCAGGGGACCTCTCGAGTCTACCGTCGAGCGATTCCTGTTTCCGGTCTGCACTGGTGGTTCCTGGTCGAGGAAAGCAAGTGTGTTCCTTATGAAATTGAGGTTATTGTCGCTGTCATCTGCATCCTCCAAGGGAGGAGAATCGGACGGCAAGCGAGAAGGCGGCATGACCTTCTCTCCCTCTTTCCTTTCGCGTCGTCTGCGACGAGAGTTGATCAAAGGTCAGGTACATGCCCCGGAGTACATGAATGCGGACGTTGTTCCGATGTGGGGGAATCTCTCGCTAGCTCGTTAGTACTAGCTTGCTGCATCCTTTGTCTCTCACCACACTATGTTCATCCGCGGAGACAGCCGCCGCGTGAAGGCCTGCGAGGATACTGACCGCCTCACTGATCTCAGCCGAAGTGGCTGAATCCTCTACCGGTCGGAGCATTCTCGTTCAAAGACTGMGCTCGCTCGCTCGGGATTGTATCATTCGGCAACAACGAACACACCGGACACGAGAAGCACTTTTCACTATAGTGAATTGATTTACTACTAAATCAAGGTCGCGGTATCCTCAATAGAACTAGCTACGAAGGTCCTTGCGAGCGTCCAGCATCCTTTATCCGGTACACATCAAGTGCACCATGACTTCTCCTCCAATCGATGGGGAGTGTAGTTGATGTTACTACCATCTGACCTGCACTCCGAGTGGACTCTCAGCCAATCAAGGCGAAAACCCTGCTCAAATGAGCATCTGAAGCAACCCGCGAACCGGCAATCTCCCTAGCACATCGTACATCACAGATGTCGAATCAGCTATCAAGGAGTCGGAAGTCGCCAATCACTTCAGTCTGCGTCCAGTCGAGCTGTCGGGTGCAGGTCATATTAATCGAGTGAGATCCGGTCTCAATCCCAATAGAAAAGATATCGCGAGCCGCCGATAGCACTCCAGTTGGCAGCCAGTACCAAGGCCATCGGTGCGTGGAAAAACAGGCCGTCATCCCCACGTCGCATTCCCCGTCTGGACTGGCCAGATCAGGTGTTTACAACGGGCTTCCAGGCCTTTCCCCATGCAAGCATGCGCGGGAATCGAAACGACATTCCAGATGTCGTGAGTGTCCGTGTCATAAACGCCTTCCAAAACGCAGGAATCGCGCCTTCCATCAATTCTTGGTTTGACCGTGAGGTCGTGGGCCTGGTCCCGTCTTTGTAACGCATCCATGCTTTCGCAGGATTCCTCTCCATGTTTAACAAATCCCAGAAATGCTCGCTTGCTAAACAACCTGTCCACACAAACAAAGAAAGAAACACCGTCCCATATGCACTGGATTTTTAAATGGTGTTGATGGTGATGATCAACATCGGGGTATCGCTCGCATCGCTTCGAATCACATTACGGCTTATCGTGAGTCTCGTGTTGAGGATCCTGTGCGCCTCAGGACCTCAAAGTCAAATCCTCGAGGAGAGCTTTTCGTCGGGTTGGGCCAGAACACCGGGCGAGTGGAGAAGAAGAAAGAGCAGTGTTCTCGTTCACGGATTTGCTCGTCATACCATGGCGGCGTATTGTGGCGCAAAACTGTTCTGGCTCCATCCAAAGTCGTTGTAGCCGCCCATTGCCATGTCGTATCCGCAATGATTGGACATGTTGTGGGGCATTATCATCGCAGGTAGCGGAGCAATGCACTGCGGTGAGCTGTAGAAATGCGACGGTGCGGTCGTAAACGCCATCGGTTGGCTGAACGAGGGCGTGGGAGACGGCAGCTGCGCTGCACTGTACTGCATGTCTTGCATGTCCTGCCAGTACGAAGCTGATTGATTGTCGCTACAAGTCGTTGCAGTGGGCGAAGGCGTCGACGGGAGCACTCTCCACGAGTCCACGTGCTGTGGATGCGCTGGCGCCATCTGCTGCGGGCTGGCGGCCCACCAGTGGCCAGGAGCCGATAGATTTGGGAGGATTGGTGCCGGATGAATAACGTCGACGATGCGCGGTGGCGGTGGCAACAGTGGGAGGAACATGTTCATGACTGCATTCTTGACGTCTTCTGAGCGACCGTCGAGCAGCTCTCCAGCACCGTCCTCCTCCAATCCCTCCAACGCTCGGGCACCGGTACGAAAGACGAATCTGTTCGCGGCTTGCACGAATTCCTCTTGCATCTTTTTGACTTGCGCGTCCTTCTCGGGCCAGCTCCAGGTACTCGCAGAGGCGTCGATGGAGTAAATGTCCTTGTGGTACTCGATCAACGACTCAATTGTCTCCACAGTCAGCTTAAATGCGACCTCGTGTTGCGAGACCATGTCGACGTGGACAACGTATGCTTCAATATGAAGGAGCTGGTGGTTGAAGAGAGCCTCTACGAGTGGATCCGAGTCCTTGCGCAGCTCGGCGTCGGGCGCTTTTGGCAGCATAAGCGACGCCAGCGTCCATATCGCGGCCGGACCACCAAGGGTTTCGGTCAGACAGCGGAAGTGTTGTGGTACGCTGTTCAATGGGCGCTTGACTCGGTTGATGCGTTTCAACGTTTGGGTCAACCTACACGTGGGGAGAAATGCTGTCAGCAGTCATCCTTTGCATCTGTTCATTCGGTTGAAATGTACCAAGGCTCAACCTTGGTGTTGAGAACGATTTCCGGCGCTCCACGAGGTGCGAATGCAGCAGCAGATGCGGGAAGCAGCTGCACCGGCATCTTCGGGGGTATCGACAGGATCACCAAATAATGTAAGCGATGTGCTGGATATTGAAAAGAAATAAAATGAATAGAGAAATGCAGATATCGATTTGACGCAACGATTGGTTGGAGGAGAARGGGRGGGGGAGGAGGAGGGGAGGGTGTGCGCGGGGGAGAGTAGCGAGGGTTGATGGTGAGGTATGGCCGTGGGCGAGGCCTGCTACTATAAGAAGCTGGCCGATTGCAGACTGCGCCGCAAAGTGTCTGCAGGGCTAAAATACGTATAGAGTCTAATGCACATGCACATGCACGCTTCTATTTAGCACAGCAGTAGTAGATGTCGTGACTCTGGACGCAGCTCCAAGCCGGACCTGAACCAGAAATGGACATCAGCTCCGAGTTCGTCCAGACAGCACGAGAGCAGCGTCACAACTCCATTTGAGATGCAGACGCGATTCAAGGTGATGGCTAGCAATGACCTCGCGTTGCATCTTCGGYATCATTTTGCACTGCGCTCGATCTTCCAGGGTTTCACACGAGGCCATCGGCGGGATGGCCATGGCTTTTGGCTGGACAGAGCTTTTGCTGGCGAAGAGTGAACAATTGGGTGTGAGTGAACGAGGCTCCCGCGTAACCTTTAAAGGTCAGACCAATTAGACTGCAATGTTCACCAACCTCCAAATGCCTGCTCGTCTCCAATGTATTAAAGTCGCGCGACGCGCCCACCTGCCTCCYTACTCTCAACGTCCAAAATTTCTCAGAGTCTTGCAGCGCAGTGGCAAGACCATGTCGAGCATGTGCGTTGGCAAACGGATTTGCGCGACGACCACGAGCCACAAGTGTGGCAGTGCTCGCCTGCTCGCCGATCCCTGCACCAGCCCTGCACGGAGATCGTGTCCACCGCACCGGAGCCGACCAGATGTATGATGAGTGGCATCACGTGGGAGCAATCACGGGGTTTCCCTGCGAAGTCAGTCGGGCGCGTGCAGTAGCAGTCGGTGGTCGTGCGGCCAAGCCTCATCAGCAGCAAGTGAATACCTATGGTTGAAAGTTTCAGCGTTTCCACGGCCAGCGTGTGGTCAGCTGGCGTCTCTTCCGAGAAGATCTCCCGGGGCGGGGCCGCACGGTCCATCCGGCATGATGATGGAAGCTGATGAGAATTCTTAAAGCCTGATTTCGACAAGTGTGAAGCATGCATCGGTCTGTCCGACTGAATCATAGTCAGGCAAGGTCGGCTTAAACAACGTGGTAGAAGAAGCTTCCATGCACTTGACTAGTCCCAGCGGAGAGGACAACCTTCTCCACGCGATCATTTTCCTCGGGCCTCTGCCTCTTCCAGCGCGACGGAGCTCGTGTAACAAATCCCGACGATGGATATCTGGCGCAAGGGACGCCTCTCCGCTGCATGGTAAATGATCAACCTTCTTCCGTCTTCCTTATTTGCGTCTGCAGGTAAACATGGATGGAAATCAACATGATGATGAGCATGAGCAGATTGTGTGTGGTGTGAAGTCTACGCTACCTTTTAGGGTTTGAAGAGAGCCCAGAGCCCCGTCATTTACCCTTCTCTGGGATGTCTTCGACTGCCTTTCTAGACGTATATTTGATCGTTACCTACCTACAATCGATTGTCACGCACGTTCGGTTGGCCACCGACTCTCGCAGACATTCGCTGAAACCTGGCCGCGGGGTATCACAATACACAATACAACGTCAGCGGAAGTGGAGTGCACGTTTCATCTTCGAACTACTGCACAGTCCTGTGACTCACTCACTCGCCCGATATGCAGACCGTATTGACACACCTCAGCGACGAGCCGAAGCTCTTTCCAGGCTGTTGCAGCAACCTTTCGAAACCGTTGGTTGAAACACTGTCGTCGAGCATACCCAAGAACTCTCTGGTCTTCTCAGTAAGCGGCCCCGGAGCCGCAAGGCATCATTGAAATCCTGTCACTTACCTGTAAACACTAGGTCGGAGCTGGGAGCGGGCTACTTGAACGCCTCATGCTGGAGCATGGTGTCAACATTCGGGCAGTCGAGGTGATGTCATGTGCAAATCTTTTCTTCCCAGAAGAGCGGATGGTAAGGGTGCCTACGCCTACATCACTTCATCCTGATGCGGTGGAGGCAGATGTGCTGCTCTTCTGCTATCCTCGCTCCAGAGACCTAGTCGAGAAGTACCTCAAAGCCCCGGGCGCCATGCAGCAAGCCATATTCATTTCACACAGAGATGAGTGGCATGGAGAGCGTGGTTACCACAACTTACTTCGAACCTACTTCGCCTCTGTCCGTGAAATAACCCTCTCCAAGGGTAGTCTTCCGGTGCTGGCAGCATACGAAGCTCTGTGTGTAGCGTCTTCGCCGGTCGGCCGCTGATGAATCGACTTGATATCAATCGAGAAGGGTTAGCAAAGATGTGTCGAACGTTGTCCTGGCCACCTATCCACTCGGTTGCGCTACATATCATCTCGGCAACCAGAAGATTGACAGAGCTGTGTTTTCAAATGTGGGCAATGAAGTTATGCATGGCGTGCGGGATTACGAAATGAGTTTGATTGCTGCATCATCTTTGATGTCTCTAACAATGGAAGAGCTCGGTCGGTCAGAAGATGAGGTTCCGTGACATCGCGCTCATTATGACCGACAGCGCATGATTGAGAATCACAAACAGCAAATGGGAATAGCGCTTCCTACATATCCTCACAGGCGTCGACAACGCAACCAGTCAGACGCCACCCAATTCTTCTATCCACTAAAACGGGCGCGACTGAAACAGCAACAAGTGCAGAAAGATCGACGGCATTGCCCCTGTTCACCACTGCCAGCAACCGCCGCTGTGGGGGAGCATTCGAGCTCAAGCACGTAGTAACATCAGGCTTCCCACGATTTGACGATGACACAGACGTTCGACGAGTTCGTGGAAGACCTGTTCGCAGTCCGACCTGATAGCGGAGTCTCCGACGACCACATAGATCTCTGGGAGCACGGTATGAAAAAGATTTCCAATCTCAGATAGAGCCTATGCTAAGATGGTCCTGCTGGTAGGTTGCCTTCTCTTCTCCGCATTCGAACTGGAAGCTTCAGCCGAGTTGTTTATCCAACTCTCGGAACTCATCACAGTTGAACTGTACAGCAGTATATGCCTTCTCAACGCAGCTTTCATTCACGCAAGACTTGGCAGTCTGTCGATTGCTTCGCAGTGTCTCGCCAAGGTTGAACACTTTGAAGAGCTTCTCCCCCTCACGCTCTCATTGATAGGTCACATCGAATATGAGCTCGGTAGCTTTGAAAAGTCAGAAGACTGCTTTAAGATCGCGTTGGCGGCATTGGAGGCAACGGATTCGTTTGCTCGCCATAATCATCTCGGCCTCGATTTCGTCCTGTGGGCAGAGCAAATCCAACAAAATCTCGACGTCTTGCACACTTCTGCTGGTCAAGGCATGGTGGCAACGATTCCCGGAGACAGACTGTTTGAGGCACCACTCAGGGAGGATACCTCGTCATCCGCAAGATCTCGCAACTCTGGGCAATGGTCTAAACACAGCGCAGCGACCTCGAAAGCACTTTCCTCTGGATCAATTACTTCCATCAACACGGTAGCCCCACTAGAGCCAAGGCGTCCCGCTCATCACGGCGAGAGCGAAGAAATCCGTGAGCCTAGGGGACCTCTAGATTCGGATCTGGGTGCAGTTACAACCTCGCAACTCACCGCGGCGCCAGCCTTCAAACCTCTAGCTAGCCCGCCGTCTTCGAGGAGGGATAAAATTATCTTGAACTTCACAAAACTACGAGCTGTCGGGAAGAAAATGCTAGGCCCACAGCGCTCGAAAAATGAAGGAGCAGCAGAAACAGGACTTGCTGATAGTCTCTTTACGCAAATTCCAGCAAAGCGCGTCCAGCGCATGGAAGCACGAGACGCCAGACCCGGCGCCGGTACGACCACAGATCTATCTGCCTTCATAAAGAATCTTCCCAATCAGCACAGAAAGGTGGCCAGGGATGCTTGGGTGAGGCCAGGGTCCACCGGGGATCTTGCGCAGTTTTTTCGTACCACGGGTCCAGAAAATATCCATAAAGCCATGAACTTGATCTCACGAGGCTCCATTGACCCGGACTCGCTTTCAGAATCGCAGGCCTCGAAGTCGACTGTGCTGCAGGACTTCTCGCCGAAAGTGATGTCACCCAGCATGACTTCACACAGCGCACAAGAGGCTGGTGTACCAGAGCCTGCGGACGTCATTGGGGTTGGCCCGAATTCATCGCATGTACGAGCCAACAGTTTGGCTTATGTGGGCAATGAGGTCAATGAACCTGCATCAGAACACTCATCAGCTATTTCTGGCGGTTCGCCGGGACCTTCTCGAGATACCAGCGATCCGGTGCAAGGCAGGCGACAGCCCCAGGCGATACATCCAGCACTGCGGCCGGGCTTCTCTCTCGATGGATAACACACGTGGGTGCGAGTGTGCAGACGGGACGTTCTTAGGTCGAGAGGCTTTTCATGGTTGTGGTAAACACATTGCCTTTCATCATCAGATAGGGCCTATAATACAACATTTAATTATCCGCTAACCGGAGAGTTGCTCCTCCTAGTACCCTCAAAGCTTGGTAGAAGTTGCATCCTCTTCGCCTTCGAGAACCTCGATCAAGCCGCCCACCAAATGCAGGCTCCCTGTCGTGAGGACATCCGCTTTGCGACCAGCAGATATGTTGCGAGCCAACGCGACCGCTTCCTCGATAGTACCAACAACATGTACCGTGGACTTTGGATCAATTCCGTCCCAAGTCTTTCCCAACTCCTGCTGCACGCGAAGGCTGTTGACGTCGTCTTTGTTCGTGTTTATCGAGACAAGATCAGGCTTATAGCCAGCATTCAGGTAGGTTGTGTTGGGGCAGAAGATAGCATGTTGAAAGGGATGCTCGTCCTGAAGAGCCGTGGCCAAGGTATCGTGCAGGCGTCTGGCGAGGAATGATGCGTCTCGAGTCTGTTGATTGAAAACGAGAATTCGGAGGGCGTTTTCACCGTCGGATTTCTTCGAATTGGTCGCGAACCACCGTCCCGCCACGTCTATACTTTCGAGGGTATGTCCACCATCGATATACCAGGTGAGATGCGATGACTTGAGGTCTGTTCGTTTTTCACACCGGCCACCAAGGCGTGTTGTCTTCAGCCCTTCAATGAACTCGGCCGGCAGCTTGGATGCTGGGTCGAAAGGATCCGGCACACCAGTGTAACCCAATCGTTGAAGGTGGGCTGCAGAAACGGCAATTGCAAGAGAAGCGTTCAGTGCTTGGAATTCGCCTTGCAGACCCAGTTCAACGTGGCGAACAGCCTCATGAAGAGGCACGATGTGTAGCTCAGCACCGAGCTCTTTCGCTCTAGTGTGCAACACTTCTAAAGCTTCCGTAGGCTGAGTGACCGAGAATGCAGGGACACCCTTTTTGAAGATCCCTGCTTTGTGCCAGGCGATTGATTCGATGGTATCACCAAGCAAGGCTTCATGGTCGATACCTAGGCTTGTGATACCCGTCACTGATGGTTTGACAAGTATGTTGGTTGTGTCGTATTCACCGCCAATGCCACACTCAACGATGGCAGTGCCCACTTTCTCCTTCATGTAGCAGTGAAGCGCCATGAGGGTGAGGTAGTGAAAGTATACCGGCTTGTCGCCGATAGCCCTGGAGCCATCGTGTCCCGTCGACACTTTTGTGGCTTCAAGACGATCCCAGACCTCCCAAAAACATTCCGCGAACAGGTCCTCGGAGATTGGCTCATTGTTGATCTTTATGCGCTCGCGGATAAACCGTAAGTGTGGCGATGTATACAGCCCCACCGGCGAAGGCAGACGCTCCGCATGGATACTGCTTTTCATTGGGAGATACTGACCTAGAATAGACGAAATGAAGGACGAAGTCGATCCCTTGCCTTTGGTGCCCGCAATGTGGACGGGATTGAGGAGGTCAAACTCGGGCGGCTAGCTTACCGTCAGACACGTTCACCCCTACATGGAGGGACAGAGAGTACGCACCTCATATCCAATACGGCGCACCCAGTTGATCATATCCGGGAGTGAGCGTTTGTTCGAGCCGGGCCCCAGTTTCCTAATGGCCTCCACAGCGGAAAAGTTGCTTTGGAGGCCATTGAGCGCCACCACTGCCGCGTTATAGTCGCGACCTGAGTTGTAGGAGCGCTTTTGCATAACGACGAGCCTTTTTGCGCATTGTCGATACGGTGACATGGCTGGCAATGAGCTGGTTGTTGGTCGTTGGCGGGAAGTGAAGTCAAATGCCAAGCCAATGTTGCTCCAGGTTCGCGGAAAGAAGAACGCGACTCAAACGCGGGACACACGCGTCTCACTCCCAACTTCCTCCCGTCCTTTCCCAACTTTGTCCCCATCGGCCTCTCGCCTCATCGAAATGGCACGCTCTTCGGCGATTCCAAGCACGGCGAAAAAGCAGCAGAGCATTGCCGGCTTCTTTCAGAAGCGGCCACCACCATCGTCTGCATCCAGCCCGCCTGTTGCAAGCGATGGCAATGGCAATGTCAACAAGGAAAACGGTGTGTCTGTACGATGCATGTCGCAGATGTGCTMTAACCGTCTGATAGAGTCGCCAGGCGTCGTGTGCTCTAGTCCTTCACGTCAGGCGAAGAAGCACGTGAGCTACGCAGAATCCGACGCCGAAGAGGATGACGACGACCAGGACGCCTTCAAGCCACAATCTCGAGGCAGCGTGCGTGCTGCTAAGCGTCGTCGGATTAGCATCAAGGACGACTCTGACGAGGATGCTGAGACCGAGACTGCTGAGCCCGCAATGGAGAAGGAGGAAGGTACGTTGATCTGCTTTGCGACTCTTCGCAGTACGATGGGAAGGAGCAGGCTGTCGTGCACATGGAGAGCTTCTCCTGACGGACAGTGCTGACTTGAAATAGATCCGTCGTATTCGACTGCCCAGCAGTGGAGGTTTGATCCTGAGGCGGCTCCTGCCACACGCAAAGCCCGTAAATCGAAAGTGACAGGCTCCGAGCAAAAGCAGAAAGCATCTGCGACTGATGCGACTCTACGCCACACCTGGCTGGCGCATCCGTTGGATGCTGACCGGAATCCACCAGATCATCCGGATTACGACCCTCGTACGCTGTACATCCCGCCAGCGCACAAGTTTTCTGCGTTTGAACAGCAGTACTGGGACATCAAGTCCAAGTTCATGGACACCATRGTTTTCTTCAAAAAGGGCAAATTCTACGAACTCTACGAAAATGACGCCACCATTGGCCACCAACTGTTCGATTTGAAGCTCACAGACCGAGTCAACATGCGTATGGTCGGTGTTCCTGAAGCCAGCCTCGACTTGTGGGCCAACCAATTTGTTGCCAAGGGGTACAAAATCGCACGTGTTGATCAGATGGAATCCAAATTGAGCAAGGACATGCGCRAGCGAGAAGGAGGCGGAGGAAAAGAGGCCAAAATCATCCACAGAGAGCTTGCCTCGGTGCTCACTTCGGGAACTCTAGTCGATGGAGGTAAGTCTTTGTATTCATCACAATCTGGACGTACATCGACTCTGGCACCGATAGGGTTGTTGAGAGTCCGCGCGAGAGTTTCAATGGATAGCAAGCTCTGGTACTGAACATCGAATGCTAATAGCATCCAGGTATGCTGCAGGACGACATGGCTACATACTGTGCTGCGATCAAGGAGACCGAGCATGATGGCAAGCCGGCCTTTGGRATCGCTTTCGTGGATACCGCGACAGCACAGTTCCAGCTCTCGGAATTTGTCGACGATGTGGACATGACGCGCTTCGAAACATTCGTGGCTCAGACTCGGCCAGGTGAACTTTTGCTGGAAAAGGGCTGTCTCTCAGCCAAGGCACTCCGGATCKTGAAGAACAACACCCCTGCGACTACCATCTTCAATTATTTGAAGCCGGACAAGGAGTTCCTCAGCGCCGACAAGACTCGCATGAAGATCGATGGCGAGCGTTACTTTGATAAGTCAGCTGAGGATGGCCTTGAGTCCTGGCCAGTGGTTTTACGAGAGGCAAAAGAAAAGGAGCTTGCATTCCCTGCGCTCGGCGCACTAGTGTGGTACCTGAGCCTGCTCAAAATTGAACGGGATCTCCTCACGTGCGGCAATTTTGCCTGGTACGACCCTATCCGGAAGGCATCGAGCCTCGTTTTGGACGGGCAAAGCCTGATAAACCTCGAGATTTTCGCCAACACGTTCGACGCCAGCACTGATGGTACGTTTCCCGCCTTCCAAACCAGCTTTCTCACCCTCGCGAAACAGCTCTATACTATGGATTGTGCAGCCACCCCGGCAATGTAGGGGGGCTGTGCACTCAGCTRTACACATCTAACAGGAGAGAAAGGTGCTAACATCCCCCGCCAGGTACGCTATTCTCAATGCTCAATCGCTGCATCACGCCATTCGGCAAGCGAATGCTCAGGCAGTGGCTCTGCCATCCATTGGGCGATGCAACCAAGATCAACCAACGCTTCGATGCCATTGATGCACTGAATGCCGACGGTTCGGTCATGGAGAGCTTCACTTCGTCTCTATCGCGCCTGCCCGATCTCGAGCGGCTGATTTCTCGTGTTCATGCTGGCCGTTGCAGACCACAGGACTTTGTGAAAGTTCTGGATGGCTTTGAGCAGATCGATTACACGATGTCGCTGCTCAAGTCGTTCAACACCGGCAACGGCCTTCTCAACCAGCTCATCGACGCCATGCCTGATATGAAGGAGGCGCTGGACCACTGGAAGGATGCTTTTGATCGTGGTAAAGCCAAAGAAGGACTTTTCGTGCCACAGCCGGGCGTCGAGGAGGATTTCGACGAGAGTCAAGACCGGATTGATGACGTTCTTAAGGAACTGGATGGACTGCTAAATCGCACGCGGAAGAGCCTCGGCTCAAATGCCATCAAATTCACGGACAATGGCAAGGAAATCTACCAACTGGAGGTGCCTATCAAGGTGAAGAGCACCATTCCTAAGAATTGGAAGCAAATGTCTGCCACGAAACAGTGCAAACGTTGGTATTCGCCGGAGCTGGAGGAGCTGGTCCAGAATTTGAAGGAAGCTCAAGAGATGTAAGTTTTTCCCATCTCCCCCAGGACGCAGGCTTTTATAACACAGGTTTGCCTCTGTACGACCGAAACAGGCCGTCCGGCCGGAGAGCGGTCTGGAGAGCGTTTAGGGGCGTCTCATGGGGCGCATTTGCTAACCTTTCTCAGGCACAACCAGGTGTTGAAAGCTCTCGCAGGACGGTTCTTTGCGCGATTTGACACGGACTATGCGACGTGGCTAGCTGCGGTGAAAATTATCGCGCAGCTAGATTGTCTCATATCGTTGGCCAGGGTTTCAGCATCTATCGGGTCACCATCCTGTCGCCCCGAATTCGTAGAGGGTGATGATGCTCGCGGTGTCCTCGACTTCAAGACCCTCCGCCACCCTTGCATTGAGACGACGACTAACTTCATCCCCAATGACATTGCATTGGGAGGCGACCAGCCATCGATCAATCTTCTGACAGGCGCAAACGCTGCTGGGAAATCAACCGTGCTACGCATGACCTGCATTGCCGTCATTCTTGCCCAAGTGGGCTGCTATGTCCCTTGCGAATCGGCACGCATGACGCCCGTGGACCGCATCATGTCTCGACTGGGAGCGCACGACAACATTTTCGCGGGTCAAAGCACATTCATGGTCGAACTGAGCGAGACGAAGAAGATTCTCGCCGAGGCCACGCCGCGCTCTCTCGTCATCTTGGACGAGCTCGGTCGCGGGACAAGCAGCTACGATGGCGTGGCCGTGGCACAGGCAGTCCTGCATCACATTGCCAGTCACATCGGCTCGCTGGGATACTTTGCAACCCACTATCACTCGCTTGCCGCCGAGTTTCAGCATCACCCAGAGGTCGCGGCGAAGCGCATGGCTGTTCAGGTGCAGCATGATATTCGTGATGTCACTTTCCTCTATCAATTGGAGGACGGCGTGGCGGAGGGTAGTTACGGAATGCATTGCGCTGCCATGTGCGGCATTCCGGAGAAAGTGATTGATCGGGCCGAGGAGGCAGCCCAGAGCTGGGAGCACACTGGTCGTATCAAGGAGTCGCTAGAAAAGGCCCAAGAGAGTAATTGGCTGCCGCTGGGATTGCTGAGTGATGTTAGCTGGATGTTGAAGGATGGGGCAGTCGTTTCTGAGGCGAGCATGGAAGTGCTGCGCAAGGCGATCTCTGTGTTGTAAGGTGTAGACTATGTGGGAGGAGTTGCTGGATGTATAATATAGCTGGCTTGTTGAGAGACGTGATGGCAATGAGAAGGCAGCGAATCGTACTATAGCCACAAGCTCTTCTTTGGCGTTCAGTTTGTCTCCACTGGCAATGTGCTGACCATGATTGCTATGTGGTAACCTGCCCATTGCGAGATGGGATGAAATGTAATGCGAGTGTGCGAGGGGAGTGAGATTTACAGCAGGGATGTAGAGATGTAGAGTTGCGCGTGTCGAGTATCTCCTCTCGCATGTCATGTTCACCTCCATTGGGTCACGCAAGGCGATCGTAGTGCTCCGGGCGGTATATCATGGCGTGCCCTCCAGGGGATTTGGAGAAATGTATCGTTGGTTGGGAAAGCAATGGTAGATGGTACAATTCGTTCCGGCTTCAACGGCCGTTCTACATGCAATTTGCTGAGTATCAGCACTCCACTCTCGATTCGATATGCTCATCTCTGGCCCGCGAGTCTTCTCTCCTGTACCTCAGTCAAGGCACGGCTACCGCTGATAAAAGCTACGGTTCCCACAACGCCAGCAACGGGAAGTGTCTGGAAAAGATTCCAGCTCGCATAGTACAAGAAAAATACAAACTCCATGGCCACGATACTGCCGAAGAAAAGTCCATGAGCCACTGGCTTTGCACCGAAAGCCTTGCCAACGTGATCGGCGTTCGCTCCCAGAAGCAACCACGCGCCGAGTAAGACCGGGACGGCTGCCAAGATGGCCAACGTGAAGACCAAGCTGATGATCTTGGGCGGCGAGCGCGGGTCTTCCTTGAAGGTGTGCTGGATCTCCTCTTTCCTTGCGTAGCGCTCGGGTTCGGCGGGAACGRCAAGAGGGGTGTGTACGTCGTGGCCGATCTTGAGGTCGAATGCCATGTGTTTGAATGGAGTCGAGGAGCCGAAAGAGCCCAGCACGATGAAACTCTTGAGAGGCTTGTCGGATACCAGGAACTGGTATGGTAGGTCCTTGTTGGACTGTGATATATTCCGTCAGCCAGTGCCTTCTCCGCGAAACGCTAGAAACGTACAATATCGAGCTTGGCCTTCCCACTGTCCGACACGGCGAATGCAAAGGATTCCTCCAAACCGCTAGCCGGGTCTTGTAGGGTCAAGAAGGCCTGGTGGGGCCGTTTCCCTTTTCCTCCATCTTGCGCGGTCAGGGCGATTTTCAGCGACGCAGCGGCGGGTAGTTCAATAATCTCAGGTCCAGCGGCAGATGCAGTGAGTCTGAGGGGTAGTTGGTCAGACAATGGCTAACAGTTGAGCTCGGACGGAGGATGTTGCCTACTTGTGCTTGACGGCCTCAGCGCCCTTTTCGGCGACAGTCAGAGTGCCATCGTCAAAGGACCATTGGCTTGCGGCGGAGGTGAAAGAGGCGAGCGCAAAGGCGACGATGCCCGAGACGTGCGACAACTTCATGGTTGTGAGGATGCAAAAACGAGACTAGACGGATGGCTTGTTGGAGCTTCACATTCGAGAGACGTGGTTTGTAGGTAACTTAGCTGTGATCGGCCCAACTGCCGAAACTCCGAGCCTCCGACATTGCATTCACCTCTCTCCCACCAGGCTGACAAGTCACTCATTGATTGGCCCTGGCTGACGCATGCGGATTTCTGCCTATCATCGTCACAAAGCGGCAGGCGCCACTCATACATGATGAGCCGTAGCTGCCTGGTGCACCGTCCGGCCAGACGATCATGATGCTCGCGCAAATGTGCGCGTGCGACATTGCCGCAATCACATGTCTCAGTTGTTGTGCCCTAGGAGTCATGACATTCGCCATGCTACATGTTGAAGATCCGAGAGCGCATCAGGATGCATATCCTCACCACCGAGCTTGAGCGTCTCTCCAAGGATTCATCTTGCAAGTTCTCCGGGCGAGAAATATTGCCCGCGCAAGGTAAGGTAGTTAAGCATTCAAGGTCTTTGCGGATTTTGACGCCTAACCTAATATGGAAGATGTCCAAGCTAGCGTGAGTAGAAGGGAAAGAAAGGACACTTCCAATTCTTGGACCTTCTCCTCTTCATCAACACATCGCCCAAACCGGCTCATCATTTGGCACCGGCAAGAATTTACACACCTGACAGTCAATGGACGATCACTGATACTGGTCATCAGTCCCTGCGCAGGAGTTGTTTGTCCCGGTCCTGGTGAAGCACGCGCGCGCGCACCGCGCACTTTTTTTTCCGGTGCAAGGCTACAACCAGATGGGAGATCAGCAGAACGCAGTCTCGGTATTTCACTTCACAGACCGTATCTCGGACGCAAAGTTGAAAAAATATCACGACTCGACCAGTAGAGGAATGACGAAACCCTCCGGATCACATGCCAGAAAGTCGACCGACGCCAGCGACTCGACGGCATCAGCGGAACCACCAACCAAGAAGCCGCGCCTCAAACTGAATGGCCCACGGAGAGAAAGCGATGAAGGCGGTGACACTATTACTGTCTCGCGTCCAAGGCGCCTCCAAGACCAAAACATCAGATTCAAATACAGCGACACTATGGTCATGACTCCTGCCAGCCCGGTCGCGCCTACCAAGGAATCTCCTCAACTGGCCCCATCACCTGCTTCCTCGTCTGGGCTCTCCTCATTGTCATCTGCTCCGCCATCCGAAAAAGAAGCTTCACCATTTGTTGATCCCGAGCCAGCTGGAAGGAATGATTATGGCGATTTCATGTCTTATTACATCGACGGTGGCGATGAGGAGCCGGAGGCAATCCCTGAAGCAAAGACAGCAGTAAAGGTCGCCGCCAAGAAATCCCGGAAGAGCACACCAAAGTCGAAAGCCTCAAAGGCTCCACCTCCACCTCCAAATCCGGCACCATCCGCTGTGCCAAATCCAGGGCTGCATGTTCAAAATGAAGTCCCACAGCCTCCGCAAGGTCAAGTGCCGCAGCAAGCTCACGCCCCCGCGCCCCATCAGCAGCATGCTGCCCCTTTCCAGCAACTGCCGCACCAACCACCAGCAAACGCTCCGCAACCCCAGCATGGTCCTTCTACGCATCCACGGGGTCTACCGCATGGCCGTGCTCCTCCCCAAGGTCCGCCACGTCCACATCTTGTTTCGCAGCCGAGCGTCCGATTCACTGATATTGTCCATGATCCGCCGCCCGCGGCGCCTGATACTGTGCCCACCATGATTGAAAAGCTTGAACAGCTCACCCTCGCGCTTACCACGTTCGGTGGTGTGCCCCCTGCACCTCCATCATCCATGTCTGCGGCTTCAGCTTCGACTTCACCACCTCCAACTCCAGTCAAGGCTGTCTCCGGCAATGCTGCCAACCCGCTGGACAATTTTCTTTCATTCTTCGATGCGGATGGGGACGACGAGGTTGAGCTGACCAACTCCGGCATACCTGATGGTCCACTTACGCATGGCATCATCTTCATCCAAAACGCTCTCAAGTCGTGGGCCCAGCAGCGCGTGTCACAGATGTACATGCAGCAGTATCATCACCAACTGCAAACACAGCAGCAATCTATCGCAAAGCGTGGTCCCGGACGTCCCCGGAAATTTGATGAACCGGCCACTATACTGCCACCAAGCCCGATAATTCAGATGGAGCTAGCCGGAACACCGGAGGGCGCCGCCATCAAAGCTTTCCAGGCTGTCCTGCACTCTGGGTGTCTTCGGGTCAACACAAAGCTTCCAGCGTCGCTCTCCCGTGCACTTCGAAAACTCTATATGCAGATTGATCTTTTGATCAATCAAGGGGAGAGAGAGCCTCCGCCGGAATGGCAGTGCATGTCGTACGGCGCTCAAATCTCGTCTCACAGAACTCGCGTGGAGAGTTGGAAGGAACATCAGGCAAAGCTGCAGGAGGAGACGCAGCGGCAGCGAACACTTGCGCAACATAATATCATGACACAGATGGGCCTTCCTCCACAGCAAAACTATCCGATGACTGCCGCCCAGGCTGAGCACGCACATGCGGTTGAACTCGAAACACGCAGGGCTCAGGCGCACGCACATCAGCAGCCATATATCCGCCAGCAGCATCTCAACCCTCTCCAGCTTGGTCCTCATCCATCGGGGCCTATCGGTGGCTTTCTCCCTTCCCAGCCAGTAAACAACGGCGGGCGACCCTCCTCTGCCGGTCCTTCCAATGGTACGGGTGATTCCGTAGTGCAGACGATGTCGCCAAATGGTGTTCCGACGTCTCACGCGGCTTCTTCATCGCCTGGCGTGCAGCTCGACAAGATGAAGCTCTATGTACCGGGCTATCTTCCACGTTCCGGGCAGAACATTWAGTTTTCTTTCTCCCCACAGAGCGGTCCAGCTGTGAGCAACAATTTCGCCGAGCAATCAAGTCCGAACATGTCCAACGTGTCCAACATGGGGCCAATGAGTGCACCACCACCATCTCACGCCTCCCTACAACCGCCTGTGGACCCGATCAATGCCCCTGCGATTAGATCACGCCCATCAACGGCTCCAGTAAGCCCAGATTCGACGWCCATGGATCGTGCACCTCCGGCGCGGCAGTCCACCGTGCAGTCACTCACACCAGCCGCAAATGCCGACTCAGCCTTCAACGGCAATTTCCGCGCTCATCCGAGCTCTCAGACGCCAGTGGTCGTCACACATGGCTTCACGCCTGTCAACGCACCAACCGCGCGCGCGAGCTCTGCTGTCGCTCATTCACCACCCGCGGACACATCTCCCGAAACCATCAAGGTAGCTAGCAAGAGGTCGACTGGCGGCAAGATCTCGACTGCGTCCAGGAAGCGTAGCTCAAGTGAGATGGCCGGTCGTACTGAAAACACTACTATGCCTTCCAAGTTTCCTCACCCTGGTGCCATCGTTGAGGATCAGTGAGAAAGACTGATGGATGTGAACGCAACGATGCTCGAGAAAGATCGGTGAGCTCGTTGTGCAAACCACTATATGTTCGGATACCGCTTGTTCGAGACGATGTTCGTGTTGCGTGACGAGCGTACGCAGCGATCATGACGTTTCCGACTACGAAATGCGATTGAGAAACGAGAGAATGCCACGAAATGTTACAAGCGGATGCAAGAATAGACAGAAGACTTGCTTCTGGCGAGACCGAGACAGAAGCRACCGAGTAGGCCTGGTTTAATGGGGAACGTGGTCCGGTTCATGATGAAAGAAGTTGCTACCGACTCCTTACTTGCATTGCGCGTTACAATTGTAGCGCGTTGACGCCCACTGGGGTTCTGTATCGCGTGTTAGAAGTGTACGGATAGCGGGTTGAGTATCAGGAGAAGTAAATGTTATACATGAGAGTATGTCCCGTTCTCAACTTGTCTTCCGAGAACCATCTCGTTTGGGGTTTCTGTACAACTTGCAGTTATATGCGGTCCTACGCATACTTTTCTTGAAATTTACCCACTCAGGATAGGGATGAGGTAGTGGATCAATGCGTGTTTTCTTGAATTCCGAATGCGTTTCTGCATGTTGATTTGTACTTGGCATGAGGCGGGTCTTGTCGTTCGATGAAGCAGTCATTGATTGACATATCTGAAGAAACCTTGCTGTGCGGGCTTCCGGATCATGGCATAACCGTGGTAGGTCGTTTGCAACAATGGCATACGAACAGCTCTCTGTCGTCTCTGCCCCATGAACGAGCGCTCTGCCAAAAAGAAGACTCAGCACCACAATAATCATCTCCTCGTATGGAAGGAGATTCCATCCGCGCACAAGAATGAGATGTTGTGCGAGGGGTTTCCCAGTATCAAGCTTTTGGGAGAGTGAGACATTTGCATTCATCAACAAGGCATGTTGGTACTCGCGTGCAATTGCAGGTCGCAAGGGGCAGCGGTAGCGTCAAAGGATGGCCGCTTTGGGAATTCGCGGGTCGCACGGTTTCGCTGGATGAAGGTCTTCATGTGTGGCCATGAGCATGATGCTGCACTCTGCGAGCTGGTAGCTGAACACACATATGATGAACCCACCTTCGTAGATGGAGAGACGTTGGGCGAAGAACACTGGGTTTGTCAACGCGCCGCAATATGGCGTTGGTGACGAGTCGGAGTCGGCGGCCATTCGAGTATAGACTTCAAACCATGACGTCGCCACAGAGACGGCGTCTAGATTCCTTCCAAGCTTTGTACTGCCGCGGTTACGGCAGAGGTGAACGCTTGCATCCGGCCAGGTACAGGGAGTCGGCAGAGCGAATGGAAGGCACGAGCTGGTGGAAAGGAAGCGCTTCGCAGCTGGCACGAGCCGGCGGCGCCGCAGGGCAAATGAAGGAGAGCTGTGGGCGAGACTGGAGTGGAGCTGGTTGCAGTGGAGAGATCGACAGCTCACAGCCACGCAAATGTTGTTGCGTGGTGCCAGTTGCTGGGTTTCCCGCTTTCCGGTTGCTGTCCCAGCTCAGTGCAGGGGGCACGCTGCCATCAAAGCGCGCCGATTTCCAATGTTGGCGTCGATGACGTCCATGGTCTGTTGTTTTAGCTCACGCCATATTACTCTCAACTCGTCCCCTCTTTCACACATTCCTCCTTGATCCATACCATTGTTCTCCTGAAGTACCGCTGTCACCCGTTACCACCACAGCAGTCACAGCCCCAAACAGACAACCACATCACTACTACCGCCACACCCCCACAAACACCGCAATCATGCACCGCACATACTCGATGCGCCAGTCGCGCGCGCCGACTGCTTCGCAGATCCAGAACCCACCACCACCATCGTCGTCGACCAAGGGTGGTCGTCTGTTTGGCAAGGCCAGCCTGGGTACGTTTCTGACACACTTGCCATGTTCGTTGTGCCAAACTCCTAACACCACGTGCAGGTCACACCTTCCGCAAGTCGGTGCACCCAGGTGCTTTCGGCCCAGATCTCGCCAAGAAGCTTTCGCAGCTCGTGAAGATGGAGAAGAACGTCATGCGATCGATGGAGTTGGTCGGCAGGGAGCGCATGGAGGTCGCAGTATGTAATTGACATATTTGGCATCTCCGGAAGCTRTTCAGGGGCACGCGCTAACGGCCACTGCAGCAACAATTGTCCATCTGGGGTGAGGGATGTGATGACGATGTTTCCGATGTCACCGACAAGCTCGGTGTTCTCATCTACGAGATCGGTGAGCTTGAGGACCAGTTCGTCGACCGCTACGACCAGTACCGTGTCACCATCAAGAGTATCCGCAACATTGAGGCCTCCGTTCAGCCCAGCCGAGACCGTGAGTGGCTCCTTCCCGACATCACAAGATGATCACGCAACTAACAACCCAACAGGCAAGCAGAAGATTACCGACCAGATTGCTCAGCTCAAGTACAAGGAGCCCAACAGCCCCAAGATTGTCGTCCTCGAGCAGGRGCTTGTCCGTGCAGAGGCCGAGTCGCTCGTCGCCGAGGCCCAGCTGTCAAACATCACCCGCGAGAAACTGAAGGCTGCCTTCACCTACCAGTTCGATGCTCTCCGTGAGCACAGTGAAAAGATGGCCATCGTCGCCGGCTTCGGAAAGCACTTGCTCGAGCTCGTCGATGACTCCCCAGTCACCCCTGGCGAGACCCGCAATGCTTACGACGGCTACGAGGCTTCCAAGGCCATCATTCAGGACTGCGAGGATGCTCTCACCAACTGGGTTGAGCAGAACGCTGCTGTCAGCTCCAAGCTCTCTACCCGCGCACGTACCCTTTCCCAGCGTCGCCGCAACCAGACATCTGGCCACGACCTCTCTGGCCAGGACCAGGATCGTGAATCCGGAATGTGGATGCCAGCCGGTCAGCACCAGTCCGGCCAGGAGTACGACGATGAGGAGGATGCCTCTGTCCGCGGACGCGAGGAGGAGCGTGCAGTTGCTTAAATACAGATTTGCTTTCTTGGACACTCAGCTTTATACCCGAGGCAGGCAAGCGGAAGGCGGAACGCATATGGATCACAGCGGACAGCGAACAGCGAACGAGTAATGAGTTATTAATTTTGTATACACTAATGTCTGGATCGCTTGATCTTTCCGAACGTAACTCCTCATCATTCTACTTGGTGATGTTAATCGCATGCTCTTGGGCCTTCATTCTATGCACTTCATTGCTGGCCGACACAATTTCGGCCAGGGGCATCCCTGGCCGACGCGGCTGATTCGTCGGACCTGCCCCACCAGTCTCGCATGTGCTTCAATGCCTCCATGCTCTTCATCATTACCATAGCCGCATTCTTACAACTATCGAATACCCACAATCAAAATGGCCTCTGTCAAAGTTCCACCATCCGGCATCTGGGCTCCAGCTGTGACTTTCTTCGAAGACGATGAATTGGACTTGACTTCCCAAGCAAAGTACTACACGTACCTCTCAAAACACCTCACCGGACTAGTGATTCTTGGAACCAATGCAGAGACTTTTCTCCTCACAAGGGAAGAACGAGCAGCTTTGCTCAGAACTGCACGAGAAGCTGTTGGTCCTGAGTATCCCATAATGGCGGGTGTCTCCGGCCATAGTTCCAAACAGGCGAGTGCCTCTAATTCATCCCGAGAATGCGTTCGATGCTAACACCAGGATACTTTCTATAGGTTCTTGAGTTCATCAAGGATGCTCATGACGCCAAGGCCGATTATGCACTTGTTCTTCCTTGCAGGTTAGTGTTATGGTAGATGTGATCAATCATAGTCACGCTGACTTTGTCGCCCTTCGTCGCAGCTATTTTGGAAAGCAGACGACGCCCAAGGTAGTTTCGGGGTTCTACGAGGAAATCGCAAGTAAGAGTCCTCTACCGATTGTAGGTTCCCCCACACGACCGTTTGCTGGGAGGTGGAAGAACTGATCGATCGTTCAAATACCTAGGTGATCTACAACTTTCCTGCCGTTTGCAATGGCGTTGATCTGGACTCGGAAGTCATGATTGACCTCGCAAGGAAACACAAGAACATCGGTATGCTTCGACGACGTCCTGAAGAGAGATACTCCCCACGGACTCAGCTAATCTTCCCAACAAAAGTCGGAACCAAGTTGACATGTGCCTCGGTCGGAAAGATCACTCGATTTGCAGCAACATTCAGACCAGACGAATTCGCCGTCTTTGGCGGTCAATCAGACTTCTTGATCGGCGGACTCTCCGTCGGATCAGCAGGATGCATCGCTGCTTTCGCCAACATTTTCCCCAAGACCATCACTCGGATCTATGATCTTTACAAGCAGGGCAAAACTGATGAAGCGTTGAAGTGGCACCAGATTGCCGCTGTTGCGGAAAGTTTCAGCAAGGCGGGGATCGCGAATACAAAGTATGCCGCGAGTATCACGAGTGCGAAGAGTGCTGGGATCGAAGGGGCAGAGGCGAAGCTGAGCCCTAGACGACCATATGAGCCACCGACTGAAGCTGTGAAGAAGGACATTCAATCTAAGATGGTGGAGATGATTGAGATTGAGAACTCGCTGTGAGGAGTGTTGTCTGACGCCTCCCAAGGCCCAAGAAAGATAGATCTAGAGCTTCGATTGACCAACGACCGAAGAATCAAAGCACTGCAGTCGTGAGTTCTGACTTGAGAATCGGACCTATTCCTCGAACGGCCGGTCTTTCTCTGGCGCTGCATACTGGCACCACTGATTTACACCACTACCCAAGTCACCATCATAGAGCATTAGTCTCACCTAATTGTCGAGCACCTTCGTCACGCCAGGCTCGATATTTTCCAATATGCTCGAAAGCTCTCCCCAAACCCGTCGTTGCATCTCTGGACCCTCTGGACCTTCCACCAGCCGAGCGCACTCTGCGATTTGCGAGTCCGAATGGTACTTGCCATGAGACTCAGGTCCCGAGAGCGCCGCATGCACCAATGTGCGACTCCCTACCTCGGTGGTCCTGCAAAGGATCTTCTTGATGACCACCAGAATGGGATTCATCTGGGTTGAAGTCAGCATGAGCCCTAGGTACCGAACAGGTGGGAAGTGGGTTCGAGACACGCTCTATACCTCGTTGAACATACCATATCTCGCATGAGCTCGCTGTGGCAGAAGCCAGGATTCACGAAGTTGAGCGTGACATTTGTCTGACTGACTGGGTGCTCCTTTGCTATTTCTCTGCAGGTGAGAACTTCCAGCATCTTGGAGACGTTGTATCGGTCGGCCATTCTAGCTTCATGCTTGGAACTGAGCGTTGCGAAAATCGAGGACGCTTTACGCTCAGGGAAACTGATTCGATTGTTAGTTCTGCCTTGTACCTTGTAACAATAGGGCAAGAAAGTTCTGAGGCCATGCTGGCTCTCTCTCGATCCGCAATCCTTTCAACAAACGCACCTGGTGAAGAAGTGCACCTCGGAAGACACGATCGTTAAAGTCGGGATCTAGAAGCTTGGGGGTCAGCAATAGTTTGAGGCAACAGCAACGAGCGTAGTGGTCTCTCAATTGCCATGGCATTTAGGGGGCTCCAATTACTTACTGTATTGTGCTTCTTGCTGGTCTTCTGCATGGCCGGAATCATCAAAAGCGCAAGTAGGAAGGTGGCGACGACATTGACCACGATCGTTGATTCCATGCCCGTTCCAGGAACCTCCACGTACTTCGCAGTAGAAATACCGGCGTTCTCGAGCAGTATGTCCAGACGGTCCAGACTCTCTGCTCGCTTGGCGAAGGCCCTACAAACGAAGCTCATGTCAGCCAATGACACTCATTCGACATCCAAGAGAGATCATGTTCACCTCACGCTATCGTAGCTTTGCAAGTCGAGCTGCCATACTTCAACAACTCCTTTTCGTCCCGTGCTTGCTTCAATGTCTTCCTTTGCAGATTCGCCCTTCTCGATGCTTCGGCAGGCAATAATGACCTTTTGTGCATTGAGCTGTACAAAGTGCCTTGCAGCTTCTTTGCCCAAGCCCACATTTGCTCCAGTACTGAGAGGAGACATTAGAAAAACTTCAAGCCATCCCACACGGACGAATTACAAGCTGAGCAGAGCTCCGGCAAATGTATCTCCGAGCTTGTTGCTTTTTAGGTCAGACTTACACGATGATGGTCTTGCCCGTGCAGTCTTTAGTTGGAGTAGGAGGCGTCGTGAAGAGCTGGCGATAGAGGAAGCTGGGCACCTCGCGAAGAATATCGAGAGACATCTTGTCAGGCTACGTAATCGATGGATGGTCTTTGGCTGATGGAGTTATGGAGTTACTTCGATGGCAGTAGGTCTGGAATGTGATGGTGAACTTCGAGCTAGATGTACATGTATATATACCTAGGCCACGGACAAACGCAACTGCCTGGACGCATCAAGTTCTTAACTCCGGTGGAACGGCCAAACAGGCATGTCGTCTCCGGGCAGGTCACCTCAACTGCAAGTCATGTGTTAGTTAGACGATGACCTTGCATAAGGCATTCTCCATTATGTCCGGCCATGACGCGGTTGCCACCTAATGGCTTCTATAAGGGATAGACATTACATGTAAGTAGGCAACATGACCTTCAAACGTCGGACTGAGGTCCGGAGGTAAGCGAGAAAGCTTGCCAGAGGGCTAGTGACTTCTAAAKAAGCAGGAGCTCAGTGTTCACCAATACATGAACCTACACGGACAATGGGATGGCTCTGGGGTACAAGCTCTGATGGTGACGACCCAAAGAGCAAATTGGATCCAGCGTTGAGGGAGTTTCTTGATAGCGAGCGGCCGCGAAAAGACGAAGACAGGCAAAGGCACGATAATCTCCCCTCCGGTTCTGTACAGCGTCCACCTCCGTCAGAAGATGGCGCACCGACAACGTACCGATCTCAGCTCGGACTCGACGTACCTGGTATAGACCAGCAAAACCAGAACTCGCGGTCGACGACTGATCGTCCGGCCGTGCCTCCCGAATCACTTTTCCAGGACGGACGATATGCGCATCTCTGGCAGAACTATCGACCCCAAACAGAGGTCGAGGCGGCTGGACGGTCCGACCAGGACCGTTTGTCGGAAGTGATTGAAGCCTACAATGATCGCAAGGCCGCCATTGGGCGGGCGGCGATTGAGAACTGTGTGGACTACCAGATTGCGGAAAAGGAATGCTTTTCGAGCGGCGATTGGGGAAGGCTGATGAAGATGTGTAAAGAGGAGAACAAGGCGTTCAACCGATGCTATACGATGCAAAGCAGATTCCTCAAGGCATTGGGTTATTTGGCATTACAAAGAAGCGCAGAGGAGGAAGAGCGAATTCAGATGCATGCCGATACGCTGTATCATGAGATGTTGGCACGAGAACGCATGCAGGAGGAAGCGAAGAAGGAGGGACTGGAACCGCCGGTTCTGCCACCGTTGATCCAAGCGGAGAGGACTACAAAAGCGCTCGGTCAGGACAGTGCGTGGGCGCGTGCAAGACAGCGTGCGTTGGAGAGCGGAGCATCACCAAATCTCAGTGCACATACACCCGTAAAGCAGGAGCAGATTAGGAAGCGCATCCAGGGCATGACGAAGGCAGAGCAAGAGCTGGAGCTGCAGCTGATTGCCGCTGAAAATCGAGCTCAGATGGAATATGCACAGCAAATTGAAGAGAGACTAGAGGAAGATCGCAAACACAGGGCGGATCGCAGAGAGCGTGGTAAGGAGACGTTCGGTGATTCTATCAAGCGACTATGGGGTTGGGATAAATGAATGGCCAAAACAGCTCCTGTACAAATAACTGTATCTCACGACTTTCTTGTCGACAATGCCCTTCGAGAAAGCTACTCTTCCGACAAGTCCCAAGATCAATGCTAATGTGCATGTGAAAGCCACTCGGTATCCGTAAAGTGCCTTCAGGGATTGAGATGCGTCTTAGTAAGCAGCATAGCAACCAAACCGCAAACATGAATTGACATCACACGTCACGGCATCAACACACGCACCCATAAATTGCTTACTTATGTAGCATTTTGTACTTTCAGCATGTCAGATATCCTAGCCGGATCACCGGCGAAGCGTAAGGTACTTCCACACTCGAGCAGGACAACGGGTTCTCGCTGACAATTGGCAGTGGAGCGAGTTGAACGACACCTGATCCGCCAGAGGGGAGCTGGCGTTCGAAATCTGGCCACGAGCTTTGGCTTTTCCCTTGCGCTTTCAGTGGCTCCGGTGACAGCGATTGATCTCGACGCGCCGCCTGCGAAGCGTAGGAAGTCTACCGCTGAAGAGAAAGCTCCCGATGGTCCATCGGGTCAACCAGAAGGGAATGTCGTTGTAGTCAAGCCGAAGAAATTTCGCCGCATGGAGAATGTGGTGGAGGATGAGGCAGGAGATTTGAGCGAACACAAGCAGGAGAGCTTCTCCACTACTGTGAAGAAAAGAGGTCGTCCTAAGAAGACACATGTACATGTTGAAGTGGACGAGGTGCCGGTCATCACAGCTGTGCCAGCGAAAAGACCCAGGAAAAACGCGGCTACTAATGCGCTAGCCAAGGTGGCAGAAGGATTCGCTGAGGAGGCACAACCGATCGACAAGAAACGAAGAGATCCACAGCCAGAGAAGGCCGCCAGGAAAAGTCGTAAGAAGACAGCGTCTGCGGAGGATGTGAATGATGCTCCAGCAGATTCGACTATCGAGTGCGGACGTCACGTTTCGGACGAGGCCGTCACACCACTCGGTCGGCAAGAAGTCCAGCATGTCGAGATCATGAAAGCGAAGCCAGCGGCCCGTTCCACGAAGGGCAAGCGCAAGCCCGTGGCAGTCCCCATTAAACGGGTACCTCTGGGCGAGACACACGCAAATATTCCATCGAAGTCGCCTGAAAAGCAAACAAAAGTGGCAAACGAGGACGCGGCTGAAAGCCGTTCGCCTTCAGGCCCAAAAAGGATAGTCAAAGCCAAGTCGAAACCCACAACGACGGAAAGCAGCTCTCAAAAGCTTCTGGCCGTTGAGGGCGATGGCGTAGCTATAGCACCGATCGCTACCAACAGTGAACTCGAGAGTCGCCGCCAGAATGGAGGATCCTCGAATGATTGGGGCCAATGTGACCATGCGGGCACCTCTGACCAGAGTCTTGCCAAGGCAAAGGCAAAGCCACGACCCCAAGCAGCGGCGTCAAGATCGCGGAAGGCCGTTGACGCAGAAGTCCATCTCCTCTTCCACAATCGCGAATCCGACGCGGAGAACAACGAAGAAAGCCGACCGCCTCCTCTTGCTGTGGAGAACGGGAATGCCATGGCTTCGACTGCCGCCGCTAAACATGGGATGCAACTTGTTCCAAGGCGCGGCAGCGCCAATGCCCAGCTCAAGGGACGTCAAAAGCTTGGGCTGAAGGCATCGCCTCAAGAAGCAAATGGCGGTACTGAACTGGCGGAAAGGCGTTCGGTTGCCCCTGAACAGAAAGTGCCGCCACCGTCAAAGCGTGCGGCCACCATCAGACCCGTTGCGAAGACAACCGAAATGGGGACAGCACCACAAGAGGAGGAAGACCTAGATTGGCTTTTCGAGACCACTGTGAAACGAAAGAGGCCTACTCGCCAGACCAAACAGAAACCACCCGCGAAGACTGCACGGCGTGCACAATCGCCAGAAGTGGATCTCGATGAGATGCTATCTAATATCGCATCCTGGGCACCGAAACGCAGGTGAAGTCCGATGCAGTTATCTCATGTAGGCGGGTTTGTGAACAGTACCCACAACATGCACATTCACGCGCCGGCTCGAATGACTTCATTTGCTCAGTCTATTTCTAGTAGTCGGTGAATGTCACTGGCCCTCCTCATGTCGCTCACGTTCCGCGCAACGTTGCTGTATTGTTGGTACCTGGGCGTTTGAAGTAAAGCTGGTAGCGAAAGGAAGTCTCCGAAGAAGGATGCTTAATTATTGGACCCGGCCGCTTGACTCGAACTTTTTATCTTAGTTCATCATCTGCCGTGAACAACTTGCGAGTTGCAGCCTTGGCCAGAAGGTGCAATAATATGCTTGCACTAGTGTCATATGTGATGTGACGGAACTTGACCTCGCTTGCTAGAACTTTTGCAGCACCGCCCTCAGACGAAGGAAAATGGCAATTCAATTTTCCAACAACCGATCATGGCGCCAGGTCCGGCGGGCTGCTCTCCGTGCTAGCAGGGGTATTCTACTGTGAGTTTGCACTACTCCGTAGTACACCGCTCTACACATCCATGTTTCAAGTCTCGACCGTTGAACGGGTTTTTCCAAGCTAAAATTTTAAATGGCAATTGCTGCTTCCGGCTTGCGGKAATGAAGCCGACCCGATCGATCATTCACACTATGTTGGTGTGCTACGGACGGCGTGCACAACCCTGCCGGAACGAGTGATCGCGAGAAGAATGGACTGCGTCGAATCGAGGACCGTCTGGTGCTTTCCGCTAGATTGGCCGAGGACTTCGCTGAGCTGCAGTCCTCAGGCTGTACATTCTGCTTCGATGCCTTGTGAAACGAACTGTCAATGAGAAAAGGGTAGGGATTAAGAGGAAGGGCTCTTTGTGACCCTCGCGATTGAGATCTATACGACCAACATGCCATCCAAGCAAAAACTCATTGGGTATCCTTGCACCAGAACTAAACAATCGCCAAACAATGCTGCTCGCTAGGATGTCAACTTTTCCGCGGGAATATAATCAAACAGGCGATGCAAATGCTGCAATTTTGTGCAATCGCGTATCATGTCTTTTATACAACCATCTATCCTGGGAGTGGAATGCTCAGTGAGCGCCATGGGCATGATCTCCAGATGGATGCCTTTGATGGGGATAAGGATTCCACAMGCCAGACTGAGGCGCATGGTGCATCATTCCTGAGAGTAGCGCACCTCCTCCTCCGGGAGAAGGTAGAAGACCGGGAGCGTGCTGCTGCGCGTAAACGTGGGGTCCATAGTGATGAGGTCCTAGAGCGGCCACAGCGATTTGCCTATGCGGTGGTAGATTGATCGATGAAGTGGAGGTCTTGCGCCTCACCTCATGATCAGCCGGACTACGGGAACCCTGATCTTGAGAAGGCACGTAACCTGTCCCACCRTCACCCGAGCCACCCATAGATGACGTCCGGCGATGTCGAGGTGATCTAGGTCGTGGAAGATGACGGTCACCGCCCGGAACCTGGAGAACAACCCCAAGTAGATAGTCACGCTCTCGCTTGTAAAAGTCCGCGTCCTCACTCAAGTCTTTCAATCGCTGCTCGAGCCTAGAGATTGCGGTGGAGGACTCCTTCTCCTTTTCCTTTCGCCGCTGACGGAAGCGTGCACTGGCGCCGGCATTCCTCCTCCGCTTCTCATCCGCGACTCGCGAGGCGGCTTGAACGTCCACTGGCAGTTGGACACTTCCCGAGGATGTCTCCAGAGTCATCATTTGGTACACATTCTGCCCACTTGCCGAGCTTATCGGTATCCCCACCTGATTGTGCCTTTCCAACTTGGTGGGATTCGAAACGCTATCATTAACAGGTGCACTGGTTGACGACTTCGCCGTGTATGGGGCCGCCAAATTTGGTATCGACGATGAGCCATACTGCACTGGAGATGCTTGCTCAGCCTGGCTGTAACCAGAATATGACGACTTGGGACTCGTGCTTTCGGAGTGGAGTCTGATACCATGAACAGAACCCAGACTGGGCTGACTAGTCGCCGAGTGTTTGAGAGTCACAGGTGCTGGGAATCCATAATTCTGCCGCGGCGCTGCAACTGGTGTGGGAAGAGCAGATGATCTCCCAGATCCTGTATCGATTGCATAAGGCCTGCTCCGTGGAGAGGTTGACAGCGAAGGTTGATGAGGAAGTTGCACAGTGGAAGGGAGTTGGCTCAGGCTCACGGTCCGATGTAACGAAGACGGAGATCGAGGCGGTAGCCTAGGCGTCAACATCCTGCGGGGTTGCCTTGCTCCAAGGCTAGCTGCAGGCGCCGGCGAACTACCAGCGGGAGAGTAAGATGGATTCGAAGTTGCCAGTGGTGGAAGGGACTGAATAGGACGAGCTGACTCTGTCCGGGCGATCTTGCGTCTTCTGTCGTGGTACGAATCTTCAGGCTCCGTAGGGTTCAACATCAACGATACGACAGCTGATCTAGATGCCGATGCGGGGGAGAAGCTCCCAGCTCCACGCGTCGGTGCAGGTGGTAAGGGAGGTAATTCCATCGTCCGACCGATGCCTGCGGGTGGCAGATGTGGTGTTGGTGGCGGGACTCCTGCGAGAAGTGCCAGACGAATTAGCATTGAGCAAACAACAAGGCTGAATTGGGGGTTTGGACTGTGTGGAAGTATTGACTGGGAAATCTTTTCGAGGTTGTKTCCAGTCGTGATTGCAAAGGCCCTCTTAATGAGGCCCATCGTTTCGAGTAGCGGAATGCGTTCAAAGTTACTCCAGGTAGTCTGGAGACGCCTTGCGCACTTCAACATTACTTACCTGGCAATGATGGAGCATACCTTCGCCCATCCTGATCGGGTAGAGCAGAGGTATTGAAGAACGGTGGAGCTTGGGTCTCACGGGCATTCAGATTCTCTGGCGGAGCTTGTTTCCCAGACCGCTCTGTCATGAGAGCCTTCCCTGCGTGCCCTGACTGGTCACTTGGGCGAGACCATGGRCGTACAGGATGTACCTGTGCAGGTTCCGGGTAGTTACGACGTAGACGAAGGGGCTCGTCAAAGGCGGCAGTGTCGCGATAGTTTGCAAAAGATGGAGAGCCGTGGGCAAAGGAGTCGCGGTAGTGACTGTTGGAACGCTGTATGTCGGCGGCTGCCAGGATGGTATACAGAACGTCGAAACGTCCACGGGTTGAGAGGTGTTAAGGCAGCGATGAGCAAGGATAGTGCTGCTCATAGCAGAAGTGATGAATAATCGCAGGAAGGAGGGAATGTGAGGCAACAGACGGATCAGTGGTGGACTGGTCAGGCTTGGCGTCAGATCATGGAGAGATGAAGTTGGAGAGTGCAGGTTGAGATGACAATCAAGCAGTTGGCCTTGACAGGCAGCCCGCACGTGCGGGCTTCGTGATGTTATGCAGAAATCCTGGCATGCCAGAAGTTGGGTCCCTGTGCGGAGGGACGAGCAGGCTAGTTGCCCAGTAGCGATGTGCTCATCAGGGCGAAATGATCAAGTCGTGATGAGCAGGGGACTTCTGACATCGCCCATGGCCTGCCGTCGTCGTCTCGCGGAGAGCAAAGCCGGTGCGCACGAGCCATGTCTCGTCTAGCGCCATTTTTGGCTTTCGACGATCGTCTGCAAGCCTCCATGCCGTGAGCGCTCAATTGCGGCATCCTGCGTACCTTGGTAGCCACTGCGGCGCCACTGAAGCAACTCATGCACATGTGCTGGCAAAGCGAAGAGCATGCACACCTGCAACATGCTAGACGGGTCTGGTACCTCTGGAACACGGAGTGCGCGCAAAGATGAGGATAGGTAGGTACTGTGGCCCGGTAGCTTCCATCACGCGGTGGTAGGCCTGCTCGAGCCCAATCGTTTGCGAATAGTCTTTTGTTGGTGGCCTGGTCCTTGTTGGCGGCAGGGAATGGCGTACCCGCAGACACATCTCCTTGTGATGCTCCGATGTTACCTTTTGCCAGGAGCAGCTCGCACTCAATCTCCTGGAAATAGTCTTACAATGCACGATCTAATTCGTACAGTGCTGCGAAACTGTCAAAACCTGCATGCATCATCACACCAAGCGATGATCGAGAGCCAGCTTGGCGGTATCGAGAGGCCTTGTTCGTTTCAGCAGAATGATTGGTCTGAGCGCCGGCGGGCGGTTGGTTCTTGAAAGTTCAAGATCGCTTGCGTGATAACTAGCAGAGCAACGTCCCGTTCCGACGAAAGGCTCAAGGTCCATATCAAGTTGGGCAGCGACAAGGTTAAACGCTAGCCAAACTTCTTTTCTTCCCGTAAAGGTCACTCCCGACATGCTTCACCGGGGATGTCGACTTGACTCGTTGGCGCAGCAGCTTGTCCTCACAAGCTGCACAAGTTCGCACAGATATTATTCCCTGCACGCCTCCCGTTTGCTCGTGGACCCGACTTGATGGCTCGGCGTCACAGGCTTCGATATGTGGATCTTATCCGAGGCGTACTAGATCGGTTGCACAACCGTACAACGAACGACACCTGGGCCGGTTGCCATGCGATGAAAGCAGCACTCGCCAACACCGGTGATTGGTCTTATGCACTCCAGTTTCTTTTTGGCTGCTCCGTTCCGAATTGGATCTGTCTTCGCTCCAACCTGTCCATCAGGAAAGGGCAGGAAGAAGTCAGATCTGTCACGCTGCCACATCTTCCACGATGATCTCGACTGGCACTTTCAACTCAAAGCAAATTACCGGGGATGAGCAAACTCTAACCAAGACCCCATGCACGCGGGCAGCGCCGGTCACTCGTTCGGATGCTAACCTATCGAGCAAGGAACAAATGCACGAAGCGATTGACCGTGCTGTGACTTGTGCTGCTGGGATCCATTATCACGCGCATACGTAACCGCCCCGGTTGCGGATTGTAACGCGGTCCAGCACGCAAAGGCTATCGAGTTGCTGGGGCTTCGTATGGCGTGTGTTGCTACACTGGAAAAGCCTCGACGGCGGTATTGATTATATATCCCGAACAAACGTCCTGATGGTCCACCAGGCCGGGACTGGAGTCAAGCGATGTAGACCGACCTATGAATTCTTATTCGTCAGAATGGCGAGCATCGTCAGTGGTCAGTTCCTGTTCCCTGAAGGATCCGCCTGCATGAAATAATTCCGCCACGCTACCGGAGCATGATCGGAACTGGATGGTGTAACCGATCAGCACGTGGCTCGCGAACGCCACGCTTCGTGTGCTCCTGCCTTGCGCGAGCTTGAGCCGGCTTCAAAGTCTGTCAGGCTATCACGGCTTCTTCACATGTCCCGCTGTTGTACTGTATGCCACTTGTTGAATTCATACTCGCAGGAAACGTGGCGGGCGGGTGCCGTGCTGGGGACAACCAAGGCCCCCCTATCGATCAACTCGTGGGGGTCAGGAAAGTGCATGTCTCATCAGGGGCATGCCATCCAAATCGTAGATTGACAGCCATTCCAGTTTGGTCCGCTCCCTGGCAAAGCGCATCCAAAAGCGTGGAAAATAATTTAACTATTGGCATGACCCAGACACCTCAGTCTCGGGACACTTGGAGGTCCCCACGGTGCGCCGTTGTCGCGTCGGACAAATGTGCATGGTCACCATGCTCCTGTCCCGCGAAACGTCGTTGCAGTGTTACCAGATCTTCGAGAACCTGGACTCGTGGTAGTGGGCAGGGGTTAYAACGTGGTATTGGACAGGGTATACTGTAGCATCCCTGTCGTCATGTCTCAATGCATCGAAGTTTGCACAAATCTGCAATGTTTCCTCATCATCGTCAATGGTTGTGCTCGCCAACGAGCGCCACGTCATCACTGGGGAGTCTGTAACGGACTCGACGAATCTGAGCTCGTCCATATCTGGTACCGCTCGCCATGCAATGCACGTCAGAAACTTCGGCTTCGTTAGTCTCACTATACCTTTCTTGTTACTTCGGTACGGCAGCACGTTTCCATGTGGTTACCCACGTCCGACAGCCAGTGGCACTGTACCCCGTCGCTTCGTCGAAATTTGCTATTTATAATCCGGTTATTTTGTCACATCGATTCTCGCCGCTGGCGACTTGACAGCAAGTCAGAAACAAGCTGCACAAGTATGCGGCTGTATGAGATGCAGTTAGACTTGCTCTAGAACACTTTCTACTGTACCGAGCTGGCTGTCAGGTCTTGAGGTGTAGTACCTTAGGCTTGCGCCGCGTCCAGAGCGCTCGCACATCGAAGCACTAAGGACGGGCCCGACTTCCACTGCTCCTTGAGACAAATGGATGTAACTTTCCGGCGTCGCTCATGCATGGCGATGACAAAGGTGGCGTAATATACCAGCTCGCATCGTCCTATGAAGCAAAGATCCTGTCTGCTTCGAGAAGGCGAGCAGCATCTGTCACTCGGCTGCATATGCACGCGACTGATGATCCTCGCCTGTTCCGAACTGCGAGAAACACTGCTGTGATGTGTGATGTATGATGTGCTGTGCATACGGCAAACCCCGGGAGAAAGAGTACATGGATGGATTGCGCCAACCAATGCGCGTGAGGAAACCCAAATGATCCTCGCCGACTGCTTGTCAGAGTGTCATCAATCTCCTTCCCTAGCAATCGGAGCCTTCTACTTTTACTACCGGTATGTCTCTTCGTTCCCTCTGGAGGGGTGATGCGAAGGAAGCCTGCCTCGATGCCTCGCGGCGTGCTATGCTGATAACACCACGCGTCCGAATCGGTAAGTAGCTATGATGACCAGCAAATCGATGTGTCCTGCGAAGAGGTCATTGCGCCTTCAGTTATTGAGACTGCCTCTGCTGTTATCAGGCAGGGCGACGTTGGAGTTCAGTCATGTGCATGTAAGGTAGGTAAGATAAGGACATTTCCCCTCGTACTCTTCAGGTGGAGGGGAGAAGGTGGGGCGAACTTTTGTGCATCATAATGGTGCCCGTATTGCGTTTGACCGTCTTGACCTCACCTCAACAATCCAGGCCACTGCTCAAGTAACCACCAACAACAATGCCGGAAATAAAGAAGTACACAATCACTGAGCCCTGGCTCGATCTATCGTGTGCCTTGGGCGAAGCGCCTTTCTTCAACGAAACCCGCAATGAACTCAGATTCGTCGATATCGAGAAGGATGCTGTACACTATGTGAACCTCGACACGTCTTCGCACAAAGAATGGAGTCTCATGTATAACATCGGCATCACTGCAGATATTGAAGGCAACGATGACGAGTTTCTCTTTGGAGGCAAACTTGGCTATGGACTGTTCAATCGATCCACTGGCGAGCACCGCATAATCAAGAATTTCTGGACGGATGAAAAGGACCCCGAGACCAAGGAGCATCGATGCCGCTCGAATGATGGTTCAGTTGATAGCAAAGGTCGCTTCTTCGTCGGAACTATGAATGACCAAGCCACTGTTCCTGAGTTCACAGACGAAGGCGTTCTCTTCCGGCTGGACCCCGATCTGTCCCTTCACCGGATGAAAGAGGGCGTCACGATCCCAAACGGAATGTCCTGGACGTCCGATAACAAGACAATGTACGCTCTCTGTCGTAGCTCATGAGATCCAATGCTTACCTCTACCAACCAGGTACTTCACAGACTCGCCGTCCCAGAAGATCATGGCATACCCCTACGATGAAGCCACGGGAAAGATTTCATTCAACCAAGGCAAGGTCTTCTTCACCTGTCCAATCGAAGGCGGAGTCCCCGATGGACACTGCCAGGATGAGCACGGTTTCCTGTGGGTCGCCTGCCATGGGACTGCGAGAGTCTATCGCTTGGATCTTAATGGCAACATCGTAGCCGAGATCGAGCTGCCGACTCGCTGCGTGACCTGTCCAGCCTTCTGTGGCACCGAGCTTGTCGTCACGTCTGCTGCCGAGCAAGAGCCGGAGAAGCATCCCTGGAGTAAGAGGTATGGCGGAGCAGTCTTCAAGATCGATGGTGAGTGACTCCTGAACGAGACTTGTGGTCCAATACTGGTCGTGGTTCGCCGAAATGACACTGACTATGATTGTAGTGGGCGTCCGTGGAAAGCCGTTGAACAAGTTCAAGATGAACGGCAAGGCCTAATTGCATATGCACAATCCTATCTCAGGGTGAGCCGATGCAACATAGATTAGACTTGATAGACTCGGCAGAAGCGGAGTAAGCGCGCATAGGTGTGTTGCAGGGTTCGCATCCGCGCATCTACCTGTGACTAGACTTTGACGCTACTTYGTTAAAGCATGCCTCTCATCGCAACGGGAGGAATTACATGGAACGCCTTCTTCTGTGTCGCAGCTCTGTCGTCAAACGTACACTTTCTTTCTATCCGTCCACGACTTCAATGACACGGACCTTCCACTTTCCAAGCCGGAGGACCAGCAAGCCGTCCATGACAAGGTTCTGCGCATCGGCTGGTCGCTCGCTGGTGATCTGTACGAAGTCTAGTCCCTCTTCGCCTCCTACCGTCGGCGCTGATGAGGATGCGGGCACAGCAACGTATGCACCTCCTTTCGCAATGGTGCGTGCGCCCTCGGACTTTGTACTTACAAGCCCAGCATGGAACAAGATGCGAGCGAAGGGTACATCGTGAACCAAAGACCGGCCAAGCTTTATTCGCTGTGCGGACTGGTCGTCGGCAGCTGTTTCGCCCTTCGGGCTTGCCGGCCTCAGGAGCGACGTGAGAGTAGGCGCACGCATTGCCTGGTGTTCAGCACGAGTCTTGCTGGCCTCTTCTGGGCCGTGAACGAGCTCGAGCACTTCTCCGGCGAGCAAATGCTGGGCTTTGCGCTTGCCAGGATCTGCTTTGTGCTCTTGCATGATGGTGCTGATGTCTGACAGCGGGACGAATGTGAAGAGCTTGAGATATCGTTCGACGTCTTCATCCGACGAGCGCAGCAAGAACTGAGATTTAACCATTAGCTTCGCACGTTGTCAAGGGTATAAGGGTTTGGTAGCATACGCCGTATAGATCAAATGAGGATGTGAGAGTGCGGTCCAGCCAGATCGCATTTCCGGCACTCTTCCCAAATTTCTCTCCACTCGCGGTAGTGAGCAACGGTACTGTTAAGCCCATGGGTGTTCGTTCGTCTTTCAGTCGACCTTCGGTGTCTAGCCATGCTTGTTGGCCTAACGAGGCTGATTGATTTTGTGCAATGTACTTGACCGCATCAATCCCGGCCACAATGTTACCATACTGGTCACTTCCGCCAATTTGGACCTGTACAGCCCGGTCCTGGTACATCTGCCACCAGTCCCAGCCTTGCAACAGAGGATATGTGAACTCAGCAAAAGACATTCCATCACCTTTGTCCATCTTGTTTTTCACCCTGCGACGATTGTTCAGCTGCACGCCACACTTTCTGCTTGTTTAGACGCACTCACGTGTCCCTTCCCAGCATAGCTCCCAATCGCATGCCATTGCCCAGTAGACGCAAGAAGTCGAGGATACTGAGCTCATCCAACCACTGCGCGTTGTTCAACAATTCACGCCGTCCTCTATTCCCTGGCTGATCCCCATGCCGCTCTCCATACTGCAGCACATTCTCCCAAAGATTCCCCAGCTGAGAATGCAGAGCATTGAAATTGGCGTCAATGGTCGCCGCTGTGGTAGCGGCACGTGAGGTGAGCCGGCCGCTAGGGTCGCCAACCTTGGCAGTAGCCCCGCCCAAAAGACTGACGACGTGGTGACCGCGGCGGTGGAGCCAGAAGRGCATCATCAGAGGTAGTAGATGTCCAAGGTGCAGCGATGGTGCTGTCGGGTCGACACCCGCGTAGAAGCCGACGGGACGCGTCTGTAACAGACGCTCGAGAACATTACGGTCCCTGGTGCATTTATCCCGTCAGTCGATGATGGTATGCGATGCGAGAGGTGGTTCCTACCCGGCGATCTGGTGTATGTATCCACGCTGCTCCAGCAGGCTGAGCACGCTCTCACTCTTTCTCGATTTCGTGCTGTGAAAGGCGCGTACGCTTGGAAGCCGTGTTCGGATGGAGTGCGTGCATTGTGAACACACGTAGCCGTGTCGCAATGTGYGACGTAGTGTTGATCGCGACATGGTCGTTTTACCAATCGAGAATTAATGATGAAGGTAACTAGCTCCAAGCGGGAAACTTGTGGGACGCAGATCGGTCAACAGGTATACTACATTGATACATACTGTAATCAGCATTCTACGACGACCCCTGCAGCTCTCCAACACCCCCGACAGTCATCGTCTTGATGGTCATGTACTCGTCAATGCCATACTTTGATCCCTCCCTGCCAAAGCCCGAATGTTTCACGCCTGCACGAAATCGTTAGCAACTATCAACTTCAAAAAGAATCCCAAGCAGTTGACTAATTACCTCCAAATGGACTTGCTGGATCTGAGATTAGCCCCGTGTTGATTCCGATCATGCCAAATTGCAAAGCCTCTGCTACTCTGTAGCATCGTTGGATATCCTTGGAAAAGAAGTAACCAGCAAGTCCGACATCTGCATCGTTGGCAAGCTTGACAACCTCAGCTTCGCTGTCGAATGGGAACAATGCCGCCACTGGGCCAAAAGTCTCCTCGGATACAATCTTCATGGTGTTCTTCATGTCGCGAATGACCGTCGGAGAGTAAAAGTTTGGACCTAGGTCCGGAAGCTTCTTTCCGCCAGCAAGGACCTTGGCCCCATTGTTCACTGCACAAGGTCAGTTTTGATACATGCATCGGAGCCTACTATACACACCGGCATCCTCAACGTGATCCTGCACTTTGCTAACTGCCCTATCGTGAATCAAGGGGCCTGGGAATGTCAGCAATCATATTCAACGAGAGCGGCTAGCAGCTTACCGTGTGTGACTCCCTCGTCAAAGCCATATCCAACTTTGAAGTTCTTCACCTTCTCGGTGAATGCTTGAGCGAAGTCATCATAGATGCCCTTCTGAACGTAAATTCTGTTGGCACACACGCAAGTCTGGCCGCTGCCACGGAACTTGCTTGAGATCGCTCCGCTCACAGCAGTCTCAAGGTCTGCGTCGTCGAATACGATGAAAGGCGCATTGCCGCCGAGTTCGAAGGAGAGTTTCTTCAAGGTATCGGCCGACTGCTTCATGAGCTGCTTCCCGACACCAGTGGAACCGGTAAAGCTACAACAACGTCAACAATGATGAATGTGGTACGCTGAAGGGAAATGGTTGTTCTTACCTGACTTTCTTGATGTCATTCGATGAAGTGATTGCCTCTCCCACCTCAATAGTGTTCTCGAGAGCTGTGACAATATTGATGACGCCGGCAGGTATGCCGGCGCGGTGGCCCAGTTCGATGAGAGCCGCTGCAGTAAAAGGAGTTTCGCCGGGAGATTTCGCAACAACTGTGCATCCTGCCGCAAGTGCGGGCCCGATCTTACGAGTGATCATGGCTGCTGGGAAGTTCCAAGGGGTGATCAGACCGCCTGGACATCAGGTCAGTCGTTGTTTCACATGGCATTTGACGCTTCGTGTGGCTACTCACAGACTCCCACCGGCTCCTTTACCGTGTAGACACGGTTCCCTGCAACGCTTGCTGGGATGGTGTCTCCGTATATCCTGGTGAACGTGCGACATCAGTGGGTGCTCGAGAGATTCAGCGCGTGCAATACATGTACATACCGAGGAGCTTCCTCACTGAACCAGTCGAAAAAGCTTGCAGCGTATCCCACCTCTCCCTTTGCATCCGCAAATGGTTTACCATTCTCCCATGTAATGAGCTTCGCAATATCCTCGCTATTCTCTATCACGAGGTTGTACCTATCATAACAGGAACGTCAGTAATAAAGTCTTCCAAAAGAAGTCAAATGGCAAAGCATATCCTGAAGAGCTTCATGTTGAACACGCACCACTTCCTCAACATCTTCGCTCTCTCACGCCCCGTGGTCTTTCTAAACGATACAAAAGCCTTCGAAGCTGCTTCAATCGCCTCGTTCACATCATTCTTGTTCATCTCCGGCATGGTTCCAATCACGCTCCCAGAAGACGGGTCGTGCACTTCGAACGTCTTTCCCGAAGCAGCGTCGACCCATTTCCCATTGATGTAGCTCTGATTCTTGAGCAAGGTCTTGTCATTCAAATCCGGTACGTTGTGTCGTCTGGCAATTGCAGTTTGTGRGAATAGTCTGAGATGGTCTGTCCGGCGGATCTGCGAGCGTGCAGCTGGCTTGGTGGCCAGCGTGCTGAGAAAAGCTTTCATGGTGGCGGCAGAGATGGCGATGATTACAATTGCTGTCGTTGTATCGAGATTCCCCAAGAAATGGAATGGCAATCTCAGAAGACTTGTCCAGCAACAATCTCGAATGTTTGTACGGCCGGGGCGACGTCCGAGGTGTCGGCGGTTTTGTGGAGAGCTTTCTCAGGATGGACTTTCCTCTTTCGCTCAATGTTCAACATGGCATGAGATAGAAGATGTAGGAATGCGAAATGATCGGAGCAGGTCACTTGAACAACTTGACAAGGCCGAAAGACTTTACAACATTACTACCGAGAACCAAGACGCTCCAGGCGCCCGCTATACACTTTGGGGGTATCACAAGCAGAATTGTCAGAACAAACGTCTTTCCTTTGCATCCTCTTTCCCCCATTCCCCTGTGCATTCAAAACCAAAGAAGCCATCTCAGCGTCACAAACACTGCGACAAGACCCTTCTTGAATGTGTTAAACAAAACCACAAGAAGCCAAGCCCACCACATTGCACCCAATACCAGCCACTCCAGCAATTTAAAGCCTGTCCTGCGTACCAATCTAAATTGTCTCCGCCGCTCCCGAAGCATCTCGTCAACCGCTTCGTCGACACGCTTGACCTCTTGTGGCTGTTTTGTCGTGAGCTCCACGTTGAAAGCATCGATCTCATCGGATGTCTCGTGTACCAATTTCGTCAGTTGGTCGGCAGCTCGATGCGACAGCTCATCAAGCTGCGCTCCGAGGTTCTTGACGGTTGTGCTTTGAAAAGTCTCGAGAGTCTTCTCGAACTCGACTAAGGTAGATGATATCCTCTCTGATAGCAGGCGCCCAGCGACGATATTTTCCTCCTTTCGAGTCAGGCCATCCAACTTTTGACCGATGGTGTCAGCAATTTTGGAGATAAGAGGTAGTGGAGCGTCGCGTGGGCTACCGGCTTTGTGATGAATCTCTTGTGCTTTGATCCCAGACGCAAGGAGCAGTGCACGGACGCGGGCAATATCTCGAGCTGTGATGTCGTTGAGAAGCTGAGGATGACTTTGGTGCGATGGGTCCGAGATACTCCAGTGACGTCTCCCATCGTGGCTGGTCAGATTGCCGCGGCGCTCGCCGTTCCTGATCGCAGGGGACGCGCCAAACGACAAATGGGTCTGCGAAGCCGATTTGAGACGATTGCCAGAAGACTCAGTACCAGGGACATCTGAATCGGAAACGCTGGCGCTGTCAGGAAAGTTAATGATCGGGGGAGCCGGGAGATTCTTTTGAGCAGCTCTGGCAGTCTCTGGGCGAGAACTTTCATGTGGAACAAGCGGAGTCTTTTCGGCACTGGAGTCTTCGGTAGCACTGTTGTCTCTCGCAGCTGGAGACTTGAAGGTGGGCAGGCCGGCGGTATGATACTTCGGCTTCGAGCCGCCACGCTCCAGCGACTGCCGTGGGCTGCCATCGCCGTTTTCGTTGTCGCTTCTCGAATGCATGTTGCTGTTCTCAGCGCCATCAGCGTCAGATGCTTCTGATGGCGCCCTAGGGAAGCCGAGAGCTGTGTCGCGATCCCGGCCGCCGCGTAGTCGATCTCCGAGACGGCTACCTTCGCTCCTTACCAGGTCCCCGAGACGTCCCAATTGGCGACCCACAGCGTTAGCCGAATCCTTGATGGACCCATCTGTCAGGGTATTCCTAGTGTTCGTCCGGCGCATGCTGCCTGTAGTGCTTTCATTTGTACCTTTTCGATTCATCTGCATCGGCCGGCTGGAATCTAAGCTTGACCTGGAGGGTATCAAGAACGGTTCCTTATTGAACACAGGCGATAGCTGAGCGCCAGTGTTGTCGGCGAAATCGTTATGCTCAATGTGATTCCGTTCCTTGCTCCGAGATCGAAAGCTGGGAAGATTAGAGCTATTGTACTTCCGAACACTCGCCATATTGCGTTTGTTCGCGGGGGCAGTGACGTCAAATGCCGAATTATTCGACAGTCGGGGTGACGCCGTGCTATTTGATACCGTTTCATCCATCGCGAATGCTCCATGGTCGATGGACCCAACCCTGCCGTCCATAGATCTCACACGTTGAGACCGTTGAATTTCAGCCGATGGACGGCCATCAGCTCTTTTGACAGAGTTCTGATGTATGTTGTCGCTGCGTACTCTCGGGAAATGTGTCACCTCCGACTCCCCTTGATTGAGTGGTGGAATCTCAGGGGATGATAACTCTCCCCGCTCCTCTTTGTAAATCWTCTGTTTCATATGCCTTTCAAGTGGGCCAATATTCTCATCGCCGCCTTCGCTGTCGCCGAAGTGAAGGGCTGGAGGCTTTCGCCCTTCGCTGCTGGAGCTGCTTGCTACGCTGGCTGGCCTACTTGGGTGATGTCGCCGGAGACGTCCGGGAATGGATATCATTTTCTTGCCGCGACTTCTCAAGCGATCGTCATCCTCAGATTCATCTGCGGTGCCACGCTTGTCTGTCTCAGGCCCCTTGCGGCGTTCAGACTCCTTGCTGCGACGGGGGACCTCTACGCTCAGGCGTGCTCTGTTTGGGAAGATGCGGTTGCCATGCCTATCTTCGACAACCGTCTTGTTGTCGTCCTTCTCGAGCCAATATGTATCGGCAAGCAGTTCGGCAGGCTCGATGGTCCAACCATTTTCCGGCCGCGTGATGACGGAGCTGACCGTGTCATTCCTACGATGTCCCTTCACAGCATATGACCGTGACGTCTCCACACCCTCGGACTCTCCAGAAAATGTAGGCAGCCGAACTTGATCCTCACCAGGTCGGAACGATGGTTGCTTTGAAGCTGCTTCAACACCATCAATCCACCCCTTAATCCTGTTGGTCTCTTGCCATGTGTCRGGCGGTGCTGTCAGGGGCCTACGCTCTCTGTTCCGAAGACGGCGGTTCCGCAAGGCTTGTAACGGATTGTACGGTCGACCAAGGCCGCGTTTCACCGTTGTGTTCGAAGGTATGCGGGTCACATCAAAGTGCGCACTGCCCGGGCTGCTAGTAGCTTTCATTGAATGGTTGCCTGGAGCAGATGAATCGGTCTTCAATGGAGGCAAATGCTCCAGAAGCCGTCTATGTTCGCTAGCCAGCTCAAAGTATCTACGCGCCTTTTCCGCACGAGATAGTGTTGCGGGTGAAAAGCTGAACACAGAACCTTCAGGCCCGCCGACGGTGCCCGACGCAATGTCGCCATACTGCTGACTAGAGGTCTGTGAACCAGAGGCCGGTCGACCAGATTCATGATTCAGATGGCCCGAGTGGCTCATGTTCGGAGTTCCTGCCTGGACCACGCCAGCCCCGGCAGCGAGCCCAGAGACAACACGCCTCGCTCCTGCTGGCGATACCGGCACCGGCAACGTGCTACTCATATGCCTCCGGCGGCTTTCACTCAGGTTAAGAGCCATCTGTACAAGCTGTGCTGGATCCATACTGGGCGGTCGCGGACTAGGAGCCCTCGCTGACTCCCCATGTCCGTCGTTTGACAGATTCCGCGAGAGTGGAGAGCTGCGCTGCGAGGAAGCATCGGAGACGCGATTTGCAGCGAGCTTTCCCACGTTCGTTTGAGAGTCTCCATTCAGGTGAGGGCGACGGTGGGCATGATCCTTGCTGGCAGAGGGACCAATTGGAAAGGCTGACCCAAGCAGGAAGCCGCCTGACTTTCTCGCTTGAGACGGAGTGCTCGCCCGGCTGCTACCTTTGGCCTGATTGTACGAGGCGACCCGTTTTTCCATTGTCCCTTCGTTGGTCGTGGCATCTTTTGTATTTCCCCTGTTGCTATTACTGTTGCTTCCGCCGTCGCTTAGACTCGGACTGCTTCTGCTCTTCCAACGCGGAATTCGGGATTCGTGTGGTGAGCTGCGGGGCGTGAAGTTCACGTCTGCCGCGGCAGTGGAACGTGAGATGGCGCCGGAAGAAGTGAATGGGTTGTGACCATCGTTGCGTGACATGGCCAGGCCGAACTCGCCAGCAGCACGATGCAACTCCAACTATCGAAGGGGGTCTCGGCGGTGCAATTGAATGTATTGTTCGGGCATCATGGGTGGACGTGAACAGTGATGGCTGACTGAATGCAACCTCACCGCGCCGAGCGAACGGCTCGAATGTCGGTGAGAGAGGTCGGCATGCGCGGGAAAGACAGGTCGACAAGATGAGGTCGTCGAGCACCTTCAACGCAATCCGGCTAAMAATTGGAGCTCCGACTTCGGTTGAACAAGCTTGTCTGTCCACATGAGCGTGCAAAGACAGGTCAGTCTATGGTGATGTAGATCGTGGGTTGGAGTCTATTCTGAACGGGGTTATCCACGCTGCTGCTGCTGCAAGAGATGCGATATCAAAACGCAAGCGWTATGGACCCGCTTGCATCGATGCGATATACCGTAACGTTACAGCAGACGTGCCGTAGATCCACCCGCTGCACGCATATGCACGAGCCACGGCATCCTTGCGGTGTGATTAGACCCCATCAAATCCTCGTCAAATTCCAGTCCCAATTTAAAACTTTGTTCTTCCTGTCTACAACTTGCAAGGGCCATCGAAATTGAAGGTTGCCGCCCTGTCGGCTGCAATTGAAGCCGTGTTCCTTTCTACAAGAACAGTAAGACAATCCAGAATACATTCATGACAAAGCACTTGGCTCTCTGCAACACTGCTTGTTTAGGTGATCACAGCTACCTTCCCGTAAGCGTGATCGTTGCTTGCGTACGACGAGAGCCGGCAAGCTTCACGTTGCTAACATTCATGAATTCGTCGTCATCCTTGTGCTTCAGAAGTTCAGACGGAGCCGGAGGAACCGGCACAGCTGCAGTCCGATGGAAAGTCTAATCGCGTCGTAGCATACGAGCTGTCAGTCTTCATAACAGGCTGCATTCATGGCGTTTCAGCGGCATTCGACTTCCATCGACATCTTTTAATCATGTTCGAATGGCTGTTTGGCAAATCGTTTGACCCCGTCAAGGACATTCCAAGCCTCGAAGGCAAGGTTATTCTCATTACGGGAGGTGGGTCACCGAATAAAGCAACTCCATCGCGCAATATGCTGACTTTGCTATCTAGGCAATGCTGGCCTCGGAAAAGAAACAGTCTTGCAACTCGCAAAGCACAAGCCCAAGGAGATCTTCCTTGCAGCCCGGACAGCGTCCAAGGCCGAGGCTGCAATTGATGAGATTCAGAAGATTGTGCCCTACAGCAACATCTCCTTCATTCAGCTAGATCTCACTTCTCTGCAATCTGTCAAGGAGGCGGCCTTTGAATTCAAGCGGCGATCCGACCGTCTCGACATTCTAATCAACAATGCTGGTAAGCTGTGCTGTTGGAGGTTGAAGTTTAAGCGGCATGCTAAAATCCGTTACAGGAATCATGGCCGTGCCGTGGTCCAAGACCCAGGAGGGCTATGAGATACAATTCGCTACCAACCATTTGGGGCACGCGCTTCTGACCAAGCTGTTACTACCAACGCTGCTGAAGACTGCCGAGGAACCCAACTCGGACGTCCGTGTCATCAATGTCAGCTCCGAGGGCCACATGATGGCCCCTGGTATCATCTACGATCAGGAGAAGCTGGAGACGTACAACACCTGGAGACGGTACGGCCAGTCGAAGCTGGCAAACATTTTGCACGCTCGCGAGCTGCAGAGACGGTACCCACAAATCACCGCAACGAGTCTACATCCAGGRGTAAGTGAAGCAGTGAACTTCGAATCTCATCGCTACCAGAAACGGACTGACTGAAGTGCTTGTGTCTAGGTCATCATCACAGACCTCTATGCGTCCCAAATGAAGAGCAACCCCATCCTGCGAGTTGCGCTGCCACTTGCCAAGTCGCTCCTCACTGACGTTCCCGGTGGTGCCAAGAACACACTCTGGGCGGCAACGAGCAACAAGGAGGTTGTTCGAACGTCCTGGTATTGGAAGCCGGTCGGAAGTCGCAGCGGTGGTAGCTTTTGGCATGCGCAAAAGGCAGACTTGGCGAAGGAGTTGTGGGAGTGGACCGAGGAGCAGCTGAAGGCCGTTGAGTAGTGACGAAGTGGGATGTATCTGTAGCTTGTGTCTATTTGAGTGGTAAATTGTAATGTAATAGTCGTGGATATGATTGTAGAAGAGGTCATGGCATTGATTTCTTCGTTTTTGAGTGGTTGGATGCATGCATTTTGATTCCGCTGTTTTCCTTGGCGCGAGACACACGAAGCTCGTTCACCACGAACAACATCACTCCTCATCCACCGATCCCACCCAACAAAACTACCGCCATCATGGATCACGAGAAGCTGGCTCGCATGCAGAATGCCGTGCGCATTGGTGTGTCCCCACCAGACCTGCTACTGTAGCTACGGCTATGAGTGCGAGCAGGTTGTACTTGAATTCGCTGCCCTCGTGTGCTAACCGCTTCCCAGGGTAAGCACATCATTCCTTTCCACCACCACGTATTTTCTCGTGCGATTCCGCTCCGGCGATCGTCATATGCCTCGAAAACCGCCTGCATCTGGCATTCTACGACGCATTGAATGCCGGGACCAGCCCAGTTTCCCGCAGAACGAGATCACATGATGGAGCTGGCATTAAAAGAATGCGAATGGCACGTTTGAGAGAAGAGGGATCATAGTCTGACATTGGTGAAATCTACAGAGGCAAGGGAACCCCGCGACGAAAGGTCAAGAAGGTCCAGAGAAACTCTGGCACCGACGACAAGAAGCTGCAGGGAGCACTCAAGAAGATGAACGTGCAGCCCATCCAAGCAATCGAGGAGGTCAACATGTTCAAGTCCGACGGCAACGTCATCCACTTCTCCGCGCCAAAGGGTGAGTAGTCGCATGTGTGTGTGGAGAGTGGAGGAGAGATTGAATGCTCACACAACCACAGTGCATGCTTCGGTTCCATCCAACACCTTCGCCATCTACGGCGCCGGCGAGGACAAGGAGCTMACCGAGCTCGTCCCCGGCATTCTCAACCAACTCGGCCCAGACTCATTAGCCTCGCTACGGAAGTTGGCCGAGAGCTACCAGAGTCTCCAGAAGGGCGCTGAGGGTGAGGACAAGAAAGACGACGACGATGATGAAATACCCGATCTCGTTGAGGGTGAGAACTTCGAGGACGCCAAGAAGGGCGAGGTCGAGTAAAGGGCAATCGGCAAATGGAAAAGTTGCTGTGAGATTAAGCCGGCATTGGAGCATGCGGTAGCTACGGTCTGAATTCGTGCCATCTTTGATCAGATCCGAGCACTGCATGGCCCTGCCGAAAATTGCGATGGCTTTGCGGGCTGTACAAAATCTACACGGCACCGCGTGAAGACTACCATGATGAAACTAGGTAGTCTCTTCCATTGCATGCATCGTGTTCTCATTCGACCATTGATTGCTCTTGATCTCATTTTCCTCCCATTTTCTGACTTCATCTGTCAGACTCGGAAGCAGGTCAGAGTGGTTATATCGTGGAGACCAGTCTATCGTTGTCCATCATCATTCGTGCAAGCTAACATAACAAACATGCACAAATGCTCCCTAGCATTTCACTTTTATGTCGTAGACTCCCGACCTCGGGGACTTCACCTAAGGACGCCCACTTTTTATTCTCAAAGGCAAAGCATCGGAAATTGCCAGAACTAGAGGATACCAACTCAGCTAGTCACAACGGAGAACTTCTTTTCATATGACTTCTGWGTATAGCTTCGTCTCTTGCATTCTCGCACCCTCTCCTTCTCAGGCCACCGTCTGTCGTATTCATCAGTCATCTAACATATCCCCAACAAACACAACGCTGACATTCTCTCCAATAAAGCTTCTACTCCTCGCTCTCAACTTTCATCACACCGGCGGTCTCAACGTTTCGACTGTCTGGCGCTGCTACGAAAACAGCATCCTTGACCGGACTCTCGGCCTGCTTCTAACGGCCGAAAGATGGAGCAGGACCGACGTGACCCATCCGGTGGTTGTTGCTCATAGCCAAATGGTTCCGCTGGTGAAAAGCTCCAATGGGTTGAAAGCCCCTGGAAAGCAGAAAGAGTTAGTCTCGGGTCGGGGCAATACACTGTGCACGGGGAGAGAAACTTACTTGACAAGATCGATCCCTTCGTCTTCGCCATCGTCGGCAGCATGGAATACATTAACCTGCGGAGCGGTGTTGGCGGTATATGAGGTACTGTTGTTGTTGTATACAACATTGCTAGCTGGACGAGCGGCCTCAAAGTTACCAGCGACAGAGGTCTGGGGGAGCTCGAGGGACCTAGCCACGGGTTGAGCGATGGCGATGGCGGTGTTTGGCGGTGTATGCTGCTGCACAACAGGAGGCGCAGAATCGGAGACATTTGGAGGAGTCTTCTCGGGCCCACGCTGCTCTTGAGACATCTGGCTGAGTGTCTTGGCAACAGCAGTTGCGGGCCTACTCACGGTCGGGCTTGCCTCGAGACCAGATATGGGCTGCAACGGTGGACTACTGGATCCCATGATAGGACTGCCTCGCTCTGACTTCCGGTCGGCGTCATTGATTGGTTCAACGGTGCTCCTCTCGAAGGACAACCTCTGCTCCTCCTCCTCCTCCTCGTCATCGTCTTCGTCATCATCCTCTTCCTCATCTTCTTCCTCAGTGGCCTTCTTCTCCTCGCCATCACTTTTCTTCAGCGCTGGAAATGGCGTCTTCAGGGGACTAAGATCAAAGGGCTTGAACGGAGTGCTACCCACCAAACCTTCCATCTTCCAGAATGGAGCAGGGCTGCTGAATTGGATAAAGTCGCTGGGGCGCCGTAGCGTGCTTGGAGGCGCCAGGCGCTGTGATGGGCGGAGTGGGAAAGGCGTGTCCAAAGGACCGACACGACCCTCGTCATTCACGTACAGCGCGGGTGGCGACCCGGCAGCATGTGCAATGGCGTTCATTCCATTCATGCCATGCCGTGGGGTGGCGCGATGTGGATAGTCGTAATCGACCAAGCCGCTGCCCTCCATACTGAGACCCATGTTGTTCTCCATGGACGTATTCGCCATTTGTCGGGGACCGCGATCTGGAGTGTAGGCTTCCATTGCGGTGGGATATGGAGGGCGGTAAGAATTCAGGGGAGGGGTAAGATCCTCTTCCCTCTTTGCAACTCTGGGGCGATCCATCGGGCTGGTAGGTGAGCCCATGTTGCTGTGAGTCCCCGGAATAGGGTTCGGGCGTCTGCAGCCCTTCATGCCTTGTTGGACAAAGTTGTCGTACTCGGTGGGCTCGATCATCCACTTCATGCCCTTGCCGGGCTCGTCCGTGCGGCGTGCTATCTTCGTGAAAGCCTTGTTTAAGCTCAGATTGTGGCGGATACTGTTCTGCCAGCCGCCAGTGTTGAAGCGATAGAATGCATAGTTGGCCATGATCCATTTGTAGATGTTATTGAGTGTCATTTGCTGCTCATGGGTACTGAGAATAGCCATGCCGATCAGCTGTGCATACGAGTGCGGTGGCTTGAGATCCTTTGCACCCTCCTGAGAATAATCAATGCTTTCGGACGACTCCATCTGCATACCGCGCGAGTATGTCGCAGCGGGCGACGATTTGGGGAATGAAGTTTGAGATCGCATGGGAGTTCCTGGCGTGACCTGCAGTGCCGCCCGATGCGAGTGAGGATGCATACGTTGTTGCGGCTGCGCCTGACCTGGATGAGTGTGCTGTTGCTGGCCTCCGTAGTTTGACTGATACATTCCAGCATCCTGTAGATTGCTCCGACCGGATGGATGTACACTGCGATTATTGGTAGAGCGTGGGTCTTCATCGCCATCGTCGTCGTCCTCTGAAGACTTCTGCGCTTGCTTGAGGATAGAAGCATCCCAGATTGGACCGTCGCCGTCCTCGTTCGGGGTCGTGATGAATGCCATCTGAGTACCGGCGATTTCAATGACGCTGCCATTACGGAGGTAGGTTTTGGCGCCACGCTTCTGGAGGTTGTTGTCCACACGCAATCCATTGCGACCATTGACCRGGATGAACCATTGCATGCTGTCAGAGTCGTAAGCAATGGCGGCGTGCAGTCTCGAGACCTGCCTGTCAGGGCCCAGATCGATATCGACAATTTGCTTGGCGCTCGGGGTGAGAGGGTGCTGGCTCGGTTCGTGATCGAGGCGTTGATGCTCTTCAGGCCGTCCAATATTGACCTCGACCTTGCGAATGATGTACACCCAATCGCGACCAGCTATTTTACCGTAGCCAGGTACACTTTCTTGACCTTCGAGAAGTTCATTGGCAAAGTCTTCGGTCGCGTGGACCTTTTTATCGGCCACTCTCAAGCACTGGATAATGTCCTCTTCGGTCGGTGTGGACGGTTCCGTCTCATTGTCGCTCAGCTCATGCGGCTCAGTGCCTTCTGTATCTTCGGCGGTGCGTGTGTCCTTGATTTTGCGGCGCGTGTTGCGCGCAGCGGGTGCTGTCGCCTCAGTCCCTCGTGCTCGTTTTCGTGAACCCCGGGACGGCGTAGCAATGGCCTCAGGCTCCGCTTCGGAATGGTCCTGAGCATGGGTTTCGGTGGCCGCAGGAGCTCTTCTCGCCCTGCTCTTTCCCTTGCGAGAGGAGGGAGGCATCGTGGGAAAAGCCGACACGAATCTTGCAGTGCCTAGATCTCGTCTCTCGTGCGTGTGCTTGTCGCTTTACGCGTCTAACTATACTCTGTAGACGTCTAGCTGGCAGTAGACAGAAGGCGGAATGCCGGTCGAGATATCCACACGTCCGTCGACTGCGCGGAGCGCGGATGTCGCAGTGATGGTTGGTGGTGGCAGTATGATTGCTACCTAGTTGCGCTGGAGTAGAGTATAGCAGATCTCGGGTATCGCGGACATGTCGGTCGGCCGAGTTGATTGCTGCGGCGGGTGGATTGATTGATCGGGTGGGTGAAAAGCGTAGTCACGGGAGGCCAGTGTTGACTGACGATCGAGACGCGACAGGAAGTTCAGGAAGTTGACGATCCTCGCCGGCTTCGACGGGCCGCGCTTGGTCTGATGCAAAATTCAACCGCCAAACATCTGAGAGAATGGAAGGAACACGTAGTTAACTTACTTACTAGGTGATCACACTGCACGGCATCATCCACGACTTGTCCTCGACCAAGGAAAGCACTTCGGGACACCTAATTCTCATGTTTTTCGACTGCGAGCATCTCTTAATCTAGTGATATGGCACCAAAACCATTGCCGCCGACCATGCGGATCGCGTCTCTGCGCCAAGGAAACCCAATGAACCAGCTCTCAGAGACCTTGGAAATCTCCCTGTCACCGTTGTTGTTTGGACGCAATACACGCCAGCCTTGCCTTCAAACACGAGATTGAGATTTGCTGTCGCCATACAAACATCCCGGGGATCCGTGTCTCGTGTTGCGAATGGAACTCCCGGCTGAGAAGCCGTACCTGCCTGGATCAGATCTGGCACCACGCAATGGGAATGCTCTGGCACTTTCACGAATCTGATCCTTTCACAAAATCACGATCAGCTAACACATGCCACATGTTACATTTCATCATTAGATCCCGCCAGCGTGCCACTAAAGCATCGTCGACAAGCTCCAGCAAACATGAAGCTCTCGTCGCGTTCTCAAAACGGCTAGAACTCATCTTGTCTACAAGAACACCGTTGACTACCATCACGGCGTCTTCTCACATCGGAGTCTTCTCATGTCCACAATCTCCTCTCTAGCATCCTGGCGCTCGTGTGTTGGTWGCGAGTCAACCTCGCAAGATTGCAGCGAAAGTGGGCCTTTGGTCGTCAACAATAGCCCAGACAAGCTGTGTCATACCGAGGGCTACATAGAATGCTAACGCCCTATAGGAGCCATCTTTGCACTACAAAAAATGCGGCTAGTAGAAGGCCTCCCATTGCTGTAAAGATTTTATCACGATGACCATCGCCTAGCATATGTCAGCTTCTCACGCCAGATCGGCTACCGGGACATGGCAACTCACCTTCTTGGGTCATCCCCAGGGCGAGAACGACAAAGACATTCAGAGGGAGACGCATCACTGCGTATACCTTGCCTCGGCTAGTGTCGTCGACAAGCTCACTCTTCAGTCTTCCCATAGTAGGGAAGTACAGCCCAACGCAGAGCTCGAACAGAGCGAAACTCCAAAACGTGACCGCTTCCGCTCGGACGAGGACGGGAAAAAGGAGAGAAATTGCTGCCAAAGCCAATATGCTGAGCAGCATCCGACTGACTTCGCGCTCAGTCCGTAGCTTAACGGAGGAAAAAACCATGGATCCTAGCATCATGGCAGTCATGAAGCAGCTAAAGATCAAGCCGAACGGCGGTGCACTTGCTATGCCAGCCTTTTCTCGGGCTGACCTCAGCACGGGTGTCCAGAAGAACACGAAGAGGAACATTGACCCTTCGAAAAGTGTCGTGGCTAGAGCGAGCGTGAGGATGCGCTTGTCAAGTAATGTGGCTCGTAAGTTGGCGTAAGCGGCTCCTTTCTCGGTCTCCGCCTCGCCATGATTCTCGCCCTGCCTCTGTCAGTTCGGGGAATCTAAGACGGAGTGTTCGCCTACCCAGAACTTCCAAATACCAACAAAGGCCGCTCCAAGACATGCCACGGCAAGCATGAACGRCGCACACTTGCTACCCGTCCAGTGCACCACGGCCTCCCCAACGATGCCCGCAACAATCGCAACTACACCGCTGAGTGTTACAGAGGTACTGAACATGTCACCCAGACGTCTGCTTCGTGTTAACGTCMGGCCTTGAATGTGCAGCGGGGTTTATATCCCCGTGTTGAGCCGACTCCGGGTTTGTTCAACTCACATCGACTCGTGCAGCTCTCTGGCGTGATACTCGGCAATCATCCAGGGCTCAAAAACCGAGTACAACAATGTCGTGCTTAGACCTCCCAAGGCGCGGCCTGCAAACAAGATCGTAAGGTCGTTGCTAAGCACTGACAAGCAAGACACGGAATACGCGATGCAGAAGGTCAAACAAGCGGCCCTTCGGCCATGCCGGTCTGCCAACGACCCCACGAAGGAGGCGCATATCCCTGCGGCCACGAAGCCTGTTGTGAAGAGGGCAGCCACCACTTTCTCTGGGAGTAACTTCTCATCTTTGTAAAGGGTATACATATAGGGTCCCTATCGCGCTCGTAAGTTTCTTGGATGCTCAATGTCCGACTCTCGGGGAAAGGCATACCTGCAGCCAGTCTGCCGCCATCACACAGATGTAGACACCAAAGTAAGTGAGCTTGAACTTCTTCGCCTCCTGCTTGCCAGCTATCCCTGGTGGCAGTGCGACGGTTTCTTCGCTTGAGGCATCTGGCTTCCTTTGCTGCTGGCGATAATGTGCAATGGCGGCATTGAAAAAAGCCAGAGAGGCAAAGTAGATGGCGTACAACTCCATGGCCGTTGTTGTGATGGCGAGCTGAGAATATCGTGCGTCAAGAAAAGTGTGGTTTCGATTTCTGAACGTCTCTCCTTGCGCGATTGGAACGTGGAATTTCTGCTTCATTCCATATTCCATTCCCACCTTGCGCGTTCCTTTCACGCGTTCAGATCCAAAGCTGGCTTCCGCCCATTTCACATCTCTGGACCTCAACTTTACGACTGATCATCGCCGCCCAGCAGCACCTCATCATGGTTGCCGTTCAACCGAATCGACTACCTGTGATACTGGCTGCTGTCGGGATCGTCCTTTTTATCGGGACTCTGCTGCATCAGATGAACGCTGTTCCAGCTTCATGGCGAGGGTCGCTCGGGAAAGTGTACGGAAAGTCCAGGCAAGTCATGCAACGACCCCTGATCTTCAATCGCTGACCGACTCTCAGTGATTCCCGCCCATCATTCTACGACATCGCATCCTCTTATGGCACGGACAAGGTTTCCACTCACAGTTATCACCATATGTATGAGAAGTATTTGTCGCCTTATCGCGATGTCAGCTTCAAGATGCTAGAAATTGGCCTCGGTTGTACGCAAGCTCCCAAGCAAAAGGCTAGCAGCGTGATACAGAAATGTCCCACGCTACGCACACGCCGCCCTATCCCTAAGATGTTCTCAGAAATCGTTGACGCTTTCGCTGCAGGTGACATGAACTATGGCCCCGGCGCCTCCTACTACACCTGGCTCGAATACTTCCCGAAGGTGGACCTGTACTACATCGAGTAAGTTCGAGTCTTCTGTGCGTATAGTCAGCGGTTGGGGTTGGGGTCGGTGGTTAGGATGGCTAGCCTGTGGGTGGCGATGTGGCCAAGGCGTCGGCGTACAAGTCGTGAAGTTATGTGCAGTTAGCGGTGGTGTTTGTATGTCGGGGAACGACGGACGACACTTGCCCTTGGAGCACACCGGACTTTTCTGCGCCATAGCTAACCTGCCTCCCCTTCGTTTTCAGGTACGACGCCGCTTGTGCCGAGAGATGGGCCGCAAACACGACTGGCGCAACAATCTTCTCTGGAGACCAAGCAGACGTAGCTTTCTTGCATCGCTTCATGCGCGAGGCGGGCTCCGATTTCGACATCATTGTCGAGGATGGGGGCCACCACATGAATCAGCAAATCACATCGCTGGAGACTCTCTGGAGGGCGATAGTGCCCGGGGGAATCTACTTTTGTGAAGATTTACAAACATCATACATGTCCGAGTATGGAGGGGATGCTACTGGCAAGGGAAAGACAATGATGAATATGATCAAGGAGATGATGGACGATCTCAATGTCATTCCGGCAAAGACGACCAGGAAGCATGAAGTGACCAGGGACATGAGGTTCATTGATTGTCAGACTGAAGCGTGCGCATTCATTAAGCAGCCACTGCAATGAGGGGCGAAAGACGGATGGGGCAATTGGAGGTTGCCGGCTGTCGTTGTAGCATATCGACCACCACGCTCGCGGAAAAGCGCCTCCCGTAATTGCAGAAATGGACAGTATCGGGAAGACTCGAGTATCCCGTCGAATGATCACTCTTGGTGTTGACTTTGTTGTAGAGGGAACAACGTTTTAAAGAGCGATCCATACCTTGTGGACAGTTGATTCGCTCTGGGGTAGCGAATCAAGTTTGATCAATGTCCTTCTCGACGGGATTGGCCATGGCCGGGCCTCGAAGCTGTGATGATACTCTGGTCGTCGACACTACTCACTCCTGTTGATCGGTGCAAATCCGTGACATCCTTGACTTTCATCTGCATTGGGGCCGGCTCAATATATTATGCGCGAGCGCGCGTGCACCATTGAATATTGTGATGATTGTCTAGGCCAACGGTCTCAGCGAATCCCAAAGTCAAAGAGCCGGCCGCTCGGCAAAACTTGCGCGAGCCAAATGGCCACGGTCTGGTGAACGGCTTGACAGATGTCAGTCTCGCGTGCGTTGCGGGATTCGACGTAGATGGAAAAGTGCGGCAGACGTGCCCGCGAAGACGTTGCAGACGGCAGTGTAGAATATCCCAACATGGAAGTCCTTTCGCCTGATCTTGCAGGGCAAAATGACGATACACCCGGCGACTCTCCAAAAGGAGCGAGTCCATGAGTAGCTCCGCGCTACGAGAAGATTAAAGTGTCCCGCACGCACCTCTCTCTCCCAGGGCATGGCGAGGAGGTGCAAATGGGCTCCCAGCTCTGCCATTTGTATTCTGTGAAAATTCAATACCGCCGGTGAGGATCAACCTTGCAACATTGCGGTGCGGTGGCATATTCAAACACGCGTACAGCACGAACAGCGTTACACCTGCAGGCATCCCCGTACAGCTCGTCGCGAACCCAAACACTCACCACCAGGACGGAGATGTGCTACGACTTGATCCGCTCGAAAAAGTTTTGTCGCGACTGTTCGGCTGGTAACACCATAATACGATTCACGCTTCACCGACCTCGACGACGGACAGTGCCKAGCCTGACATGGCGGCGGCAACGATGAGCGGGGCATGGAGCTATGCCGTGCCGCTGGGAGAGGCGGAGGACAATGCTGGGCCCACCGTACCGCGGCGGGACACGCTGGACAACAGCGGTCGGGGGCGGGATCACAGCACCGGCGGCATTGGTATGAGCAGGAGCGGAGCACCGCCGTCGTTGCAGAAGCGACCGAGTGCCTGGGATCTTCAATCCGACAGCGAACAGGCCAGACAGCGCCGCACATCACTGCGTCAGTCCAACACGCAGGTAATGCGGAAGCGTTCCAAGCCCGCGCTGCGAGCGAAGCAGGACGATGCCAAAGCTGCAGTCCCTCGGGTAGACGACTCCAAGTGGATCCACCGAGACAAACTGGCCCAGATCGAGATCAAGGAACTGCAGGAAGCTGGCTTCTATGTTCGCCCGTCAAGACGCTCGATGAGCGCTGGCCCTGCACGAGACCGCTCGAGTAGCCGCTCGCGAGGACGGCAGAGCAGCCTCRAGCAACAGTGGCAGATTGACAACGATGAGGACTACGCCGCCGCATATCCCGCCCACAACGAGYCTCCACGTAAGATGTCCACCGTGCTCTCAGCCGACGGCGAGAACGGCATCGACAACGACAATGACGACGACGAGGATGACGATGGACCTCGAGCTCCGGTATTGCAGCGACCTGAGACCTACGATCCATATCGAGATTCACGCTTCCAATCGCTCGAGCAAGCATCGTCTGAGCCGCACAAACAGCATGCTGGCCGGCCGAGCACTTCTCGCATACCAATATCGCGGGCGAGTCCAGCACCCGTGTCGCAAGCGATGGTCGATCGAGACTCACCTCTACCGCGCAGTAGGGCAGGCAGCCAAACTTGGAACGGCAGCTTCGACGAGATGCAATATGCCCGCAAGACTCGCAATGGCAGCGTCGGTAGCCAGGCACTGCTAGAGCAAAGCAAGGACACCCAGGGTGTTCCGGATGAGACCTCGCCGCCCAAGGCTCGGGTGCCCAAGAAGACTACGCCCAACAGTCGGAAGCCGTCCACGGGCAGCGCGCCAGCACCACAGCGTCCAGGCTCTTCTCATCTGAGACAGCAACAAACCCCCTCGTCGTCGCTGTCCAAGRGGAGTGCAAGCTCAAGCCACAAGTCCCGACCATCTACCAGCCAGATGCATGCTCCCGAAGGGGAAGCACCGTGGATAGCAAGCATGTATAAGCCAGATCCTCGACTGCCGCCCGATCAGCAAATGTTGCCCACACATGCCAAGCGCATGATGCAAGAGCAGTGGGAAAAGGAAGGCCATACGGGCACCGCCTACGACCGGGAATTGCGGTTGTTGAACAACGACGAGTTCCAAAAGCCAAAGTCATCTGCACACCCTGCCGAGGCGGAACCTTTTGCACGAAGTGCGAGCGCATCTCCCACGAAGCAGTCAAGGCCGTCTCCCCACGGTTCCCAACATGGCAACTCATGGGAGGGCAAGGGCGATGTGTCCCGGCCTCCGACCAGCGGCGGCTACAGGATTACCCCGACTATACCAGACACGCCGACCATGGAGCGCTTTGCTCCAACCTATCCTTCACATTCCTCGCCAGCTCCGGCGCCTGAACTCAATCCTCCGGTTCCGATCCCCGATCTCAGCGAAAAGCAAGAAGCAAAGCCCAAAAGAGGCTGCTGCTGTGTGGTCATGTGAATATGAACACCACAAGACTGGACAAACATTGAAAATTCTTCCTTTCCCTCCTTGCGAGCGAGCCCAATATACCCGGCAGGCATCGCACTGCATCTCTCGCATCTTCTGCATTCCTTTTCTGATTTCTTCTTGACAGGCGCGCGGCGACAGCGGATTCGGCCCGCGACCTGGGACATGATAGCGTTTCAGCGGCCTCCGGTACAGAGAGAATGGACCCCATTTGCTTCCTTACTTGTTTCAAACATCCTTCATTTGCAACTAGGGTTWTTWYWTSRMGYWGA